AGGTTTTGAATAGTCTCTCAGGTCCATCTGGACAAGGTGTTTATGTAGATCACGTAATATAGACATAGTCGAGTGAAGAGTGATTAATCAACATCCTTCCACAACTTAAGCTTCTTTTGATCAATTTGACAACAAACAATAAGATTTAATTTCCGGGTTGTGTGTGCAGGTACGTATGTACGTGTTTAGAGCTTTACTGGCGCAAGTTCTACTGATAAGACGGTATAGACGACAAAAAACTGATTTAATTGTAAAAAGGATAATCAATTGGAAATAAGAGCTTATGTTTTTTTTACTGGGCGGCGCTCAGCCTGTCATTCCGCCGAATCTCTATTCGGTGGTTCGTATGTTTATGAACAGATAGCCTGTGGTCCCCAGGAAATGTTGTTGTGATTACTGCTTATGTTAGGTAACTTACTTCCCAAAAATTTGTGTGCCAAAACTTTGGGCGGGAGATATGGACTTGTTTGTTTGCCATTAATTTAATTTTCCATTAATTTTATTCATTTGCCATTAATTTGAATAGAAAAAATTTGGGCGAGAGGATCGCTAACATGTTTGGGAACCAAGGTTTATCAATAACTGCATTGATATACCACAAACATTGATATTTCAGCATCATCATGTTTTATATTGTCCGCGAGTTTGTATTAAGTTTGATCGTAGATAAGTCATACCAAATCCATGCACCGAGCTGAGACATGGATCAGACTTCTAGCAGTAGCTAGCCAAGGTATACTAGCGGCCTCTAAATTATCTCTTCGTCAAGTAGAAGTGTGAATGTCAGCATCCGGTTTCTCATCCGACCCTCAAATATAATGCACCTAATAAGTTAATCTCATTATGTTTTAGAGGGAATCAACCGATCGGATAACTTAAACGATCCCAAGGTGTATCCGTTCAGCTGCAGTTTGTATTTTGAATCTAGGTTTCCGTTACTGAGTATTTGTTTCCTGTTTGTGGAATTAATAAAATGATAACAACCTCTGATTTGAACTTTATTTCGATGTGGTTTATTTAAAATTCGTTGATCATGGGACTTATTTATTTAGAACCTTATTCTTCAATTGAAATTTTGGCCATCAGCTTGTTATTAATAACAATGTGGTTATGATAACACTAGTGTAACCCGGCCTTCGGCCGGGATTTCACTGCCGCAGTTAAAAAGGGTAGGAGCATTTACCCGTTGAGTCAGAACCCGCATTAGGTGAGCAATTCTATTCGGAGTGCCCTCACGTATCCAATGGTATCTTAAACAATAGTAATAGTATCTTAAACAATAATCAATAGAAATTAACCCTTAACACCACACCCGCCTATCATATTTGTGAACACGCATAACATTGTCGTATGGAAGTGTGAACTCTCTCTCTGCAGTCCAAACAGTGCCCCCTCCCCTAATGAGATTATAGTATAGACAGCGAATCTTACCCGGGTAACTCAATTACACTAATTATGCAGCTACATATATATATGCGAGCCCCGTAACTCTTACCGTTCTGCTCAAGCCATATTATGTAACATTTGTGGTACAAAACCATCAATTAAACCACCTACCAACGACCGATTTAAAAAACCTTTATCATTTAACTTCGTCAGAGTATTGTCGGCACTTTACCGAAAAAATCAGTCCCGCAACTCTTACCGTTTTCTTGATTAAGCCGCTCGGAAATTACAAACAGACAGACAGACACACATTCTGGGATTATAAGTTAGATAACAATACCTGCGGTGTCGTTATTAACTACTGAAGCATAGTGTTATAGTAGCCATATCTTTTTGATTTATTTACGTCCCTTATTTGAAAAAGTTGGTGCAATTGTGCCCCCTTTTGCTCAGAATTACAGGGCTGTTCACTATCCCGGCTCAAGGTCAAAAGGAAATCGCGGCAAGTGCGGAATCGCGATATTCCCATTCTCCGCGACAAATTTGTTATTAGTGAGATTTGGAACAATGAGAACATTGATCAATTGTTAAGACAATTAATCTATATTATAACTTTATAACATACCTTGCGAACACAATATGGACAAAAACTCATGAGGGAATTTCTACGAACATAGTGATAGTGAAAAACTTATACAAAGGATGCCATAATGCTGGCAACATGCCGCAACCTCTAAATAGCCACCTCTAACTCTAAGTCGTACACACAAACCAACTAGCAAGTTATTACCCTACGAACCAGTCTACCCCTAATTCATAATTCTATTCGTGCAAATATATTATTTTTCGTTGCGATTTTCGAGATTCTCGCCACGATTTTGCCTAGTTTGGCTTGTTGCGGCGCCGCGATTTTTGGCCTAAATAATCGCGATTTTCTTTCGTCCTTGTCCCGGCTGCTCATTGTTTTCAATATTCAAATAGCTGCATAGACAACGACGAAAGGAAAATAATTTCAGTCTTTAAAATTAGAGTTTAACTTACAGTTTGATTGAAACTTTAATTAAAACTTTAAGGACAAACAAATATGTACTTGTGTAATTGTATATTCAATAAGTCAATTTTACTCTGGATCTATAATGATACCGTCTTTAGCAAACTCATGACCTCAAACACTATACAAATCCAAAATGGAGTTTTTCGTTAATTCTAGAGGCGTTAGTGTTATTCAACTTTTACAGTTGTTCGAGACACGTTTAATTTGCTATTGTATTACTATATTATGCTTAATACAACCAGCAAACTTTTAATGCCAATGGTGGCATTCGTCCTTTTAGTTAAAGGCATAAATTTATAAATGTATGAACTTCTTTCATTCAAATTTCTTATTGTTTCTGAATAGACTCAGTAAAGACAAATTCTAATGGAAATAAATAGCTGAATAACGTATCGACATTTCTACGTCATACTCATATTCTCAAATCATTTGTTATATAGTAGTGTTGAAAGTATTATAAATGTATGAACTTCTTTAAGGATTGCTAAAATGAGACCTTTTAGCGGAACCCCTTAGTAGCCCTTAAAGTTAACTAAACTGAAACAAATGTCTCTTCTCCGCTTATAATTAAGATCACAGATTGATCCCTCCTAAAAACAATCAATAAGATATGCTGGGACCAACTAATTCTAAAGAAATTTCACTTTGTACATACTGATCGTGTACGTACCGCGTGACATTCGCCCATTGTTATTATTACAGTTCTGCCCGTATTTTAACAAATATTTGTTAAAATACCGGGAGACAGTCACTATTTTTGCTTGATCTTTGAATGATGACGTTTGACAGACTGAATACGATTTTTGTTTTAAACACATTCTTACTTTGTAAGAAAATGTTTCTGAGTATGTGCAAAGGTAGTCGCTACGTTTATGTACATGTCGTTTATTTAGGACCATACTGATGGTGATTTTGCAAACTAATGTAGTTTAACGCATCAAATAACTTACAAGGTTAATGTGTTACTATTATACCGAGTTTCTTAATTGCATCGGTTAAGAATCAACTATTATTATTATTAACAATAATCAGCTATATTATCACTTTCGACCGTTTTCAATTCTTCATTCTGCTTTACTACACCGTTGGCGTTTTAAATGATTCCTAAATATATTCTACCCTCGTTGAAAGTTTAGTGTCATCTGGCTAAGGGAAAATCAACTGCAAAGAGCAATGGACAATATAATCTGATTGGGCCAATCGTTTTCCGTAACCTCAACTGTGCCTTTCATTTGTTAATGTATTCAGTATTATCGAGTTTTTAACCAAAACTCAAAATTGGGTAGAGTGGAATGAGGCCCTTGTCTCCTTTTTCAAACAAAAGAAAATTATGACAAGTTAAATTACTGTTACCGTACCGAAACACAAAATCATACCGAGAATGAAATCGGTCGATCGCTTTTCTCGTTCATAAATCATAATTGGAAATTTTGTAAGAATCTCACCATGATTAATTTGTATTCCTGTCATCTATAACATCGAATTAGAATATTGTGAACTAAAACTAAACCTACTAAAGTTAAACGACTTTTGATGAGTCTTAAAAAAATTAAAAATGAGTAAAAGGAGTAGAAGGGGTAGAAGGGGTAGAAGGGGTAGAAGGGGTAGAAGGGGTAGAAGGGGTAGAAGGGGTAGAAGGGGTAGAAGGGTAGAAGGGGTAGAAGGGGTAGAAGGGTTAGAAAGGGTAGAAGGGGTAGAAGGGGTAGAAGGGGTAGAAGGGGTAGAAGGGGTAGAAGGGGTAGAAGGGGTAGAAGGGTAGAAGGGGTAGAAGGGGTAGAAGTAGAAGGGGTAGAAGGGGTAGAAGGGGTAGAAGGGGTAGAAGGGGTTAGAAGGGGTAGAAGGGTAGAAGGGGTAGAAGGGGTAGAAGGGTAGAAGGGGTAGAAGGGTAGAAGGGGTAAGAAGGGTAGAAGGGGTAGAAGGGGTAGAAGGGGTAAAGGGTAGAATGGTAGAAGGGGTAGAAGGGTTAGAAGGGTAGAAGGGGTAGAAGGGGTAGAATGGTAGAAGGGGTAGAAGGGGTAGAAGGGGTAAAAGGGGTAGAAGGGGTAGAAGGGTAGAAGGGGTAAAAAAGGCAAAAGGGGTAGAAGGGGTAAAAAAGGTAAAAAAGGTAAAAGGGGTAGAAGGGGTAAAAAAGGTAAAGGGGGTAGAAGGGGTTAAAAAGGTAAAAGGGGTAGAAGCGGTAAAAAAGGTAAAAGGGGTAAAAGGGGTAAAAGGGGTAGAAGGGGTAAAAAAATAAAAAAGGTAAAAAAGGTAAAAAAGGTAGAATGGGTAACGGTTATTCTTGCCAGCACTGTGATACTCTAATCGTGCTGATAAGTTAATTTGTTCAGGTTTATCCACTGCTAATGTTGCTCATAAATGTAATCGAACACGAGGTTGCGACCTTCTTCAATTTTTCTTTAATCGTCTGTGTTTGTAAATAACTATAAAGCGATATATTGAATCCATCAAATTCATTTCATGCCGTTTATAACAATCTTCTTTGCTGCTTAGATTACAAATGTTAATGATTTTGAGATCAAATGCTTGGTCAAAATTTGTATTTTCTAAGAATCGCCTTATCAGGATTGAACATTGAAAGACTGATCTCATTCGGATAACAGTACTACTTTATTTCTAGAAGCGCTATCAGATCATCAAATAGATTCCTCACCATCGCGCAGGAAATCCTTTATTGTGGGAAGCATGTGTCAAAACTAAACTAAGAAATTAGACAAACATGTCGAATATCACGGTGGTTGTCCTCATATTCCTTTTCCAAACATGCCTCACTGCTTCAACCGCTCTCCGGCCACACATCTTGTTCATCATGGCAGACGATATCGGCTACCAGGACGCGGGTTTCAGAGGCAGCTTCATTGCCACCCCCAATATAGACGCGTTGGCCACTGAAGGGGTAATCCTGAATCACCATTACGTCATGCCCCAGTGTTCTCCCACCAGATCGGCCTTCATGACCGGTAGAAATGGTATTAAAACTGGATCCTGGTACGGCAACATGAAGCCAGGACAGATAGGTGGCCTGGAGGATAGGACAATAGGGGAGATGATGCAGGAACATCAGTACAAGACCCATTTGGTGGGGAAGTGGCATCTTGGCATGTCCAGTCCAGATTATACCCCTGTCAACAGGGGGTTTGATACCTTCCTGGGCATGTACCTAGGCTCCGGCGACTACTTCAAACATCAGAACGGACGGGGTTTTGATATGAGGTTCAACTACCGGCAACCAGAAAACGGGCTCATAGTTGATAAGATTTTAAAAAGCTATGCAAATGTTCATAGCACGGAGATTTACACGAACAGAACGATTGACATTTTAGAACAGCATGTTAACCAATATGGCACGGGCAGTGAGGAACCTTTGTTTTTATTTTTATCCTACCAAGCACCGCACGGACCTTACCAAGTCCCCGAAAGATATAGAGCCAACCTACCGCCATTTTTCGCAGACAAATCCAGCCAACTTAGAACATATGCAGGCATGGTAAACTTCATGGACGAAAGTATAGGGAGGATACACTCAACCCTGAACCAACTGAACCTGCTGGACAACACATTGATCGTGTTTACCAGTGATAATGGAGCTATTTTAGACGGACCCGGTAGTAATTTCCCCCTCAGGGGTGGTAAGAAGGATTACTACGAGGGGGGCGTCAGGGCTCTGGCTTGGGTTAATAGTCCTCTGTTGGATAAAACCGGATATATCAACAAACAGCTCCATCACATCTCTGATTGGTACCCAACGTTTGAGTTCTTAGCCACTGGAGTGGATAATAATCCGGCAAGTGGCAGGCGGAAGAAAAAGAACAGAAATTCCTATTCCGCTATTGATGGGGTGAACATATGGGATTCAATTTCTGACAATTGGGCTTGCAGAGAAACAGTGAGTATAGAATTTGAAGATCTTTTTTCTTTTAATGATGATAACTGATGATTATTGTCGTTATTTGCAGCCATTCGGTTAATTATTATAATATGGTAATTTTATTTTCCCTGGTTCGATTTTGGAAACCATTTTATTAAATTATTCGTTATGAGTTACCGCCGCCGGTTACCGCCGGTTACCGCGGCCCTGGTTATTCTTTAATTGTAACCCAATAATGCAACATGCTCCCTCGACTAGTGGCTACCATCAATATTCATTATCGGACCTAACAGTGAGAAATGTAAACAGCTCATGGTTGTTGACCGGTACTTACATAAGGGAACCTGTTAACCTGTTAAGAAACTTGGTGTAAGGTGCATGTGTATGTGTGTTGTGTGCGTCAGCATATTTGACGAAAATATGTCCTTATCTTGGTTCTATTTTAGAATTCTCAGAGGATTTCGAGGGCGAGGGGACCAGGAAGGATTTACAAAAAAACTTTGATCTCCACTGTGTATTGCGCATCAGCAATTAGCATGGACATTTTCAACTTTGACTCATGTCAACTTTGCAACATGCACCAAGCGTTTTATTGTGCCTGCGGAACTGGATAAAACCGGAGTGACCTAATGCATATTTTCGTGGTTTTTTATCTCTTTGATCTCTGAATATTTATAATATAACCGGCACCAATCAATCTCTACTCATTCAATTTGCCACTCGCCCTCCTTCATCTTCTATTTCCCCATATCCTCTTCTCTAAGGGTCGCCACACCTCAGAGTCAGGGTCGCCACACCTCAGAGTTAGGGTCGCCACACCTCAGAGTTAGGGTCGCCACACCTCAGAGTCAGGGTCGCCACACCTCAGAGTTAGGGTCGCCACACCTCAGAGTCAGGGTCGCCACACCTCAGAGTCAGGGTCGCCACACCTCAGAGTCAGGATCGCCACACCTCAGAATCAGGGTCGCCACACCTCAGAGTTAGGGTCGTCACACCTCAGAGTTAGGGTCGCCACACCTCAGAGTTAGGGTCGTCACACCTCAGAGTCAGGGTCGCCACACCTCAGAGTTAGGGTCGCCACACCTCAGAGTTAGGGTCGCCACACCTCAGAGTTAGGGTCGTCACACCTCAGAGTCAGGGTCGCCACACCTCAGAGTTAGGGTCGCCACACCTCAGAGTTAGGGTCACCACACCTCAGAGTTAGGGTCGCCACAACTCAGAGTTAGGGTCGCCACACCTCAGAGTTAGGGTCGTCACACCTCAGAGTTAGGGTCGCCACACTTCAGAGTTAGGGTCGCCACACCTCAGAGTTAGGGTCGCCACACCTCAGAGTTAGGGTCGCCACACCTCAGAGTTAGGGTCGCCACACCTCAGAGTTAGGGTCGCCACACCTCAGAGTTAGGGTCGCCACACCTCAGAGTTAGGGTCGCCACACCTCAGAGTTAGGGTCGCCACACCTCAGAGTTAGAGTCGCCACACCTCAGAGTTAGGGTCGCCACACCTCAGAGTTAGGGTCGCCACACCTCAGAGTTAGGGTCGCCACACCTCAGAGTTAGGGTCGCCACACCTCAGAGTTAGGGTCGCCACACCTCAGAGTTAGGGTCTCCACACCTCAGAGTTAGAGTCACCTAACCTCAGAGTTAGGCCAAGTATCTACACAGTATCCTTTTTTGGACCACGCAGGTAAAGCCTCTGTAAAAAAGGAAACTGTTTGTATCGGACACATATCAGCTCATTTTTCTGTATATTCGATTCCTCGATTTTCCCCAAATTTACGGTAACATTTCAGGTGTTAATAAATATACAGCGAACAGACATGTACAACTCGAACGCAAGGAGTACTAAACGTGATAAGATGACAGTACACAAAGAGGGGAGTAATCTGGCGAGACCTGAGAACGGCACGGAAATAATAGCTGATAACACGGATGATGATGTCAATATTACGGAGGAGTCCGGAGATGGAGCCCGTGATACTTCTACAAGTGATACTGGAGAAGAGGCAAATGGTGGCAAGATGAGGGGGTCAGGGAAAGTGCCCCCTTTTAAAGATTTGGTGGTCTACATATGGAAATCATGGAAAATGATCATTGGTAAGTCGATAAATAATTTGTATCCCTTGTTTTTATGTTGGCAACTTAGTTATTTTCTCTTTTTTGTAAATCAAAATCTTTTAAATGATTAATATCTTTCGGTTAATCTTTATTGGCTTCAACAATACCTATGCAATTCAATAGTACCAACGATCATCACTGGCTACCTCACAATATAAGATAAGGTTCTGTGACACAATACAGTCCTTCTCAGATCTGATCGTTCTGCCGTTTAGTGACACAATACAGTCCCTTCTCAGATCTGATCGTTCTGCCGAGAGATTTTTGATTCAGTGGAAAAATTAAAAATGTGGAAATTATGCAACTGTGACTGTGCTCAGCCAGTCATGAGATTTTAAGATTCTTGGAATACTTCATCATCCTAAAAATAAGTGCAGTAACTGTTACAAAGCAGTTAACCGTTGACCAGTTATTGTTAGCGTCAACAGTAAATACGGGATACGGTAAATAGCATAAGCAAATTAAATTCTGAACAAATTAAGCAAACAAGATCAGTTCGTGTTGATGCGTTACTACAGTCCTTAATCTCCAACCCTTAATTAACGGGAACCCTTCATACTCCCACAATTATTGATAACTACCGGCCTGCTAGTATTAAGACAAATCGTTTGGCGTTGGTACAACTAAAACCCTGACTCAAGTCCAACCAGTGCAACCCTCTTACTTCAAAACTACGAGTTGATTACTTTGTGCCTCATTTACCGCCCTATAGTTACCGCCCTAGTTACCACATAGAACGATCGTATCTCATAAACCAATAAGGCTGGTCATTGATTTTCAAACACTGAAATGGTGACCGATCGTCTTCGGTCCCATGCATACTGCATAGCTCAGCAACCTGGTCAGATATTGTTATTAAAAAGGAACAAAATGATCCCTCAATTCCTACTGAATATGTGACTAGTACTAAAAATGTTAAATCTACTACACGTATTATTATCACATTTTTCCTTTATTCAATTGAAAACTTATCAGGAAACGAAAAATCAATCTACGCTGGCTGGAAGAACAAAAACGAGTGGACAATCTGGAACTCGGAGGGATACCGGAATGACTCCCTAGACGACACTGACAACAGAGTCATACTTTATGAACTTAGGACAGATCCCAGGGAAAAGAGGAATATAGCTTACAAATACCCTGGAATGGTCGATGAGATGATCAGCAGGTGAAATTCAAATATATTTCGTTATTATGAGAAACCTCAAAATGAGCTTATGTTATACATTATACATTATACATTATACATTATACACTATACATTATACATTATACATTATATGCTATATAGAATACGCCATTGTACGTGGGTCTATCTCCATAAATTTTAGCTGAACCTCAATTTCCCCAGGATCAACCGGAATCACTGGGCCGATGTGAAGCCAATATCCAAGTTCAAGTACAGCGGTCGAGGTATTTCCCAACAGTCGGTCTGGAGACCTTGGTTAAAATCAACAGATGGCAACGTCATGTACCGCCTTTATGACGAAATTATTACTAAAACTGATGACGATGATACTGATTCAGGAAATACTGAAACTGATTCAGAAGATACTGAGTCAGGTGACACTGATGCAGGAGATGCTGAAATTGATTCAGAGGATGCTGAAATTGATTCAGAGGATGCTGAAATTGATTCAGAAGATACTGAAACTGATTCAGAAGATACTGAAATTGATTCAGAAGATGCTGAAATTGATTCAGAAGATACTGAAACTGATTCAGAAGATACTGAAATTGATTCAGGTTACACTGATTCAGGTGACACTGATTCAGGAAATACTGTTTCGGGTGACACTTATTCGGCTGATAGTGAAATTGATTCAGAAGATGCTAAAATTTATTCAGAAGATGCTGAAATTTGTTCAGAAGATACTGAAATTGATTCAGGTAACACTGATTCAGGTGATACTGATTCAGGAGATACTGTTTCAGGAGATACTGATGCAGGAGATGCTGAAATTGATTCAGAAGATGCTGAAATTGGTTCAGGAGATACTGAAACTGATTCAGAAGATACTGATTCAGGTGACACTTATGCAGGAGATGCTGAAATTGATTCAGAAGTTGCTGAAATTGATTCAGAAGATGCCGAAATTGATTCAGAAGATACTGAAATTGATTCAGGTGACACTGATTCAGAAGCTGCTGAAATTGATTCAGGTGACACTGATTCAGGTGACACTGATTCAGGAAATACTGTTTCGGGTGACACTTATTCGGCTGATAGTGAAATTGATTCAGAAGATGCTAAAATTTATTCAGAAGATGCTGAAATTTATTCAGAAGATACTGAAATTGATTCAGGTAACACTGATTCAGGTGATACTGATTCAGGAGATACTGTTTCAGGAGATACTGATGCAGGAGATGCTGAAATTGATTCAGAAGATGCTGAAATTGGTTCAGGAGATACTGAAACTGATTCAGAAGATACTGATTCAGGTGACACTTATGCAGGAGATGCTGAAATTGATTCAGAAGTTGCTGAAATTGATTCAGAAGATGCCGAAATTGATTCAGAAGATGCTGAAATTAATTCAGGAGATACTGTTTCGGGTGACACCCATTCGGGTGATAGTGAAACTGATTTAGAAGATACTGATTCAGGTGACACTGATGCAGGAGATGCTGAAATTGATTTAGAAGATGCTGAAATTGGTTCAGGAGATACCGAAACTGATTCAGAAGTTACTGATTCAGGTGACACTGATGCAGGAGATGCTGAAATTGATTCAGAAGATGCTGAAATTGGTTCAGGAGATACTGAAACTGATTCAGAAGATACTGATTCAGGTGACACTTATGCAGGAGATGCTGAAATTGATTCAGAAGTTGCTGAAATTGATTCAGAAGTTGCTGAAATTGATTCAGAAGATACTGAAATTGATTCAGGTGACACTGATTCAGAAGCTGCTGAAATTGATTCAGGTGACACTGATTCAGAAGATGCTGAAATTAATTCAGGAGATACTGTTTCGGGTGACACCCATTCAGGTGATAGTGAAACTGATTTAGAAGATACTGATTCAGGTGACACTGATGCAGGAGATGCTGAAATTGATTTAGAAGATGCTGAAATTGGTTCAGGAGATACCGAAACTGATTCAGAAGTTACTGATTCAGGTGACACTGATGCAGGAGATGCTGATTCAGGTGACACTGATGCAGGAGATGCTGAAATTAATTCAGAATATACTGTTTCGGGTGACACTGATGCAGGTGATAGTGAAACTGATTTAGAAGATACTGATTCAGGTGAAATTGATTTAAAAGATGCTGAAATTGATTCAGGAGATACTGTTTCGGGTGACACTCATTCAGGTGATAGTGAAACTGATTTAGAAGATACTGATTCAGGTGAAATTGATTCAGAGGATGCTGAAATTGATTCAGAAGATGCTGAAATTGATTCAGAAGATGCTGAAATTAATTCAGGAGATACTGTTTCGGGTGACACCCATTCAGGTGATAGTGAAACTGATTCAGAAGATACTGATTCAGGTGACACTGATGCAGGAGATGCTGAAATTGATTTAAAAGATGCTGAAATGGGTTCAGGAGATACCGAAACTGATTCAGAAGTTACTGATTCAGGTGACACTGATGCAGGAGATGCTGATTCAGGTGACACTGATGCAGGATATGCTGATTCAGGTGACACTGATGCAGAAGATGCTGAAATTGATTCAGAGGATGTTGAAATTGATTCAGAAGATGCTGAAATTGATTCAGAAGATACTGAAATTGATTCAGGTAACACTGATTCAGGTGACACTGATTCAGGAGATACTGTTTCAAGTGACAATTATTCAGGTGATAGTGACACTGATGCAGGAGATGCTGATCCAGGTGACACTGATGCAGGAGATGCTGAAATTGATTCAGAAGATGCTGAAATTGATTCAGAAGATGCTGAAATTTATTCAGAAGATACTGATTCAGGTGACACTGATGCAGGAGATGCGGAAATTTATTCAGAAGATGCTGAAATTGATTCAGAAGATGCTGAAATTTATTCAGAAGATATTGAAATTGATTCAGGTGACACTGATTCAGGAGATGCTGAAATTGATTCAGAAGATGCTGAAATTTATTCAGAAGATACTGATTCAGGTGACACTGATGCAGGAGATGCGGAAATTTATTCAGAAGATGTTGAAATTGATTCAGAAGATGCTGAAATTGATTCAGAAGATACTGAAATTGATTCAGGTAACACTGATTCAGGTGACACTGATTCAGGAGATACTGTTTCAAGTGACAATTATTCAGGTGATAGTGACACTGATGCAGGAGATGCTGATCCAGGTGACACTGATGCAGGAGATGCTGAAATTGATTCAGAAGATGCTGAAATTGATTCAGAAGATGCTGAAATTTATTCAGAAGATACTGATTCAGGTGACACTGATGCAGGAGATGCGGAAATTTATTCAGAAGATGCTGAAATTGATTCAGAAGATGCTGAAATTTATTCAGAAGATATTGAAATTGATTCAGGTGACACTGATTCAGGAGATGCTGAAATTGATTCAGAAGATGCTGAAATTTATTCAGAAGATACTGATTCAGGTGACACTGATGCAGGAGATGCGGAAATTTATTCAGAAGATGCTGAAATTGATTCAGAAGATGCTGAAATTTATTCAGAAGATATTGAAATTGATTCAGGTGACACTGATTCAGGAGATACTGTTTCGGGTGACACTTATTTTGGTGATAGTGAAACTGATTCAGGAGATTCTGTAACTGATGCAGGAGATACTGATTCAGGAGATATTCATTCAGATGGAATATCTGATTTAGCACTAGGTGATATCGATACAGATAAAGATGAAACTGAAATGCATGAAACTATGCAAAGTTCATAGATGAGAATCGAAACTGGATTTTACTAGGGTTTTATTACTTTCTAGACAATGTTTCATTGTCAAATGTCAATATAATATACAATTTAATTGGGAATTATAATTCAGACTGTTTAGTGTTATCTTATAAGATAGTAAGGTAAAAAAACATTGTTTCGATGAAATGAACGTTTCAATATTACTTGATCTGTATTAAGGGGAAACCGTGCGCAAGTTTCATACACAAGTTAGGTAAAATTAAATTAATTACCTTATTAAGTTAATTAATTTAGGAGATACTGATTTAGGAGATACTGATTCAGGAGATACTCATTCAGATGGAATATCTGATTTAGCACTAGGTGATATCGATACAGATAAAGATGAAACTGAAATGCATGAAACTATGCAAAGTTCATAGATGAGAATTGAAACTGGATTTTACTAGGGTTTTATTACTTTCTAGACAATGTTTAATTGTCAATAATATACAATTTAATTGGGAACTATAATTCAGACTGTTTAGTGTTATTTTATTAGATAGTAAGGGAAAAACCATTGTTTTGATGAAATGAACGTTTCAATATTACTTGATCTGTATTAAGGGGAAACCATGCGCAAGTTTCATGCACAAGTTAGGTAAAATTAAATTAATTACCTTAACAAAATAAATAAAAATTATTTATCATTCAAAATTATTAAATATTCTAAAAACCTATTTTGTCCTGTTTTCTGCTAAGTCTAGCAGTTAGTTTTTTAGTCAATTCTACTGCTTTAACACAATGCAGCTAGAATTAACGTATATACGACGAGAATTGCAAATGTTCATCTACCTCTGCCTTCTAACGCTACCAGTACCTATTAGTTATGTTACTAGTTAAGTTACTAGTTAATTTATTCGAATATTGTTTAATACGGCACCTGCAAAACCCGACTTTACATTAAATCTAGCTGGTAAGCATATTCTGAATCTGCTCTAGAATAGTAATTTCAGTTCGTTCGTTTTAGTCGTGGTGATTTTAGGATCCGTAGAAGGTAATTTGGATACGATGAAAGCGCTCGGCATCAACTTCAACGTGAGCAGTGGACACTTTACATTGTTGGAATTTAGCCAAATACTTGTCGTCAGTAGTATCCTCGAGGTTGTATTGTTTTGCAGCAAGTCCACACATTCAGGCCTTTCTGAAGTTACAATTTTATTATTGTCAACACAACAACAAAACAACAAAAAAAGAGGACAAATAAACATCGGCCTCTTTGCGGTAAAATATTTTTAACGCATAAAATATCTACAACAGTTTGGTAAGCGGACCCTATCCTTATAACTACTTGAAGAGATACTATCCCTACTAGTAGTAGTAGTTATGACTTATGAAGTGGTAAGGGTTAGTCCCGGTTAGGATTAGGGTTAGGGTTAGGGTAAGCGGTAGGGATTCAGTCAGTTAGAGATTCGGTCCGCCTACCAAACAGTATTTCAGGTCACTTCAAGTTATTTTAGGAATGCAAGTTACAAACCGGTTTGGTAGAAGGCTGCGGACTGTCGTGGGTGGGTTTGTAGTTGTCATAACACAGGTCCCTATCATTCACAGTCACGTTCCGTGCTTTCAACGTCTGAAATATTTGCAAACTTTAACTTTTAGGTTAACAACTTTCCAAGACGCGTGCCAAGTTGGACGAGTCGACGGTCTTTACTTGGAACAAATATTTTACAAGTATCACCCGTTAAACATTAACACAGGTGCACAAACACGTTGTCCAAATATTTAAATCTAAGTTTTGGCTCAAACTCAGTATCGATGTTATAATAAGAGTTGAGCGTCATATTATTTTGTCAGAAACTATAACTGTCTTCTTTTGGAAAGTCAAAATCGATTCGTAGGGAAGTTATTGAATAATTCGTACCTGGTAGCAATGTTGTCGAGCTCTGATCATGCTCATTGCATCAGGGTCCACTGATCCTGTCACAATCTCGATATCGATCCGCCTTATTGGACCATACTGAAATTGTGATTGATAATCTCCTTTTATATTTCAAGTATAGATAAACCCCAATAATTTCCTTTTATTTTCACGCATGAAATTAATTTATATCGCATCAGAATGCAGATCAAGGCGAAAAAAATCGGAAATGGGTTTTCAAAGGCAATAATATCTAGTTAGAACCCAAAGCTGGCCGACTGCATGAATAATGAATATGACGGAGGCGGGAAATAACGGCTACCATTCCCTTATACCCAGAGGTTGTATCTTAAAATATAGCTGATTTATGATTTGCGACATTCTGCCATTTAATCGAACCAAGTATGAAATGTTACATCTCACAGCATTATTTACTGCACTCAGGATTTTATAGTGTTCAATATGGCTTTTTACCGTGGGCATGTTTTTGCTGCTGTAAGTCTGTGATACGGTGACTGTTCGGTGTCTACAGTAGTGGAAACATCTTTTTGCTTGTTCGTTGCTGTACAGCCCCATTTGCAGTAGATCCTAAATCGGAATTCTTGGTGAGATCAAATAATCATTATGATATTAATTTTTAAAACAGTATTGAAGGACACTTATGAGTGATAATTTCTGAATACACAATAAGGGAAATCGTATTTTTTAACGTCTCTACAGAAACAAAATGTTTGATTTGAATAACTGTTACTGATCACTGTATCACTAACCAGTCTACGATAGTAAGGAATAGAATCGTATCCGTTGTTATCAGCATCAACCAAGATGCTGTAAAGTTTATCAGGTTCTATAAATGCACATTGACATTTAGAGTAGTCCGGAGTTGTGGATGTGGCTTGCTCTGATATTGCTGTTCCTGCTTGGAGAGGGTTTCTTGTTTAATGTTTCATTTCTGTGTTCATTGGGACATAAAATGGCGGAATTTTGAGTCAAAGGAGGCCAGCGATATTTTACTGCTTTCTAGCTTAAGATGTGCCAGGCAGGGAAAAAGTTTTAACGAAATAAAAATAAGCATATCATTCGTACTGTAAGCTGAGAGGTCTGAGAGTTCTGCCCAAATTTCCATGTCATCATGACCTCCGATGTTGTTATTCTTGAGACTGTGTTCCGGTTTCTGCGGGTCGAGAAGGTCGATAAATTGCTGATGCCAGGGAGGGGTTGTGCTGATAGCTCTGGTGCTCTTTGTATAGTACTCGGAAGTGGTGCTCTCCACGCGCTGAACAGGTCGGTGGGTTACTGGCACGATGTGTTGCGAGCCTTCTTTTGTTTCACCTACTGATCAGGTTTCGATTATTGTCGAATATTTGTCGGACTAAAAGTTAAGACGAGTGTCAAAGTTTCAAATCCCAAACGGGGTGGTAGTGAAAACGTCTTCGGGGAATAATTGTTTAAACTTTTATATAAATTTTAGAAGTTAAAAGAATTTATAAGGTACATACTTTTATAAGGAATTTGATAATGGCCGTTTTCTTCCTCTGTTGTTTGGTTATCATCGGGCCTCTTATCTGGGTAAAGTATAGATTAAATCAAAATAGAAATAATAAATATGGGAAAATATTCTTTTTGTTCCATTTTCGGTATAAAACAACCTTTTAACATAAAATCTTGAAGTTGGATAATAGCCATTTTAATTTTAAATCGGTGACAATTACATGGATTTAAATAAAATCTTTGGAAAAGAATTTGATGAAAATGTAACTTAATTCTAAATTCAGTGCAACGTTTTTTTTGTTAAAAACATTTAAAATTCAAACCTGATATGTAATTGGGCCGAGTCTGAAACTTGATTTTACCACCACTGATTTTGGTTTTGGGAGGTTTGATTTCTTCCTGATCGTCTGGCTGTACTGCTGATGGGGGCTTGGCAAATTCTTTTATTTCTGAAAATGTTATAACTCTTTAGTACTTATCAATTTTGAACTTCTGTGATATGATAAAAACTGCATCGTTGCACCATTCTAATTATAATATTAATATATTTTGAAGCATTATGCAGTTTTTGTGGATCAACGATCAAAAGATGCGGCAATTTACAAACCTATATCTTTTATGATTTATGATAGGGGACCTTATCAAGCAATCAAACTTTAATGAATAAATTTGATTTTTTTCCTCGGTATTATCAAAGTCTATTACCGTGTGGAGATAATATCCTTTTAGAATGTCTTCTGGGTCTACTGGTTGCTGGTCCAAGAAGAGAGCAAGTGATAACGAGGCTTAGATATCCAACTAGAGTCATATTATCATCACACTGCGAGTTTGTTCGTTAGTCTTAATTAATCTTAGCAACGTGGAAATGAGGGCGGTTCACTTACATTTCAGCCCTTCTACAATATTCCAACGAAAAGAGCGGGAACAATGGATTATTGTCTTATAAACATGAAATTAAATCGACGGAACTGAGGCTGAGCAAAGAATCAAAAATTATTCGATGTAAATGCAATAAGTTTAAAAATAAAATAAAATAAATCCATGTGCGGTTGTCTCGCGAAAGCAAACACTGAATGGTGATTATAACACCATAAAATCATAAATGCACAAGTAAAGGGAGCCTAACGCAATGCAATTTCACATTGCAAACAATCGAAAAATCAAATTAAATAAAAAATAATTCATTTTCTGTTAAATGTGATAAGGGAGGTCCTATTTCGGAAATGAAGGTAGAGCCGCGTAGGTTTGCACGCCTGCACAAAAGGCACAAGTTATGAACAATCCCCTCTCCACCCCTCAAGAGTTACCAACCTCCCACCATGACATTACTCCCACTTCTCCAACTGCAACCGGACTTCCGGGCTGACAATGACATGACATTGGCTACTGAAGAGCCGCGGCGTGAGTTGCTGTGCCTGTTAGTCGGTCAGGTAGCCCTTAATGGGGCAAGTTACCGGCACGCTGGGAGTATCTGGAAAATTAAGTAAAACCAGATGCTGGAACGATTGGGGAATGGGACTAATGATGGAAGGAGGAGGTATGAGGTCTAATGAGGAGGAGAATTTGGGGGTGGATCTTTCGAAACTCAATTAGCGAAGGATTTGTAATGAGAACAATTTATTTAGGTCGTTAAAGTAGGTAGCGTTACCGAAACTTGCTGGTAAAGCAGACGTTCCCAGATCCCCAGCCTGGAAATATCTATAAGAAAATGAATTACATGGGCCAGGTCGGGGCCACGTCCCTCTGCTTCCTAGTAGGATTCCGGTAACATTGTTTATGTCAGGGTATGATTTTCAGACGAAATCTAGTGGGCTGCCATTACCAAGCACATACGGATCCGAACTAGTATGTGACCTTTCTTCTGGTACTTGGTTTATTCAACAGTCAACAGTCAACAGTCAACAGTCAACAGTCAACAGTCAACAGTCAACAGTCAACAGTCAACAGTCAACAGTCAACAGTCAACAGTCAACAGTCAACAGTCAACAGTCAACAGTCAACAGTCAACAGTCAACAGTCAACAGTCAACAGTCAACAGTCAACAGTCAACAGTCAACAGTCAACAGTCAACAGTCAACAGTCAACAGTCAACAGTCAACAGTCAACAGTCAACAGTCAACAGTCAACAGTCAACAGTCAACAGTCAACAGTCAACAGTCAACAGTCAACAGTCAACAGTCAACAGTCAACAGTCAACAGTCAACAGTCAACAGTCAACAAAGCGGCCCCTCATTTACAACGGTCAACAGTCCAACATTTTTTGACACGTGACTTGAAACTTTGTTCTTAACAGACAGTAAGTATTATAGAAGGTTACATTTTAGGAATCCAAATTATGATTATAATCGTTACGATCTGTAAGTAGGATCTAGTTACGAATCGAATCACAACCAGCCACCTTCAGGTAGTGATCTCCACGATCACTGCGAATTTGTAATCATAACGATATGTAAATGTTGACGAGCCGATTCGTTAATATGATATTAACTATGGTAAGTTTTTATTAATCAATGCTCCTAAGTAAATCTAGATGAGTACTCAAACGCCGCCGCCAAGTACTTCGAAGACAATGACCATTGCTTGATCACAAGTCTGGTTAGTTTGCCGTATATAATAATAGACACACTAAAGTTAACCACTGATCCCTGAGGCTAGAACCTTCGAAACTTAAAGTCCTTTATCGTTCGCTGCCATCAGATCTATAGTCCATAAACAACGAAATAATCCGGTGAATAAACACTTGCTCAACACGAATTTGTGTTTTAACATACTTTAACAAGTCCCGAGGGCGTATCCACATTCCACAATCTGACCCAATGCCAGCAGGTAGTAAACATACCTTATATACCTCAATAAATACAACCTCTGAAGAGAGCGTGCTCCTCCGAACCCTCTGCTAAGAAGTACACCAAATGTCCTCTCCAAGATAATTAGATCACTTCTCACCCTGTATGATAAGATGAATCTGATACACTATGAATAATACACGCATTCGCACAGAATTAGGAAGTCTTTTGCCCGCGAACCTTCAAGTTGGTTGTAGCTTTGTTTCACGTTGGTAGTAACTTTCTTTCGCCGCTTCTCTTTATCATTCTCTTTATGCTGAGTCTGATTCTTTAGAATTCGATCAACAAGTTTAACAGAAACGTGATAAAGGTGCATAAAGGTTTCCCGGGGTCGATCATTAGTCAAAATCTTTATTATCTCTTTAAATTCATAGTTGTTGATGATTATGGCAGTAATTTTTCGTATATTTATATTCTTATTTATTAACACTTCGATATAAATATGTGACACATAAACTGTTTGGGAAACGTGTGACAGCCTTGCAATTATGAACTATTTTTAGTTATAAATACCTTCCACAATGAACATAATATTTAGGAAATATATCCGCCATCACAATGAGGGTTAAGGTCCCTCAGGAATCACTCCATGAGCTTCGTACCAAAGTCCGACTGGTCCGACGCGTTATTAGGTTTATTGGACTGTGGTCACCTCGCTGAACCTCCAATTAAAGGTCTCGGTGGTCGGTGATGCAAACAACACACTCGTTAAAAATACCTCCATCAAGGAAAATTTGCGGAGTTCTTAAATATTTTTTACCCTTCGGAATTATGAATCACAATGTGTAGGTCACTGATCGGGTTGACGTTTCGAAAGAATAGGAATTTGTACGATTTTCATTGGTGCCAAGTGGTATCGGGGAAATTTTCCTCTTAGTCTCAGAAAGGAAGGTCTTGATTGCTCTCGTCAGCGATCATGCTCAATACTCGACTTACTCGACTTAGGGCGGCTTATGCTCAATAGTAATTTGTAATTGTAAGAATCTTGATGACGAAACATGAAAGCGTAAGATCTGTAGATCAAGTTTGTAACTCGTTATCCGTGTTTTGTAACCTTAGTTTTACGTCGCGAGATATAGGTATAAATGTCCCTTATTTACTAGCTACTTATTTTTACCTTAATTTGTTATATTCCTGTACAAAAAATAAATTTTCAAATGTATGTGTATCGTGTAATAAGTCGAGTAAATAGTACAACATTTACACAGACCCCAAAAAGTACAACATTTACACAGACCCCAAAAAGCACAACATTTACACAGACCTCAAAAAGTACAACATTTACACAGACCCCAAAAAGTACAAAATTACACAGACCTCAAAAAGTACAACATTTACACAGACCCCAAAAAGTACAACATTTACACAGACCTCAAAAAGTACAACTTTTACACAGACCCCAAAAAGCACAACATTTACACAGACCTCAAAAAGTACAACATTTGCACAGACCCCAAAAAGTACAACATTTACACAGACCTCAAAAAGTACAACATTTACACAGACCCCAAAAAGCATAACATTTACACAGACCTCAAAAATTACAACATTTACACAGACCCCAAAAAGTACAACATTTACACAGACCCCAAAAAGTACAACATTTACACAGACCCCAAAAAGTACAACATTACACAGACCCCAAAAAGTACAACATTTACAGTTTACACAGACCCCAAAAAGTACAACATTTACACAGACCCCAAAAAGTACAACATTTACAGTTTACACAGACCCCAAAAAGTACAACATTTACACAGACCCCAAAAAGTACAACATTTACACAGACCCCAAAAAGTACAACATTTTCACAGACCCCAAAAAGTACAACATTTACACACACCTCAAAAAGTACAACATTTACACAGACCCCAAAAAATACAACATTTACACAGACCCCAAAAAAAGAAAACATTTACACAGACCCCAAAAAGTACAACATTTACACAGACCCCAAAAAGTACAACATTACACAGACCCCAAAAAGTACAACATTACACAGACCCCAAAAAGTACAACATTTACACAGACCCCAAAAAGTACAACATTTACACAGACCCCAAAAAGTACAACATTTACACAGACCCCAAAAAGCACAACATTTACACAGACCTCAAAAAGTACAACATTTACACAGACCCCAAAAAGTACAAAATTACACAGACCTCAAAAAGTACAACATTTACACAGACCTCCTACCTGCTACTGACATAGAGTTGAGAGGTCAAATAAGGTAAAGAAATGGCGAAATATTCTGCGATGGATCCATATGACAACCACTAAAAGTGATTGCAGTATATGAATATCCACCAGAAGTATATTGGTTTTATTAAATCAATAATAAGAAAATCCATTGCTTCCATTGGAATTTGGAAGGTTTGACAAAAACAGAAATTGAATTCATTCTCTGAATGGAAGGCAAAGGTTTTAGCTTTATATTTAATTGTAATTTATATTATATTAATCTATTTTAGGCATTTATTTATGTTATTTCTTTACTACATAGTATAAATTGTTACATAACATAAAATCTGCAGCCATGTCCGACACGGTGACCTCGCAACTACCAGATGATGTCCAGTTGCACGTGCAGACTCCCCTTATCTTCAGTGCTCCACTATCTAAAGTAGCTAACAGACCAGTCTTTCTGAAACTCGAGAACACGCAACCTAGTGGATCTTTCAAACTTAGAGGTAAAGCTATCTTAAGTATTCTTCTTGAGTCAAATACGTCACAATACCCTATTAACCCGCTTTTTTGTTCACGACCGTTACTTTATAGCGACCTTTACTTTTGAGCGCCTCTAACTTTTATGCAGCTCTAATAATTTAATTTAAACTAGACTTACCGACAATTCATATAATTTACAGATTTTTCGGTATAAATTTACTATGAGATGGGTCTTGATCCAGAGTTTTTCCATGAAAATGTAATTTTTATGTTATGGACGGGGCTAAAGACACGTTTGCTTAATTATGTATGAGTGGGTGTAGCACATGCCGTAAAAATAACTCATAAAAAATGAATGTTTATTTTTAGTGATTTTAAATTTTTATAAGAAAACTTTGGAATTATTAAATTGATAATCAGCGATCAAAGCGAGCATGAAATACAAAAATATAGTTTAATACTCGGCCGAATCGTGCCCAAAAACATGTGCTTACCTACCATTCAGACTGAAGAATAATGTCACCAAGGATCTGGTTTAAAAAAACTAAATGTGTAGGGTAACGCTCGAGGGGTACCACCTAATCGACCCTAATTTTGTGCAAGAAAACGTATTCAGACAAATACTCTGTCGATTTCCCGGCCCCTCTTTCAAGTAAAGACAAAAATGAAGAAGAAAGAGCGAAGGCCTGGCAAAATATAACTGATGTTGTGGTTTCTTTTATTGAAACTCAACAGATTTTTAATGCGAATTAAACTAAAAATAGCTGATAATGGCTTGAAATCGTGACCACAACAAGCAGAATAAACTATAAAGGCAGGGCTTAGTAAGTGTTCGCTGCTGAGAAAAAATGAGCTTGATAATTTTTTATCTTTTTTCCGACGTCAAGTTTGTCCACACAAGACTAATTGTGCCGGAACAATAAAGCCAAAGTCTGATAAGGTTTTATAATCAAACGATTCTTTAATCATTAGACCTAACAAAGAAAAAAGGAATGATAGCTTGAAAGACGGTTAGTTTTTATATTAAACGATGCCAAAACTCGAGGGCTTTGTAAAAATACATGAGCCGTCCAAATGACGGCATTTTGTAAAAAACTGATTGTACCTTAGACCCTTAATAAAATAGTTTATGTGACTTGAATTATCTGATTATTTTACAAAAACGATTATAATGGCCTAGACCATGGAAAATTGAAATGATAGCTGTTATCTGTCTACTGCAAAGGTCAGACAGAGGTGTACAAATAAAAATTCGATGAAGCGTGAACAAATGGAACATGGACACACCTGAGTGCTCTTAATGCATTTAAAATGCCATTACGGTGGAACCATTTGGAGCAATTCGGTCATGAATCTTTAATCTGACCACTATATAGATATACTATAACGCAAATAACACTGTAAATTGTAAAAGTGAGTATAAATAGAGATATCTATCTTGGAAAGGAATTTTTATTACGCAAATAACCACTAATTCCGTGATATCAACTGAGACTAGGAATGATAATCAATATGAGAATTGACAGGAAGTCGTAAGGAAAACTTCTTAGGTCAATGCTCGACTTGGTAAATAACGTCAGGTATCATTAATACAGATTCCTTTGAGTCTAAGCTCTTCAGACATATCTTTTGAAAAACGTCTGGAAATTCGAAGCCGAAAGAAAGGTCGGCAAAGTTAATGAGTAACCATGAAAGGAAATCAATTCGTGTCAAGCAAAACGTGGGAATTACAATTTTTGGCCGCGAAAACTGTGCCCGTTTGCCACATTCGGATATTAGCATTTTGCGTGGGACGGGTAAGCAAGTCAAACTTAATATAAAAAGTAGAACTTATTTAGGTTCGTGGCTAATCCTGACAAATTTGGAGGGGCGCCCCAGACAAAAACGAAGGAGTCATAGTAAAATGGATCAAAAATATTGGAGGCGTTAGTCTTTGAACCAGGTTATGGGTGGAGGATGACTCAGACGATTGAACGTTTGCTGAGACAAAATCAATTTTGCGGGCTGGATCGCTCACGGAACTGCCGCCAGATTAGAAGCCAGCGCCTGGTGTGGATCGTTACCATAGCAACTATCAGCCAGAAACTAACTAAACAAATCAGACTGAAGATGCAACACATGACAACTAACGGACCGTCTGATTGGTCGCTCAGCACTGTCTGTCGGGAAAAGAGGGTCTAACCTGGCGTCACTAGCTACAGAACTACTTCCCAAGAAAAAGCAGACTACATCTTCACCTAGATTTACGGGGAAAGATGTGCAAGGCAGTAAATTGAATATAATAGCTATTTGTCGCAACCCCCAAATGAACTGTAATTCCAAGATATATCTAGACAGGGTGCTTTGGGTACGGTCCCTGCTCGTGCAACGTACCCTTCACCTCCCACCTCGACCATCAAGACTCACCACACCCGGCAAATTAGTAGGAACTAGCACCTACAGCAGAGGTCTGGGAGTTCAAGTTTATGGAAACTATTTTAATTTCCTGTAGAAGACTGCGCAAAAGTTACATTAATATAAATAATATAATTATTATAATTATGTAGAAGACTGTGTAAAAGTTACATTAAGGTATCAAATAAAATCTGGTTCAAGGATCGAGCCCATTCTAATCATGGCCATGCATTTTCTATGATTATGAATATTCATATATTTTTGGTCGACATTACAAGCATGTCGCAGGCATATATCAAATTAGATTTAGAAATAGAAGAATTAAACTTAAAGCATTAAATGTTCAAGGCCTTATAAGCATTACTAAAAACACGAACAAGGGTCAAGGACTAGTAACATTTTGTATCGAAACAAATTGTGCAACTGTAAGAAAATAGGAAGCATATATCAAATTAATGTTTTTTCAAACTTTTTCAGGACTTAAACAATATACTTTCTAAATTACCTGCATCTCCAAACTCCTGACAAAGACGAACTAACCTTTACAAAATCTTTAATATCTTATCAAAAATTATTCTACCGGACATTGCGTGAACGGACATTATTTTGAAGGGACATTAACATGAACGCTATAGTGCCTCCAGCGTCAAATTAATGTCCGTTCAAATAAAGTCTGATAAGGCAGCTGTCGTTTCAATTCTAAACTCATTTCGGCTGTAAAAGGGAGAAAAACTGAATATGTTAACAAACTAAATATCTAAATAAAACACGTTCTCATTATTAAATTCAGTCAGCACTCAGCAGGCCTCTGCATATATACGTTTATTTTTTGAGTGATTCAATCAAAATTTAGAAGTTTGCCATGCAGTGCAATGGTACATAAGGTTTAAAAATAAAGAATGAAGACATCATTTCCGGTTTCGAAATGAATGTAGCCATACAATTGCATATGGTCAGAAGAACAATCAACAAAACGATTGCGTTAAAATTCGTTCAATAGTAAGATTCTTCTACTTGTAGGATCTTTAATTGATTCATAACGATTACAATTAGAATTGTGACCACTTATATGGGTACAACACTCGGGTGTTCCAGGCCAAAAATGGAGAAAAACTGAAATATCGGCCCTCCCATGCAATATGTCGATCATATCATGGCTTCAAACGAAGGCCCTAGATCAAATAGGGTATCTTTTCGTCTGGGATGAGAGTGATGATAATTACGCTAGTTTAGCGAAAAGAGCAGACAGGCAAGAAAATTGGATTTCTGGGTGGAACTGAGGTAACACGAACTTTGTTCCAGGAATCGGACACAGCTGTAAGTTGGCGGTGAAGAACGGGGCTTCCCACCTTGTCTGTAGTTCAGGTGGGAACGCTGGCATGGCAACTGCCTACTCTGCAAACCGCCTTGGGGTCAAGTAGGTGTCTTTAAACGCTTTATTTCAATTAAAACTTAGGCGCTATTGTTCCGCGCCGTTCGGTGGAACTCTGTTTTGACGGAGTTGCGAACTGTTTGGTACCGGTGACCAGGTTTATGCCACCCCAGTTCTAGACGGAAAGGTATTAAGATCATTGAATAATGAATTGCTGTAACTGCAGAGAGGGGTGAAAATAGACTTTTTCATGAGCCCGTTGTCTGATTCCGGTGCAAACGAGTATCCAGCTTCTATCAATCGAGTATCAAAACTCAACAATAATAACTGTTGATCTAGTTTCGGATCTAATTTTCACAGTAATGACTATTGATCTCGTTACCGAGATTGGAGCTAAAACCTCAGTTCGAACAGCCATAAGTAAATTATGGGATCTCAATAGAAACATTGTAGGAATTTAAATTTTACTTGCCCCGTATATCTTAACTGGGTCACGAATAATAATACAAATAAAATACTAAAAAAGACGAAAGTCACAAATCGTGCATCTTTAATTCTGACAAGTATAAAATCTGGAATCTATACTAAAATTATCACGTACCAAAAGCAACAAGTTAACTAAAATCACGTCGGCAGTAAGATTTACAGTTACATAAACAGTATACACCTTCTAGTTCTAAAATATTAACAAATTCACAGGGCAACTGTTTTCACCATGGACGGACTACCTCAGCCAGTTCTGAAAAAGTTCAGCGACCTCGGCAGCGACATTCACATCGGGGGTCCCATCTGGGATATTTGTGATGCAACGGCCAAAAAATACATACAGAAAATGAAGGACGAAGGGAAAACGTGCCATTATATCCATCCTTTTGATAGCCCGGTGGTATGGGATGGACACTCGACCCTGATCCATGAGGTAATGCTATATTGGGTAATTTGTTGGAGTATAATCTGTACTAGGAGCCCTTTTTGGTGAGATCTTCTTCCGGGAAAACTAAATCATTACAGTTGATATGATTTTGAGATATCTTTTGAATCATTAAGTAATCGGTTACGTTGGAGTTTTAAAAATTATTTCGTCACAGTCTGCGACACACTTTATGACTTCACGATCTCGACCCAATAACTTTGATATCATCAATCATGACGCAAAAGTTATTAGTGATTGTTATAAGTTGTGACGAATCCTATAACACAATTCGATTTCATATGTTTAAAAACGGAAACGTAGCACTTCTAGGCTTATGACCCACTTAATGCTGATGATGTCAATGTCAAATATGTGCGATTTTTTTCCGCAGATTCCCGGATTACGATTAATATCAAGAATCAAGATTTGGGGCTTTATAATCGTGGTGTTCAAAAAGGACAACGCGTTTAAAGGAATTTTAATTTTATCGTGGCAGTCTAATCCTATCACGGCGGGCTGAAAAACCTCAAAACATCATCTCTCTGAATGAGAATCAACAAAAACTCACCCCGAATCAAGGTGGATTGGATCAACCTGGATAAACCAATCAGACAACCTCATTTATTTTTAAATCACGTGACTTTGATCCCTGTACGGGATTGGCTAAATCTTCATCTCTCGCATCAAGGTGGTGGGACAGTTGGCGAGTGCGGGGTACGAAGAACCAGGAGCTGTGGTAACATGTGTGGGTGGTGGTGGTCTGCTAGCCGGCATTGCTCACGGCATGAAACACGTTCACTGGGACCACGTACCTATCGTTGCCATGGAAACGTACGGAGCGGACTCGTTCAATAAAGCGGTTAAAGCAGGAAAGGTGGTGAAGCTGGACGAGATCACGAGTTGTGCTAAAACCCTCGGTAAGAATTATGATATGGGTTTTTAACTAAATCAAGTAAAAGAGATTATTGCAGACTGTCCTGAAAAGCCATATTCACCTTAAAATATGAAACATAACCTGAGAAAAATGATCGTTTCCCGTTTAAAAAGACAAACAGCCACTAAATTAAAGCACTGTCAGGTGCACTTGCAGTTTGCCAAGAAGTAGTGGACTTGTCTCAAAAGAGGAAAATAACCAGCCATCTTGTGGACGACAAGACAGCAGTGGAGTGCTGTGTACTCTTTTTAAGAGATCACCAGTTCCTAGTGGAACCAGCCTGTGGAGCCACACTTGCTGCAGTTTACACAGGTAAGGTGAAAGTGAACGCAGCGTAAGGTGAAAGGGAATGTTTAAATACGGAACAGATAACAGTAACAGTAACAGTAACAGTAACACTAACACTAACAGTAACAGTAACAGTAACAAAATATTACGTTTTCGCGACTCGATTCCTCAATCTTTTTATTTATTTTTCATAATATTGCAGCGTATACCATAAACTTTGATCAAGTTATCAACAAATGAAACCGAAAGTGAAACATGAACAAAACCTGCAACTGATGATGATAGATTGCATGTGCGCGGCTTACCTATTCGGCGTTTGTCACTGGTGCTGCTATTACTACTGTACTACTAGTACTACTAATAATACCTACAAAATATAATTGGGTAAACTGAAAATAAAAGTTAGTGAGCTAAAAACAGGTACGCGCTGAAAATATTTTCCGAAGAATCTAAATGCCAAAATATGTTAATATAACTCAATAAATATAACTATATTTATAGTGCTAATTGTGCCCGTGTCATGTGTCGGTCCTACCAATAATGGTGTTAATGATAAAGTTTACCGGAAGATGTTGAGGGAGAGGGCGGAGCTCGTGCCACTACCTGACTAAAAGGACATGAAGCAATTGTTTGGAGTGTGCTCGAGCTAGGGTGTGAGCTTTGCCTTGCGCACTGGAAAACGGAATTTTTGATGAAGGAACAAAGTTGCACACAATCCTTATTTGTCTAGACACACGCCAACGTGTTTCAAAATATTCTACAAATGACACCTGTCAAGCGAGCCTTACTCCACCCACCGTAAGGTTTCCTTTTACAGTTTATAGGTATAACTGCGATTTGAGATGGAGAAGCAAAAATTGAGGATCAAAGAAGAGACTTTGACCTGAAGAACGACGAATGGATTTAGTGTTAGAAAGTAGCTAAACGCAAGCGTTAATGGAAAAGCCACTGGATACATTTAAGCTAAGTTGGACGTGTTAAAACCAAAGCGTCTAGGAATGCATGCCTGATTGCCAAGAGCCCGATTCGACAAGTTCCGTTGCCGTCAACCAATAGCTGGGATGTCGCAGACACGTGCGCGCGGCGTCCACCAGTCCACAGCTACTGGCTCAGCCGACGTGAATCCGAACATGCCTTTTTTTAAAGAACTTTTACATGATGTGCGATTGAAGCCGTGGAATTCGATAATAGTTCAAAGTTAAACGTCGATGCGATTTAAACATTATAAAGACCGAAATGATGGCAATTAGAATTGGCTTCTAGCAATAATTATAAAACCCCATGATATGGTGAGACGTTGGGAGACAGGACGTTTGATACTGTGAGCCGACACATAGAACCCAGTAATTGGAAGCTTACTGTTTAGCATGTCAAATGACACTTAGTAATAGTTCCCTTTAAATTAAGGTTCACAAATTCAAAGGCAACCAACAACCGTTATCTATATCAAAGGCGGCGATAATTAAGATAAGGTGAGCGTATGAACCTTTCACACTTCATAACCTCCTCTGATTTCCAAGAAATACCAGTAAAACCTCCAATTAACATAACTCTATTCCCAGGTAAGATAAGGGAGTACCTTGAAGAACAGAGTCCCGGCACCAGTCCTATAGTTGTGGTGATCTGTGGTGGCGCTACCGTCGATATTGATACTCTTAACGGTCTAGCGGCTAAATTTGACATTGACACGAAACTGGAGAAGTATTATCCTTTGGAACAAATGCGATTATAACTATTTAGAAGAATTTATATCGAAAACTGCAGTCTGTATATGGAAATTTTTGACGTTTTGATTCCATTATAGATGTGATTTTTACCATTTCTTTTTCAACATAGATGAATCAGTTATTATTGTCCTGGAGATGTCTATGAACGAAATTAAGAAATGATTATGATCATGAAAACCGGAAGTTACTTCCGAATTCTCGAATATTATAATATTTATATGTCAATTATTTCCGTTTTAAAACAAATGAAAGTCGAAAATTTCCCATCGTTGCCAAAAGCAGCAACCAAAAAGAAATTTAATTTTATAACAATAGGTAGCATTACAAATAAAGTTTTACAAGAACCGCGGCACCGTCTATCCTACTCTACCGTCCTCCGGGGACGAGGTCTGAGTTTCCCTCAGTGCAACTATCATTTTATCATCTATCAACATTTTAAAGGAGGCACCGGTCCTCTCACAAAGAAGTAGAAACTGATAGTGAGGTGGTACGAACAGGGAGTTGGGAGTATTCTGCGAGCTGAGCTGCTGACTTTGGAGCTGGACTCAATCCGCCTCTCTCTCTTGCTAAAGGGATAGGTACAGGTAGGAGGGTAAGTGCCGGTTGATGAACGCATGTTACCTAACGAGTTGCGGGGAAGGAACCCCGAAAAAACAGAGGTATAGTTATGAGGAGATGCGGGCTCGGTACCGCTCGGTACCCTGAAGTTGTCGTTTAGGGAAGGTACCAGAGGACAGCACAGTTAGATGGTTATCACCCGGCTCAGTTTCTGGATTCTGTTCAGTAGAAGGTCGCCCTGCTTTATCACCGCCTGGGTCGAAAGGGGTTTTTGAGTAATGATCGTGATTTACAAAATTAGCAGATATGTCAGGGAAGTGACTGGCACGTGGCTCCGGCGCGCTATTATAAAAAGTTGGTGACAGTGACGCCGCGCGCACGTGCCAGTCACAGTTTCACTGTGACAACTACCCTCCTCACAATATCACTGATGAGTTTTGAGGCAAGGCATTGGGCAGGCAGGTGCGCAGTACTTTGGTAAAAATGCGACCAATTTTGCACCAACACCGCGCACTTCCCTCCGGGTAATGCTTAGATCTTTAGATCACAGTGAGAGTGACACAACAAATAATTTCAAGTTAAGTAACACCAAACAACAAACACATTGACGCTTTGGTCTGTTCGCTGTTGTACGAGTCAGTTCGGAAATCAAATTCAAGTTAGAATATCCGGGTTTAACAGATCTCAGTATACGATCGAGACACGGTAGAAGATTATGACGACTATGTGTGAGACGAGTCGCCAGCAGGATATAGGATTCAATGGAAGTTACTCTAATAGTAATTATAAGCTCCACAAAGTGGTCAATTTTAAATTAAACTTCGGTTACTTCTCTCAGTAAAAAACACGATGGTTACAACACTACATCAAAACTGGTTTTGCACCGGCCAAGATTTCGCATTACATTTTTGGAATTCCAGAGCACTTTTTTAGTTGAAAGAATAACTATAACTGCTGCTGTTATAGTCTGATGCAGATGAGTTTTAGAGGGTGCTGAGTTTACTGATGACCTCTATATAGAAATAATTTATTATCGGCTTAAACACGGCCAAGTTATTGGTCCCTTTATGAGGCTTTCAGAGGCCTCATAAATTTTAAGGGCCTGTCATAAGACCATTTTACGGTCAATTAAGCTCATTTTTTAGCTGAATGCGGATTGTTATTTTTAGCTGATGTTTAGGATTTCAGATTCCCAAACCAACTATTTTGGAGGTCTAGAGGTTTTAAGACCTCTGAAAGCCGTACAAGTTAGCCAATTAAACTTGATTATCTTTGGCCGATTTTAATTCCTTCTAAATGGAAATTGGTCATAACCAAAAGTCAGTGCCCTGGAAAATCTGAATTGGACGAAAATGACAGCAATTGTGAATGTTTTTAAAAAACGTGCTCTGCAATTTAAAGAATTTAATAAATTGCACCGGATTTCCCTGCCGTGCATGCCAATCTAATTCTTATATCGCGTTAAAACTGCGATTAATATTTTGGGGTAGAATTTAAGTCTAATTTGCGATTCTCACTGCAAGAGTGCAGTGAAACATATTGGCCATTTAGTGTCTTTTCAATGTCTTTTCATTCGACGACTTTTATGCAAAGAATGTGCAAACCCTCTTAGATTTAAAAAGTTGTGGACTGTGGTACCGGCTTTGAGCTTTAGCCAAATAAACCGCGTATTAAAGAAGTCTGACTGGCCCTTAATTCATTGGGAGCATTTTGGGGTGGTGTCAAAATCGAAAAGGATTTGGACAGAATTTCGAACAAAAATAGTAGATGCTAAGGGCGAGGGGGTTTAATGAGGGTTTCAATGAGGGTTTCAATGAGGGGTTCAATAAGGGGACATCATTTGTAATGACACACATCTGGTCCCTTAGTCTCGGGTATTGGTCGCTTGCACAAACCTGATACTGCCAGTTTTTCTTGTCTGGTCTGTTTGTCTGAATTATCCCACCCACTTTGTCGATTTTAGCGTTCAGTGCTCCCGTTGTGATAAACCGAGACAGCTCCCTGCGTGAGAATTAATTAAGTTTATGATATCAGATTATGACGTCACTATATCTTGCATGAAGACATCACGACACAAAGAAAGAAACTGTTTGGCCATGTTCAATCCTTATATGGGAAATATATCAGTAAGACCAGAAATGATACACATAAAATGTTTAATGATTTCGATTTCAAGAAGCACTATCAAATTTTGAAAACTTTAAATAGACGAAGAAAATCTGACTAGATAGAACGATCTCGAACAAGTGAAGGCGCAAAAATTTGTACAGTAAAACATAATAAACATTCTGCGCCATCTCAAACCCTAACCGAAATCCTAAGGATCAGATTTCTTAAGTTTTAACATACCAGTCTTGCTAAATAAACTAGACAGGTCAAATAATTCCATCATGTCAAAAAGTCGGGCAGCTTTCCTAAAAACAAAATATTGGCGTAGTGCCAAAACAAGGTACATACCTGTCGATGAATTTCTCAGAGACGCCGAAGCTATTGGCCATGTAGTTGACAGTGAGAGAACTGTAGGACTCCAGAAGCTGCGCGTAAGATCTGATCCTCATTTCCCTGACGTAGTAGTTTGTATGTGGTGCCAAAATGCTGTCGGACTTCAGGAATCCTTCGATCTCACCTGCGGGAAGTCGTTAGTGTGTCTCTTACTGTTTCTACCTAAATCTGAGTTTCATATTTGCCTGAACTGTTTGATAGCGTGTGCCTTTCAAAACCTTTAATTTTGGAACTTCCCACGCACTCAATACCACATATTATAATCTTTTAGTGTTTTTTCGCATAAACTTTAAGAACTGATCCGGGGGTATTGTCTCACGAGGCTTCGTCCGAATAAAATAGTCTAGAAGAATCTAGCTCCAAATAACTGACATAGGCCCCCCCCCACCCCCCTGCAATTTATGACTTTATGATAAATATGATGCTGAGAATAAGCGGATATGGACTATGTGTTTATCTTCCACATCAAACGAACTCTGGTGTTCTACAATAACAAGGATACGCATTTATTTCTGCGGGTCTGAGCACTGTCAAAAACGTTAAACCGTGCACACGACATCTTACATGACGCACATTGTAGTTTTAAGGTCAAAGGTGGGATAATTCCATGGTGGGCTTACATCCGCACACCGGGCAACCAGCTTTCTTACGAGATTTTCTTTCCTACTTGCATAGTATGAGCAACATTTACTTGAGAGAAGAGATGGTTATTATAACACAGGTTTTCAATTTTTAAGTTTAATCATGTGTCAACCCTCAAATATCAGTTTAAATATTCACTTACCAAGGGCTTCAAAGAAGTCAGCATATTGTGCGTTGTACAGGGAATATATGTAACTCTTGAAGAGGGGCAAATCGTGTAGAACTTCGTTAATGTCAGCACCCTCGACAACCTAATAACATTTGATAATGAATTGCGTTTTTTATTTTGTCTGCACGTTGATTAAAAGATGCAACTACTAGAGCTGGGATTGAAGGTGTAAAAGCAGTAAAGATTTTGCGCTTTAACGCGCGCCTATTACTCGTTGCTACTGCTGAAAAAGGTCCTTTGTAATACAAAGTTTGATTTGCTGTTCGCGCGTAGCGTCATAAGCTCTTACTTTCCGGTTTAGAAAAAATCGTGGGCACATGCATACAAAGCGAAACATGTCACAACTCACATGACATACTATAATTCACACAAGGAAAACCATGTCCTTAGAAATATATTTTTAAACATACCTTCTTGGTCAGATCCTTCCTATCAAGAGCAAGCATGGACGATATGATGGCATATTTGATGAAAGTTAAATAATCCATAAGTTCGTACGATGTAAACGTAGATACAGTGTCAAGGAAATTGTCAGCAGCTTCTTGGAAATTTCTAACTGACATAGCATACAATCCTGAGTAAACTTTCAATCGGTTTCTTCTATCCCAATCTCCTCCCAATTCAATCAGCCTGGAATTAAATATGGGGGATGAACAACTTTCAAAATGAGAGATTTTCCACTGTGGAACCTGCCTATTTTCGTGGCATATAAAATAAGCTACCATCTGGAAAATATTTCGCTTAAAAACTTACTCTTTAGCTTTATCTAAGTTTGTTGTGATAATCTTGTTGTCGTTGAAGAAGAATCCTAGTCTGATGAGATGGAAATGAAGATCCAGCTTGTGCCCAGTAGTGTTGGTTTTGTCGAGGGTTACCTTCAACATTTTCAGTGATTCTTCTTTACTGCCAATCAGTGTCAGGTATTCGCATTTCTTTACCATAGCTTCCCTTACCTCACTTTCTCCCTCATTTTTCTCTGCATTCTCGATTGACTCTGTTTAATTATGATCTGATTACTGGCCGATAAATAAGATTACAAAGCAGTAAACAGTTTAACAATCTTGTGCACTAAAAACATTTTTCAAGATATGTTGATTGTTGATATTTTGTCAAGGAAAATAGAACGGACTACACTCACGATCAAGTTTTTCAAGTTCCTCCTTGTTCTTAGCCTCCATCTCTTCCAAAACAGAATTGTTCAGGGTCAGCTTGAGATCACTACTCACATCTCGGTACAGCTGGGTCATGAACCCCGCCTTTATCTTATCAAGCAGCTGTCTTTTTACCTGGTGAGTGGTGCTGTGTTAACATTACATAGTGGTGCTGTGTTAACATTACATAGTGGTGATGTGTTAACATTACATAGTGGTGCTGTGTTAACATTACATAGTTCTACTCTTAACTTCTTAAGACTATTAATAGAACTAAGTGAAATAAATCCAGTGATCCAGGAGCTAAATGTTGTTGTGTTTTCAAAATTACAAACTAAATATTATTGTGCAGCGTATCGAATTATTCTTTTGAAAAATAATCGTTACTCAGCATTGAGGCTAAAAACCAACATATTGTCCATGCATCATCTGTTTTAAAATATAAATAGTAATAAAGTCGACAATTAATCACCTCAGACTGATCAATTTTGAGCTCCTTTGCGCTATCGGCATCAAGAGCGAGTTCGAATCTCATCTTGGCGATACTGAGATCTGGAATTTTCTCCAGTCCTGCCTCCTCGAGTCCTTCAAGAGTGGGCATTTTGTCTGCTAAATAATGAATAGTTAGTACTTTAGGAGAAATATTTATGCTGGACATAATTCCGGGGATTGAAAAAAGGTATGGTCAAAATAATAATTTTTCCACAATTTCTGTGTTAAATAGTAAAGCGGTAATTTTAATTCAAATTAAGTCCATGTTTGGCATACAATTATATAAAATCACCACAAGAAGATGAATAAAAAACCGTCTAATTAAAACGAGGATTTATTTGACGGTACGATAATAAATTAAATAAACTGTGTGGTACCAGAACCATGACCAAATATCATCCCCACCATATCTTTAACATTTTAATATCTTTTTGCAACTTCATAACGTTATAATGGTGATGAAACGGAAAAAACATTATCATTAAAAACAATTTTACAAATTTAAAAGTTCATCAGGAAGTTGAAAATACCACAAAGGTTTATGCTTCTCTTTATGGAATCTATGATAGTTCATACTAGAGTTGGTGGCAAAACCTTTACGATCAGCTAACATCATTTCAAAAATCATATCAACAGCTTTTAAAACATTTTCTTCATCGCCTCTCATTATTAGTATTGCTTCCTTTAAACTTGATTTTGGATTTCCACTCCTTCTTTTATCAAAATTCATTTTCTCTAATGAATGCATCTCCATAATGTCTTTCATTTTTTCGCCATTATTCGCAATAAGGCATGTTCCCCAATCAAGTGGAACCAGTATTCTTAATTCTCTGCACCTATTCTCTGCCCATTCTTTGTCTCTAAATGCTTCCGGTATCTTTACAATTTCCTGGGTCTTTCTCACCTTTCTGGCCACTTTCGCAAAATTTTCTTTTCTCCCTTCAATCAGTATGACAGCATCAATGGTTCCAGGAAATTCATTCCCAGGGCTCGATACTTTAATGTGGCATTTCAACTCTGACATGACATCGTGAACACTTTTTGCACCATGCTCGAAGAATGTTCCAACAGCATAGCCTGGAATAAGAATTTTAGTTCTGAAGTTAAGAGGCAATTTGGGTTGTTTATTGAACTCTTGGTATGAAAAATTGTCACTCAATGTGTGACGAGTTTTGATATCAAGGCAGTCTAAAACCATTTCAGATGCTTTTTGAAGATTCTCTTTCGCCCCTTGAAAGGAGACAAATGTTTCATTAAGATCAACATGAGCTTGTTCTAAGTGTGCAAAAGAATGTATATTTAAACAGTGTTCTGTCTGTAATTTACTGACATTTGCTCCACCAGGACCAATTAGTTTACCACATATGCTAAAGGGCAACACAAATCTGATACCATTCAAATTACGTCTTAACATTTTATATTTATCAGTATTTTTTCTATCAGGAAGTCCTTCTTCCGCCAGTAAATTCTCTGAAGGTAATTCCACATTCCTCAACAGTTCATTTATCTCCCCCACAGCTCCTATAACATTGCTTTTAGATCCTTCCACCATTAAAACTCTATCTCTAGTCCCAGGAAAATGATCATTAAATCGTGACATCTTGATTTTTGTTTTTGACTTGAACGCAATTTTTTTGATGTTCTTTCCATTTGGTCCAATAAGATTCTGCACAGCTTTATAGTAACTTGGAATTAGTATCTTAAGTCTCGATTTATTACCATCGTGGGGTATATCAGGTAAAGTAGTGAGACAGCGTGCATGTTGAAATAGTTGCGGGTTTAGTTGCGGGTTTAGTAGCGGGTTAAGCTGCCGGAGGATAGGAGTTCTAGCGCTGGTTAGGTTTGAAACACTCCACATCAAACTCTACCTGTAAGAGATAGGATTTATCAATGTACATTTGATTTATTATATTTATAGATAAATTTAATAAACTATTGAATAGCTATTTTGGATGAAGTTTGGATGAAGAGCAAGATTTCAGTCCGAAGAAAGATCAAAATCTACGAGGCACAAGTAGTCTCTATTCTACTCTACAACTGCAACTCCTGGGCTGCACCACTAGCTTCGTTGAATGAACTTGATATTGCTCATCGCAAACACCTCCGAAGAATCCTCAACATCAGATGGCCTACTGGGGTTATTTCTAATGAGGCACTCTATGCTCGTTGTTATGTCACTCCCTTGTCTGTGAGAGTCTCTAAGTTTCGATGGAGAATGTTAGGACATATCTTAAGAGGACAGGAAGACTCACCAGCATACAACTCTATGTTATTTGCTATAAATTCTGATATTTTTATGGAAGGGAGACGGGGTAGACCATGTTTAAACTTATTAGATGTTATTAGAAAAGACTTGACTAGTAGAAATCTTGATATTAGACTTAAGAATTTGACTGATTTCGAAGACCTTAGATTTTTAGCTTTAGATAGGGAGGAGTGGAAGAAGTTAGAAGATGGTTGATGTTTTTGTTTTCTTTTTTATGCGTTTTGATATCTATAAGGTGCCTAGGATGCTCTTTTAAAGAGATATTTCGTACTTTGAAAGATTTACTACAAATACTACAATTGAATAGCTTCTATTTACTGAGCCCCTGAAAATTTCACCATTGATCCGAACACAAACATTTTTGGAGGTAGAAAATACTGACTCATCAACTTTTGAATTAAGTTATTAGATGGATAACGTTGGGAAATGTCCAAAATTTTATCGGGATCGAGTAAAGTTCAAGTATCATGACTTTTTTGATCTAATCAAAATTTTTAAAACGGCACGAATATTAGAATATATTCGGTAAGACTGTGTAACTTTATTGCAGAAGAATGCAAATTAGATTAATGTGGCTCATTAATTTTGGATCTCAGCTCCCTTGAATATGTAAGAATTCAGGAAATTAGTTTTGCACAATGTTTCTCGTATCTATTGAAATTAGAAAATTATTTACATGTGCAAGATATAATACAGCAGATCGCAGCTGCCTCGCATTTTCTATTGATAATAATAATTACCTTCCACACTAATTCGAGAAAAGGATGGAAATGGCGAATTGGTGATGAAACCCTAACAGTTAACGTCGGATGCAAAACTGCATCATTTGAACAAGTTTTCAAAAATCGTAAAAATCATAATAGGAAAGGAACTTTTGATGTGTTATACTCTAGTTTTAATTGGGAGACATATATAAATCCTTTAATTTTCCCTCAAAGATTAGTTACGAAGGAAAATATTTACAGATACTATCGCAACTCTCATTCAACCACTAACACTTCTCACCAATAATTTAAGCTTTTAACTACCGAATAGAAGATCACTCTTCAGGCACTAATCTAAAGTAGTGTTTAATAATAAATAGAGCCCAACTCCTTCAGTGAATCAGCCCGGTTCAAAATATCACATTAATTGAGCTTCAAATCAGCCAACAACTTATCGGAAAACTTTAGCTAAATCAACATATATATCATCAATGTTCATTTTCAATATATTATTGAAAAATAAATAATATATTCTTATTGGATCCAGAAATAGTCCCTGTCTGCAGTAGGATCGTAGGTATGGGGGTCGTGATCAGGGAACATTTCTCGGTTGTTGACGTATATTTTATGTTCCTTCTGATCGGGGAACAAATCTACGAGAATTCCACTAGCTATCCGCTCCTCTGCTAGTTTCACAACCTCGTCTCCGCCCCTGCAAAGTTATTTTTAGACAGGAAGCCGCCTACCCAGAATATAGAATTTTAATCATGGCAATAATTTTAAAACAGTTGCAGTTTGTGATGCGCTGATAAGAGGAGGCAGAAACGTGGTATTTGATATAAATATACATTATATATACAGTATTTGATACAGTATTTGATATAAATATATATTATAACTTACACTAATTTTCGTTGAGATTTAAAGAGTCCATAGCACAAGGCCAGGAGAATTCCAATACTCATTGCGATGTAGTAGTCTTCAATATCGGTGGCATTTGCCATTCTCTCCCACGCATACTCCTTGTGGGGACGAGGGCCGTCCTCAAATCCTGTAATAAGGTCACTGTTAGTTTAATCCTGCAATAAGGTCACTGTTAGTCTAATCCTGCAATAAGATCACTGTTAGTTTAACATGTAACATTTGGGGTAAGTGCAATTCGTTGGATTAGAACAGTAACGTGTTTGTATTACTCGCGACAAAGTAGTTAAGTTTTTAATGTTCACTCTAGCTTTACTGTTATCCCAATTTTAATTTATATTGAGAAACACATTCTAATTGTTACTTCAAGAATTTCAATCGATACCTAGTAATTCAGATAATTTCAAAATAAGTTCGACCCGGAAAACTATTTTCAAGTCACCTAGAATTATTGGGTACCGCGACAATTGACCCCCCGACAATTGACCCCCCGACAATTGACCCCCCGACAATTGACCCCCCGACAATTCACCCCTATGTAATTACACAGGGGTCAATTGTCGCGAAATCTAGAGTTTAGTACGACAATTGACCCCCCGACAATTGACCCCCCATGTAATTACACTGGGGTCAATTGATCGGGTTAGGGTCAGGGTCCTGGATCAGGATCCTGGGTCAGGGTTAGGGTTAGGTTTAAAGTTAGGGTCCTGGGTTAGGGTCCTGGGTTAGGGTCCTGGGTCAAAGTAAGGGTAAGGGTTAGGGTCAGGGTTAGGGTCAGGGTCAGGGTCAGGGTCAGGGTCAGGGTCAGGGTCAGGGTCAGGGTCAGGGTCAGGGTCAGGGTCAGGGTCAGGGTTCTGGATCAGGATCCTGGGTCAGGGTCCTGGGTCAGGGTTAGGTTGAGGTTTTATATTATATTGTCGGGGAGTCAATTGTCGGGGGGTCAATTGTCGGGGGGTCAATTGTTGGGGGGTCAATTGTCGGGGGGTCAATTGTCGGGGGGTCAATTGTCGCCCACCCAATTATTGTACCACTATAATCTCACATAATATAAGAAATTACCTAGCATGCCCACCTGTTCTAATTACAGTTATTTATAGACATGGGACCCAGAGAGACAAGTCATTCATTGGAAGGAACATTAATCCTGATGAATTACTCAGCTATAATGAGATACTGATGATAAACTGATAATTATATTTTTACGAGATGGCTAAGAGAACACTTTTAATTGGTTCTCGGGTCATGGTAAAGATATGAAATTTGCCTCTGTCTGAATCTCAGCCAGCCATTTCTGGATAATCACAATTTTTTCACCAAACTAGATAGAATGTAACAACTTAAGTGGGGGTCTTCATGGAAAGTTTCTCAAAATTGACTTTTTAGTTGTTTCTGATAGACTAGAGGGGAGTGATATCTATCAGATGCTTTTAATCCGCTAGAAAAATTATCTAGCCGAAATTATCGCCGGGAAAAGGTCAGGGCTTGTGTGTAATTGTATTGCGCGAGCGATTTTTGATCGCGTGCCCTGAAAATCGAGTCTAAAAATCTATCTTCTCCTACATTTTTTGAGCAATCACCCTCAAACTTTTAGGATATATGTTCTAAGGATCATTTAGAAGAGATTCTTCATTCTCCAGGCAAAATTTTGAGATAGGCATTTAAACATTTTTATGATTCGATTTTTAAAATCTTGGACCTCGAAAAATCGTCAAAAAACCAGGTTCCAATCATTAAAAGTACATAAAAAACGCTACAATAGTACAATGACGGTTTATTCGAAAAATGAACATCATCGAAATTGCAAGATATTATTTGATTTGATGTATTCCTCGAATAAGTGGTAATAGCAAGCCATTATATCGTAGAGAATTATTTCAACGGGGCACTCAGGGACTGAGAAATAAGCCCCAACGTTTGTGTTTTGACTGCAGCATGGACAACTTTGGTAGCTGTCTTTTGTTTTCAAGATTTCTGCTCCGACATTTAAAAACTACGGCTCCTTTGTGAGGTGTGTTTCTTTTCTAGGCAAGCTGAAAATCCAGCGATTGTGTTAATTCAGCGGCGGGGATGCAGGCTCTATGTAAATTGTAAAGCAGCTCTGTTCGGCATGCTTACCTTTTGATTTTAATCCTTACCTGGATATTTAACACTTTTTAACACTTCTTCTCGTTTCTAACGCTTATTGTTTACTTAACCTTCCCGGATAGAGTATGATTTAAATGACGAAAGGATGATTTCTCAACTTCTGGTTTCCTCAATCTTGGCAAGAATTGTCATTAGCACGGATCCTGGTACATATTTAAAAAACTTACCCTTTTTTCCCTCAAGAATCATTTCTAAACCGGAGCAAGGATAGTTAGTTCTTTGAAAGAGCACACCTATACGATTCATTGCAACAAATCTCAGTAAGGTTATTAAAGTTTAGCATTATTTAAAATGTATCATTCTATTTTTCCAGAACTCACTTAACCATATTTTCAGCTGTGTCACAAATTGAGCCGATATCAGTGTCTCAAAGCAGCACATTTGAAACATCCACTGCAAGTCTGGCTATTGACGGTGTAAAATCAACAAGTTCAATCACTATTTGTTCCTATGACACTGATCATTGGTACAAAATGAACTTTGATGATGTCTACTGCTTCTCTGAGGTCGTTATCATGCAGTTGGAAAATAACTACATAAAACAACTTCGTATGCAGGATGCACATGTGTTTGTAGTCAACTCTAAAACAGGAACCGAAAGTCTCTGTGGCGTACTAGAGATAAGCAAAAGAAAGACAGTGGAAAGTCAGACGTACACTATACCATGTGCTCAGAAGTGTGGAGACGAAGTGATGCTGAAAGTGAGACATGACGAGGAAGGATATCAAAAAGAAGGGTGTATTCAAATGAGAGAGATCAAAGTCAAGGCATCCCCATCCAGCGATGACAGCGAAGACAGTGAAGACAGAAAATATCCCAATTTTGAGATGCAAGGTAAAAATAAAACTTAAAATAGTTATTGAGTCTTTTTACAGCCCATATTTTATATAAATTATTCAAAAAATTTGATATCTGTTACGCAAGATCGGTAAATGTTTTATATAATTTGTTGTAGCCCAAATTTGACTAAACAGTATCGTCTCTTTCCGTTTTCGGATTTGTATCTCGCATCAGCAACTTATCTGAACTACTTGGTTGAGGTGAACATTCAAAAAATATTCACTCAGGTAAGGAAATATTCTACTTGCTAAACGGCGAGGGAGCACAAGCAAAGAATGGATTCGGTTTATTGTTCGTTCAGGTTGGCAAATATTCGGGACCTGTCTTATTTGATGTTATTGAAGGAGTCAATCAAGACTGTCTGGTGAACTTCATTTGCCAAACGATGGGGTACAATTTTGCATACAGTTTTTTCGAGTATCAAAAACCATTTCATGACACGACTGATCATCGTTTTATATTAGAAGACGTTTCCTGTTCTGTGGATCATAATGACACTGCTTACTCCTCGTACCGAATCAGATTAAATCCAACAACCCCACTTATCCTTGATCAGCGTTACAATCAGTTGTTTTGCGGTCCGTTTGAGGGTGCCTGTACAATCGTGGAGAGAAATAAATTCCTTAAAAGAGTTTGCATGGAAGATTTAGGCTCCACAGTATTTCAATGCCCCTATTCTGAAACGATCTACATATCGAAGCCTTTCGAAGCCTATAGCTATGTAAATGAGTTAGCAACATTCAGCTCAATCTGTAACAACGACCCTAAGTTCTATCAATATTGTGGCATCAAAACTTCGCACACGTTAACAATAAACGCTGCTGCACTTTGTGACGAATATGTCTGTGAAATTGATAATAATTTCTCGATTTTTGGGGGCGGCACTCCTGCCATAACAGCTTCACCGGACATGATCTGTTATATAATATCAGATAATATAATTGTCAATGAATATAATTCTATGTATTCACAAGGCTCATGTGCTAATCTCAATCTACCAGAAAACTTCTGTGCTGCTAAAACCGAAACTGAGAGTATAGTTCAGTTAAGAAGCGGCCTAAAAGTTAGCAAAACTGCGGTATGTAATGGACGGTGTGATGGGCACTACATGTGCGAGGACGAAGCTTTCTGTGGCGGTTATCTGTACGGTATGTACTGCCTTGGCTGGGAACAAGTAATCAAATATATCAAACCGAGTGAAGTGTGCAATGGGTATCCCTCTTATCTTTGCAAAAACGATGATGATGAACTGAACTGTCCAAACCTTGACACTTTGCCCAGACTAAAGAAATGTTCAAAGAACTCTAAAATACAAACTCACATAAGACCAACATTTTTGCTTGTTCCCATTTTGAATAATACGAGGTGCAGTGCTCCGTTGGCAGTTAGCATGATCACAAATACACTATATATTGATCCAATTTGTGCTAACTTCCTGGATCAAACCAACTGTACGGATACAAGCCGTTCGAGAGTGATCTGCGATATCGGAGGTCATCGGTCAACCGTATCTAAATTTGTTGTGTGCCATGGCGAGCAAAGAGTTCCGACACTATGCGACAACGGAATAGACCAGGTTTGTGAAAATGTATCTCTCACTTGTGAGGTACATAAACACCGACTGTGTGATGGCATTAAGGATTGTCCTGATGGGGCTGACGAGAAACTGGTTATCTGTTTCTCCATGTCGGAGAAGGTATGTTACAGAGCCTATAAGCACGAGCAGGCACTGGAAATACCCTTGAAATGGGTGAGAGATGGGGTGGAGGACTGTTTAGACGGAATTGATGAGGAGGATGGGTGGCAAACTTGTGGCATTGGTGCGACTAAACGATATGTAGTTTCAGTCGATGAACTGTGCAAGGAGGTTTTTCTTTGTAAGCATAGCCAGGTAGCTTTCGTAGAGTTCAAAGATCTCTGTGACGGGATTGATACCTGTGGCAACGAAAGGAGAATGTGTGAGATATCGCATATGATCAGTCAAACATTTGACAATGCCATGACTGTAAACAAATCAGCTGGAACAGTGAAAATGTTACTGTATTGTTTGCCTGGTCTTGAGAGTCTGCAGGAACTAGCAAACCAATGTGTTAGCAGTGAAGTCAACCTTTTGGGGCTTGACGTCTTCGGAGTCAAAACCTTTCCGTCAGTTGTCCGCCCTAATAAAACTATTAACTGTGACTATACTTTCGGAGAAATTTACCTAATACTGAGTTGCGCAGGGTTTTGTGAAGATTCGATTTGCCCTTTAAAAAACAAGATACAGTACGATTCTTGCCCTCAGCAATATTCCAAAAGAATATACACAGTAGCTGACAATAATTTTCTTTCATTTGTAATCAAATCAGGAAAGAAATACAAAAATGACTTTTTCCGTTGTGACAATAACGTTTGCTTGAACTATGATAAAGTTTGCAATGTGGTAGATGATTGTGGAGATGGTTCTGACGAACAACACTGTACCAATGTGTTTTTATGTGAATCAAAAGAGCAGGTGATCCCAATTACTGAAAAGTGCGATGGAGAGATTGACTGTCTAGACTTCTCGGACGAATGTAACTCTGACTGTGGCAGAGAAATCATACAGAGCCCATTTCTTAAGATTGTTTGTTGGTGTATGTCTGTGGCAGCAATTACTCTGAACATGATTTCGGTTTACCTAACTTCGACAGACTTTAATAAAGAAATGTCAAAGGCGGCTCTTAACAATAAGATGCTGATACTTCTCATTAATGTGGGAGATCTGTTGATTGGAGTGTATTTATTTCATATTGCGGTTATGGACACGATAATCTATGGGAGTAGCTACTGCTTTGAACAACTGAATTGGCTATCAAGTGTTCATTGTACCTTAATTGGTGTTATCAGCACAATTGGTTACGAAATGTCCCTATTATCCATGACAACTCTTGGCATAACAAGGCTGAAGGAAATACAAAATGGGGCACGGATCAGTAGTGAAGTCTCAAGGTCTGCTATTCGGAACATTTGTTTAATTACAATGGTTATCGTTCTGATGTCTATTGCTATAGCTGTAGTCCCTTTGATGCCTAAATTTGAAGACTTCTTTGTCAATGGTATGACCTATGACCCTTCAGTAAAACTTTTTATCGGATCTCCTGGAAAAGAAATCCATCTTGATCTCCTGCAAGAGTATTATGGAAAAATAAAGGAGAAAAATCTTAAATGGAGGATAATTAATGATCTAGTTGATGGTATGTTTTCCAAATATTATGGAGTAAATGTGCTTGGTAGAAAGAGACTGAGATTCTACGGTAATGAAGGGGTTTGTCTTTTCAAATTCTTTGTTAAAGCAGACGATCCCCAACGAATTTATGCATGGGTTGTCATATCAATGAACATGATTTGCTTTGCAATAATCTCCGTATGTTACATCTTCATCAATATCGGGGCCAAAACCACTTCCAAAGTGCTTACTCAGAAGAAAACAGGACATAAGATCAGGAAAAGGAACAGAAGATTACAGCGAAAGATATCCCTAATCATCGGGACAGACTTCCTCTGCTGGCTACCGGTCACCATAGCTTCTAGCCTACATTCTGGGGCCATTATAGACGCAACTAGCTACTATGCTCTGATCTCTATAGTCTTCCTTCCAATCAACTCTGTCATCAACCCTGTACTTTATAACGATTTCTTTGCAGTGCTTCTGGGAAGATTTTACGAAAAAGTTGTAAGAATTTGTTCGAAAGAGAACCGAAACACCATTAATACCGATGATGGCAATCATGAAGTTAAAATGATAGAGATGAAAGTTATAAAAACTTCGGTACAGAATCGTCGGAAATTTTCATCAGAAACATCACAACAATGCGACTCACAAATAACATGTTCCTGTCTGGATGTTACACTAGATTAAAACTACATTTTTAAGTTGATTATTTTGCATAAAACGTCAACCTCATAAATATTTATGAGGTTATTTTGTATGTTTAATATGAGAATAATATGATCTGCGAAAAATATTTAATTTGTTTGCAATTATTTTTGATTTGTTTGATTGATTAATGTTTGTACATGATATCACTTATATTAAATTCTTCTCCAAAATTATTTCCGTTCAATCTTTTCTATTAACAATATATTATTTAATTGGTAATTCAAAAAACTCATTGAATCTTTTGAGTAGCTGGCAATAATAAATTATAATTATAAATAATTAAAACATTAATTAATTAATCACTCTTACCAGAGGGCCTATCCCAGAGGTAGAGATTGTAGTCACTAAGCTCGCTGTATTCCCCGCCTCCCCCTGATGCTGCTGTTGATGTTTGGATGCATCGTTTCTGGGGAGTAACTTCATGAGACCTCATATTAAACGTTATGGGTTGTTATGGGTTGTTATGGGTTGAACTAATCAAAGCACAATGTATAATAACACAATATGCTTTAAATTGTAAATTTTGTATGCTTGGAAAATAGGCTAATTCTCTAGCTCGAACAAAGATTTGAGTTCGTTACCTGACTAAGAATACGATTTGATCGAGAAACAATCCTTCCCAAATTGCGTACAAGAAGTGACATTTCCTGACAAATGTTTGGTTTTTAAATGAGTGAACATTATGCAGTTCTTTCGAATGAATCTTTATGTGAACGGGGGTATTTTAAGATATCATAATTTCGTAACTAACATGGGTACGAATTCTTTCGGTAAATTCTTAAAACAGACTTGAAATATAATAAACAAAGATAGTAATTACAACAAGAACAAATTGAAAAGATTACAAAATATGATATAATGTATAGCACAAAACAAAACAAATATGGAACTGAAGAATTGAACACAATAATCATTGTAAAAGTTATTCAATTGCATTAAATAACTTACTTCATATATAAGATAATATCACTGAGAAAACATAATGTAGTGTATCGCATGAAATAGAAACACTACACTACACGGTCTACGAAAATATTTCGGAAGGCAAAGATGGATCTAAAATCTAAACCTAATTCGGAATTCGCAACTCAATGAATTCTTTACAGCACTCAAAACTCAAAATAAAAAGTATGAAAAATAAACAATAAACAATCCCCATCCTAAAATCTGTTAATGGCAATAAAGGCTAATATTTAAATGTTTTACATAAATTCTAAGTGATTAATGTAGTAGTTGTAGGCAGGTAATGATATTCAGGAGCCATACACCATCGTTTAAAATGTTTGGTTATACCGTCGCCAAGCAACTCGCTGGTTATACCGTCGCCAAGCAACTCACTCTCGTCCCAGACTGGATGATCTGTTCTTTGCTAATTGAATGAAAGGTTCTAAAAAGTCAGTCTAAAAGCAAAACTTTCAAAGGTTCCAGAACGTTGCAAACTGTCAACTTAGACAGTCGCAAATTAGTTTATATTTATTTAGTTAATTTATTCTTCCTTTTTAAGTTCTTCGTCTTTCTCCTCAGCTTGTTCTTCACTTTCAGCTTCTTCTTCCCCGTCATGTCCTCTAACTTCTTTATTTTCCTCCTCATATTCTTCTTCTTTCTTCGCATCGCTAAAGAACAAGAGCGGTAAGATAAATTCCTGAACCAACCGAAAAATCGTCATTTAAGATGCTTAAGGTATCTAAAGATTTAAAAACAATTACCCTAATTAAATTTCGAGTAATCATTTAGAAACTGATAGTATTAGTAACAAGTGCTTTAGAAAATGATAACTATTAGTAACAAGTGCTTCTAGAGCCTAAAAAAGGCTTCACCAACCTTTGGTCCGCCCAGAGGAGATCCATGTGACTCTCACTTGACCTGACTTGGCGAATAGGATCATCTTTACTCCTCTGTTCATCGCAGCAGCACAGCAGTATTAAGCCTGCATGGGAAAAATTGCGAGTTTATATTCATTTAAACATTGGTTAAAGTCTGTAGGATTACTGTCATGACCTAAGGGTACCATATATATTACCACTACTACTACCACTACTACTACTAGTTACTAACCTATACTACTACTACCACTACTACTATAACTACTACTACCTTATCGGACCTTATTTGGACGGACATTACTTGAACGCTGGAGGCCCTAGCGTTCATCTTAATGTCCGTTCAAATAAAGTCCGTTCAATTAATGTCCGTCCAAGTTAAAGTCCGTTGAAATTTTTTCAAAAATTTTTCCATTTCTTTATTGTGCCGTAAGTTAACGACGGAAAGGTTCTCCTTGGTCTGCCGGAGGCACAGAAAACTCTACTAGTAAATGATGTTTTCAAGGGTCACTTGGCGGAAAAAAGTCAACGAAATTATGGCACTCAACAACATAGTTCATGAGTTAGTCCCCGCCAACATGACAAACTTGTTCCAGCCTCTAGATATTACGGTAAATTGTGTTGCCAAGGACATTGTCCGTCTGGTCCGACGTTGTTATAGTTCATATTACTGAGGGGAGGTAATGAAACAGTGCTAGGAAAGCTCCACGTGATGTTAAGGACCTAAAGTTGTCTAAGATAAAACCACTTCACGCCGAATGGCTTGTAAAAGTTAACAATGAAATGCAGGACCGGGGTAGTTTGATAAAAAAAGGTTTCCACAAAGCTAGAAAACCCATTTAATGAAGATGATATGTGATATTAGACACTGATCATGTACACATATTTTAACATTTTTACTGCTTAATGACTGCTTTTCTTACTTACTGTATAAAAATGGATTAAAAAATCACTTGCTGAAATTTTTTTAAAACGTCAAAAAATTGAAAAAAATTCGGATTTTTGATGGTTTTGAATGCCTTCGAGCGTTCATATTAATGTCCGTTCACAATTATGTCCGTTCATGTAATGTCCGTCCAAATAAGGTCCGATAAGGTAGTTACTAACCTATGGGTACCATTACTACTACTACTACCACTACTACTACTAGTTACTAACCTATACTACTACTACTACAACTACTACTACTACTACTATAACTACTACTAGTTACTAACCTATGGGTACCATTACTACTACTACTATAACTACTACTAGTTACTAACCTATACTACTACTACCACTACTACCACTGCTACTACTAGTTACTAACCTATACTACTACTACCACTACTACCACTGCTACTACTAGTTACTAACCTATACTACTACTACCACTACTACCACTAGTTAGTAGTTACTAACCTATACTACTACTACCACTACTACTACTAGTTACTAACCTATGGGTACCATTATCACTATTCCCATTATAAACGGATGATCGTAGAAGAGGGGGAGAACGTTTGAAGCTATCCTGTACCACACCTGAAATTAGAAGAACATTAGTTTAATTATAATTAATTAGTTTAATTTAGAGTTTGTTAAAAGAATAGGATCGTCAAATTAGATCTTTAATCGGTATTTTTATCCAGTGTTTATAAACACTAAACAGCTTGATATCATAATAACTAGTGATTTTCTACACGAAGTACATTAATTGAATCTAAGATTTTAAAACTTGTATTCCCCTATAATAAATCTTCACCTTTTTAGTGCCAGCCAAGAAACCAGTTCCTCCATAAAGCTGGGTTCTAGTATTAGTAAACTCCTCAACACTCTCCTTTATTGGTTTGTGTGGGTCACTTGAATAGGAGTAGATCTCGGTGCCTGGCTCGTATACTATGATACTTCCTACCTGGGATAGTGTAATGTTGAGGGTATTTCCAGATCAGTTGAAATTAATGGCAATGATACATGATGGGTATTATTCTACTTGATGATCTTTATTTATAAGACTTTGTCTCGGACTGCATCATTGACAGATCAGCTTTTAATACAAGAAACAATTCCAGATACCAAATATAATATGCATTTAAAAGTACCTCTGCGAAGGCACTTATGAGGTTCTCAATAAACTCTGCTTTGCTGACTTGAACAAAGTAGAAATTTCCAGGAACAGAGCCCCGCTCTGATGCTAACTGTTTCATTTCTGATATCCTACCTTCGTCATCACCGTAATAAAATGCTGAGGAATTAAATTTTAGCTATTTTACTCCATAAGTTTAAATTTGAGAATGAAGTAATTAAACGGGTTATACATAGGTTTAGTTTAAAATCGTGGCTATTAAAAATGGAACCAACCTATTTTATACTTCAAAAAGAGTAGAGGGTGAATCACAGGGTATGATCCAACTTGGAATGCTGAAAACCTTTCTGACTTGATCCAATCTACTAACTGCAAACAATCATCCAGTGAATCCGTATACTCAAATACCTGTAAGGATTATTGCGTGAAAAATAAGTCAAAATACAATTTATTATTTTATTAAATATTATTTAAATAACATATTATAATATTTATTATTGGTGATGGATATTTATACCATAAACTGAACTTGTTGGATCTGCAAAAATACAATTATTCAAATGTTCCATTGTTCGAACTAAATATTTAAATAATATACATGTATAATGGGCAGTATCCAAGCGTAATGAAGCGGTCATATTGCATATTATAGTGTATAACTGTTCACGAACACCTGTTCGTGAACAGGGGTCGGGCTATCTGGATACTGCCGTATAATGTATTATATAATACTTCACATACTTTTTCATCCTTAAGAACTATGACTCCAGAACTCTTTGAAATGCTGAGATCAACCCTCTTTTCAGTATTTTCATTAATATACTGAACTTTAGATTCCTTGTCTACTTTTACAACAGCATCGTTAGTTACCTGACAAATAATTTGTTGCTTACATTAAATTTCGAGGGCAATAAAGTGATTTGAGACCTTGATTTTAAGAAATTTAATGAATAAGGTTATTACGTTGAACAACTAAATTAAGAAACTATGAGATCAAGCAAAGCAACCTCAAAACATTCTTAGTTACTAATTACTTAATTAAATTAAGGGTTAACATTCTTAATAACTAATTAAATTAGGGGTTAACATTCTTAATTAGGGATTAATTAATCACTAAATACAACAAATTAACCTCTGCAATAATTGTTTCATGGACAGTCTGGGGGGCAACCAAAGTGAGGCATTTCCTAGTGTCATCAGTTGTACCCACAGATAGAAACACAACATCGTCTGATCTCTGTAGATCCCTCAACTTTCCCAGGCTACCGACCCTGGGAAGCAGAGGTCTCGATCCTTTTATTGCAAAATCGTGTAATGCTTCCTGGAATGATGATTATATTCATAGTTCATTAATAATAATAATAATAAATTGAAATTTAATAACACCGCTTTTAAGATAAAACTTATACTCAGCAGTGATTGAACTAGTCATCCCAGAAAATATCATGAATACTGAAATAAAAGATAACTTATATTATGCTTGAAAATATATACTAAGTAAGTATTGGATTTAAAATCAGGTCTGAATTTAAATATCTTGGGACTTGGATCTGTGTTTGAATTAAAGAACAAACTAAATTACAAACCGCTGTTCGATCTCCAACGAAATCAAGAGCTCTGTCTTTTCCTATCAATCTGATGGTAGGAAAGCCCCTAACATTATATGTTTCAGCTGCACTTCTATACAATGTAGCATCTATTCTTGCCACAGTTACAGGATGTCGTGATAATTTGTTACCCAACTCATACCTAGGGAAGTGCTACTTTATCATAGAGCTCAACTAACTAGTTAAGTGCTATACTACAAGCAGCTGAGAGAATGAACTATGAACACATGAACTCACTAGATTATTTTGATGAGATACCTTTTACGAAACGAGATTAATTTTGTAATCAATATTAAACTTTAACATAATCAACACAAACACAGTACTAGTGTACTAACACAGTACTAGTGTACTAACCAAATTGGATGAAGAGATTTACAGTGTCCACACCAAGGAGCATAAAACATGACCAAGTGTGGTTCCTCCAACTGGGACTGGTCACCAAACTCAGGTCCCAACTCCAAGATATTACTGGAGGCTAAACCAATTCCCATCCATAATATTATCACTTGGACTGGGTTGCTCATATCTGTTTATTGAATAAAGTGATAATGTTTTGAAACAATAATTGTTTTTTCTCAATTAATTGGAGCCTGCTGAGAAAGTTTCGTAAGGCAGTAATGTAACATGATGGTTTTTGTGATGAAACTTATAAATCAAATAAACGAATTCTTTTATTTATAACACGCTTCAACACAACACATACAAGTAATAAAAGACAGATTGTATCTTTATAATAAAAATTGCATCTTTATGAAGAAAAAAAACTATCTAAATTACATGATAAAAATTCGGCAGTTCAGTTTGACAATTAATGTCAATGATAAATCAATGTTAAATATTCTTATAATTACTATAGTTTGGTCATTCATGCACATTGACCTGCCATTCATAGTAGAAGGCTGAAAATCTTTGTTGGGCCTCCTCTATAGAACGACAAAAATTCCGAGCCAAAAATTACTGGGAAAATCACCCTTTTGGCCATGCCCATATATGTCATATGAACCTATAATATAATCTCAGCATCTTACTATATTAGTACTAGAAGTTTGTGGATGAATGTTTTTCATTGCAGTTTATATTATTATTATTCGCAAAATTGGGTCTACGTGTGACCAAATCAGTTTTTTGCCAGTAACTCAAAAATTGGGCATTTTTTGGCATATATATATAATGTCTCTTCATAAGTTCAAGTATATAAATATGGCCAATGAGGATAATCTAAGCCTATCCAAAAAGTCTCTACGATGTGCAGAAGCGTAGATACATTTTTTTCGATCTACAGACCTTGAAGAGTCCCTAAAAAAATTGCCAGCCTTCTACTTTGACAACAACAACTACAATAATAACACAATACAAAACCAAATGCCAATTATTTGACTATTTAACTTTTTTAACTATTACAAAAGTTAAATAGTCTTATAATTACTACAGTAAAATGTTGTACAACAAGACTTAAAAATAGTCTAAAAAATGCCCACACATAGTATGATTTGTTTTCAAATAAAAATTTTTCTGCTATACTCAGTAATATAAGAACACTCAAAAATTAAAACAGGTTGAAATGTTATAATAACGATCTAAAAAGTTGAACTAAAGTTAGTTTGAACACCTCGTTAGTTGTTGCTCCTGGGCCCTGGCTATACAATGGCTAGGAACTTTAGCTGGAAACAAAATCGTCAAGCAGTAAAAGATAATACAAAAATCTTCAAAATCCAAACCAGAACAATTGCACTATAATAGGCATAACCATTGCTAAAACCTGAATTACAAACATCAGGACACTCTTGTATTTTTTCAGCAGCACCACCGCAAGTTCTCTCCTCAACCTCTAGGTTACAAGTTCTATTTAGTAGCACAGAGCAATCTGAGTAGTTTCCTTTCAGGTCACCTTCCTCCACGGTCATGTGTTTACATTGGTGGTAGTTCCAGTTAGACCACCCAGTCCAGTACGGCACTGATAATTATTGATTAAAGGTTGTTGTTCTAGATAATTTACAGTGCAATTTGAACAAGCTGCTTATATTCAGATACCTGATCCTGATAGACAAAAGAGAAGAATCTCAAATATTCAACTTACTTCTAACGCAAGTAGGCTCATCTAGGTCCTCTGGGATTGTTAAAGTTCCGTTTTCACAAGTGTAGGAGCTGCTGCCCATCAGGTAGTAATTATTGTCCTTGCAACTAAGAGTAAGGTCCATCTCGTTCTCAATGGGTAGGTCAGGATCTATCAATATATGTCCTATGCTCAATATTGGAATCAGTGTTGTACAGTCGGCTGAAAAAAAAAAGTGGTTTGATTGGTCAGTGTTCCCCATTTAATGAGCATCTCCTCAATTTATAAAATATCATTTATATGAGGATTTTTAAGCTAAAGTATGATAGGTTCACATATCCGAAAAGACCAAAGATAAATCAAGCAGCATTGTTCTGTATCTTTAGTAACTTATGAAGATTCTTTCAGGGAATAAGAAAATTATGAAATAATGATAATATAAATTACAGAATCTAGTGATATAACAAGATAATTGCCCACTGCACCAGAAGTGCAATCCTTGGTACAACTTTCGGTCCGTTTAGAGTCTCCAGAGCAGGAACTTCCTCCACAGGAAGGAGAAGGATTAGTGCAAGTTCGGGAGCTAGACCAAGTGCCTGTGGCTGAATTTGCTTCTTCACAGATACATGTGCTCCATTGACCCCAATCTGCCCAGTTTCCATCCACAGCTGGTGTACCTGAGTTTGATTGCTATATAAACATTTCCTGTAACTCATATTATATTCCTCTTTCTACTCTTGCTGAGTTATGGCTACTTTGTATAGCACAAGACGATTTCAATTTTCCCAATCTTGAAGGATATAATGCAAATTTATCCCTCACCCTTTTACTCACAAACGAAGATTTGTCTCTTCACAGTTCATTGTTTAAAAATTTGGTCACACACTGCATGCACATATTAGTACTGTGGTAGTATGCCTGACACCTCACACGAATGAAATCACATAAATCCATGTTTTCACAAAGTCAGAAATAACACATGAAATAGGACTTAAAACATAATTTAATCATCAAGAGGATTAGAGAGCAAACTTAAATAAATTTAATTTATCATCCTTGATGATTGTATTTATCAATACAATCATCAAGGATGATTGTATTGAGCTGTCGGTTGAGGGTGAACCCGTCGAGCAGGTTAGCAACTTTGTCTACCTGGGTGCAACTATTAGTGGGGATGGGACAATCAACAGAGACCTGGATGTCCGTATCCAGAAGGCTAATGGCACCTTTCATCAGCTCTGGAACATTTGGAATAGCAGAACTATAAAGACTCTAACCAAGATCAGGATCTATAGGGCTGCTGTCCTCACCATCTTGTTGTATGGAGCTGAAGTCTGGAACACCACCAAAAAGCAGATGAAACGGGGTTTCGAGGTTTTCCATCAAACCTCCTTGAGAAGGATCCTTAGGATTAAATGGTTCTTTCATGTAACCAACGACGAAGTTCTTAGGAGGGCTGGCATCAAGTCAGTTGAGACTTTCATCAGTGCTGCCAGGCTACGTTGGTATGGACATGTAGTTAGAATGCCAGACTCTAGACTACCGAGGATTCTGTTGAACTGGAAGCCAAACTATGGAAAGAGGTCAAGGGGCAGACCCCGTAAGAACTGGAAGTCCTGCGTACTCGAAGATGCTGCTAAGTTTACAGGTGTTGAAAACATCGACAACGACACAACAGAAGCTTTGGCTACCAACCGAGTACAGTGGAGACATATGTTACGCCGCCAACGCGATGTGTGTGATGCAGGCCACTCCAACGACTAGGAGGAGAGACCTTACCATGTAACATGTATGTATGTATGTAATAGTTGATAGTTAATACTAATAGTACTATGTTTACAGTATGCACTGAAGGGGTATACATATCCTAGGAAGTTTTTTGAACTTTTAACAGGTACCCCTCCTCACTTAACCCTCAATTAAGTTTCCTATCATTCAGCTGAGTCGACCGAGGAGATCGCATAGATCCAATGGATCCTTATTTACTCCCTAGACTAAGTGACACTTGGATTCGAACCCTGAACCTTCTGCGCAGAAGGTGGATGCTCTAACCACTAGGCCACCTAGCATCCTTAGAACAATTTTCTCTCCGAGGAGACAGAGGGGTGAGAAAGAACTTTGTAGATTTAGAGAGTCTCGATTTGATTTGGAGCCACAAGGTCAAGGGTGAATTTGAAATGTTTCTGCTAATATTTTAGTTAGGGAATATATTGCATTTTTAAAGGTTTCATTTTATGTAGGGTCATTGAGATATTATGTGTATATTGTTTGAAATATATTGTCAAACACTGTACCACGAAATTAAAAGATGATAAGTTGAGATATAATAATATGAATAATTATGTTTAATAACTGTAAGGACTGTTGTCACATGAAGGAGGCTAAGGCCAAGGTGTCGTTCACTTATCACTTTATGGACAATTTCAGTGATAACGTAATATGTGAACGACCAGAATCTGCGGAAAAGTCACAGACAATTTTCTCTGATGTGAACATAATTTTAGATGGACATTGAGACAACTGATAACACTGAGAACCTGCCCAACGATAGATAAATACTGCTAGATTGGACTCTTCTGAAATTCCTGATATTCATGTTTTCAATAATGATCCAACTCAGCTCTGCAACCTATGTAACCTTCAAACTTCAAACAATATATACATTCAATTAAATCAAGTGATGCATACGGCAGAGCACAATACATAGTAACGGAAATGGTCCATCATTACCAATATTTTTGAACTTGAAACAAACAAAATATACACAAAATTATATACACAAAATTTTGAAAAACATATTAATTTACTCCATCATAGGGGCAGGGATGAGGTTGTATGAAACTTCTGATAGAGGGGTCTTATGATTGCTGTCCATCTTCTTTCCTCTGTACCCACGTAAAGCGATAAGTGTTTTTCTTAGCATTGCAAATCTTATCAACCTGGCTAGTTCTAACGCTATAAACCGGTTGAGCTGACTCCATGTGTGAAAACGTAATCTAATTTGGAGTTATTGTTGTTCAGCCCTAATACTTTAATATGGGGAATATATGACAAATAAAACTGGAAAAAAAATGGCCACCAAGTTCCAGCAGATAATTGTAATCCGATGTTTCTATATACGCATGTTAATATAATATTCAATATAATGATATACCTGAACGCAAAATCAAGCTAACAATCAGTTTCAAGCACACATAATAATGATCTAGAAGTTATGGCATCCCTTATATTCGCATACCAGCACGCACAATCTAGTCTTAGCTGCGTTATATACTCTCACAATTTGGAACAAGTTGCTTGGCTCATAGTTCTGTGCTGTTTGCTGTACAATTTGATTTGTAAATTATTATGAACCTAATCGAGAAAAAAACAAAGCTTTTAGTATTGTCGGCCTGTGTTCCGAGGCAATGATACTCCACTGGGTATAGTAAAAGAGTGTTCAAAGGATTAACACAAGCACATGTAGTTAACAATATATCCTGAGAGATAACAAAGTTAAGGTAACAGTATATAAGCCAAAGGTCCTATAATATAAACTAAAGGTGTAATATATAGGACTGGAAATATATAGCCTGACATTACTCTCCCCTTTAAAAAAAATCTACCTCCCTTCAAAGTGAATGCATAAAAACTTTATAAGATCCTATAAGTGCTCAATATTTATATGAAATAGATATAATAAAGTCTCCCAGGATTAAATTCTCAAATAAATTAAAAAATACAAATAACCCATGCGCATGGGAATTCAATAGTCAAAATAACTTATTTATAAAAATTGACTTAAAATTAGCAAATTCGTAGAAAAATATAAATTTCAATGATAAATCTGTTTTATCTTTCCATTCAATAATAAAATTGTATCCTTTCAATAACATATTCAAGTTTATAAATTTATAAATTGTGTGACCTATAACTGGTCGATTAGTCTATTTGGGGGCCTGACTACCCTCCCTGATCTGGTGGTTGTAGTTGTTGAGGGTTCTGTAGGTGGGGATGATGGTGCCAGCTGTGGAGCTGATGGGGCAAATACTGCACTCGTTGGCATGTTGAAAACATTGTTCGCAAATTGTTGCCGATCTATCAGTGGTAAGTTACGCTGAGGGAGGCTGTTATCAACATAAACTTTTCCTGCTGGTGCCTGAGGGTTTTGTACCGGAACTGAGCTACCCATAACCATAGAGGCATCCTGCTTCGTGCCTGCAGGCTGAATCTGGTCGTGATGAACTACCTTGGATTTGCCGGAAACGAAGTTTACAATTCCCCAGCAGTTTTTTCCAATCTTCTTGGAGATCTGGAAAATTTCATCCCATATTGGATTCATCTTGGGATATTCACCATGGTTTCTTTTTAGAAGAACCCAGTCCCCGACCTGGTATTCGTTGACGTTAGTAGTCTTGTTAGCCTGTTTCTGATAGCTTAGTCGAGACTCCTGCTTGTTGAGAGGGATGTTTTGCCTAACCAACCGTGTGTCTTGAGCTTCTTTTTGATTAACACCCAACCTATTGTCGATTGGCAAGTTTGCTGACACTCCGTAAGCAGCCTCGAAAGGAGAGAATTTCGAAGATTTGTTTTGAGTGTTATTAAACATCAATATAGCTTCTGGCAGGAGCTCATCCCATTAAGTAATAGGGATGCCTCTAGATAGACACATAGATCGCAAAATTGTTTTGAGGGACCCAATAGCTCTTTCTGCACTGCCATTACCAGCTGGATGATATGTAGAAGATCGGAGCTTTTTGATTGCAAATTCTTCACACAGTTGTCTAACTTTGGTGCCATCGACATTACTTCCCTGATCTGATTGCAGTAATTTAGGAAGCCCATAGTAGCTGAACCATCTGCACCATAATGCGTCCACGACTGTCTCAGCCCGTGCATTAGGTAAAGCTATTGCTGTCATCAGCTTAGTAAATATATCTGTCACCAAAAGAAAGCTTCCGTTGCCTCTCCTGGACACAGGCATGGATGCTAGATCCATAGAAATCATCTCGAAGATCTTCTCAACCTCTCTATGATCCTGCACTGGTGCTTTAGGCTTAGGTCCATGTTTGCACTGTGTACATGTTCTACAGTTAGAAACAAAGGACTCCACTTGTTTTCTCATACCCCTCCAATAGAACCTTTCAGATAGCATCAGGCAGGTATTATCGATTCCTGGGTGGCCTTGTCCGTGGTATTCTTGGATGATCTTTGGGGCAATCCCCTGAGGTACAATGACTCGGGAGCCTTTGCATAGTAGGTTATTAGAGACTTTCAGGTTCAAGAATTTCCTGAATAAGCCTTTATCCACGATCTTGTCCTGACGGAGTGATTCTATTGCTTCAGCAATATCTTTGTCTCTCATCTGAGCCTCTCGGAGCAGATTCTCCCCTAACACAAACACTGAAGGGTCTTCTGATGGGGCATCACTCCCCATTATTCTGCTCAAGTAATCTGCTTCCTGGTTGTCCGCTCCCTTCAAGTACTTGATGCAGTAATCAAGATTCTCTAACTCTAATATCCAACGGCCGATTTTCCCTCTGGGATCTTTCTGTCTATGAATGTTCCTCAGTGGCTCATGATCCGAATAGAACGTGATCTTTTCATAGCAAAAAGCTTTCCACTTTCTGCTAGCACTTATGATACCATAAAGTTCTCGCTCTGTAGCAGACCAGTTCTTTGTATTCTTCTGGTTAAGGGTCTCGGAGTGATAACCAATGGGTTTGAACGAACCATCCCCATCATACTGCCCAAGCACACTCCCCACTGCAATCTTAGAAGCATCTGTTCTTATCACAAATGGCTTAGACCAATCTGGTATGAACAGCGAAAGAGCAGCATGAAAGGTGGTCTTTAACTTGTTAAATGCAGCTTGTTCTTGACTTGTCCAAACAAATGGGACCTTTGACGATGTTAGGCGATTCAACGGGGAACATATCACAGAGTACCCATCAATAAATCTGCGATTGTAATTGGCTAAGCCCAAGAAGCTTTGTAACTCTTTCCTTGTAGTGGGAGCCGGGAATTCTTTAATCTTAGCCATGTTTTTGGTTCCTGGTTTCAGGGTTTTCCCATCTATCCTGAATCCTAAAAATTGGATCTCTTGGTACGCAAACTCACACTTGTCCCTTCTCAGTGACATGTTGTTGCTCTCCAGCACTTGCAGCAGGATCTCAAGGGTATTGATATGTTCTTCCATGGATGTGGAGCACACAATCAGGTTGTCAACATACGCATCTAGGCCGGTTGCACCCTTTTCCTTGCACTCCTCTACAATCTTGTCCATACACCTCTGAAACGTTGCCTGTGCATTCTTCAATCCAAACGGCATTCTCTTAAACTGATACTTTCCCCGGGGTATACTTAATGCTGTTTTGTTACGATGACTATCAGAGATTGGCACTGTCCAGTAGCCACTTGCCAAATCCAGCTGAGAAAAGAGGGTACACCCAAAGGCCTCATCTACCAGCTCCTCAACAGTGGGCAAAGGGTAAGTATCCTGCACCGTGTTACGATTAACCATTCTGAAATCGACAACAAATCGTTTTGAATTGTCATCCTTCGAGACCAGTAGGGGATTACTGTTGAAAGGTGAGGAAGATGGTTCTATGATATCATGTTCTATCATTTCTGTGACCTGTGTGTCAATCTCCTTTGACCATTTTGCTGGAATTCTCCTTATTTTGCTCCTAATTGGGCGGTCATTGATACTCTTTATTTCGTGTGTGGTAGCAGAACTGCACCTGGGTGCTCTTGGATTTTTAGCAAACACCTCTGGGAAACTTTCCAAAATACTGCAGAGTTTCTCTCTTGCCCCAGATGGCAAGTTCGGGTTAATGTCATGTCCTCCCTTGTCAGCATTTAGAAAGAATATCCATTTCTCTCCCAAACGAACCTTTGAATTCTTCCAATCAAACTCAGTGCTGGAAAATTGACTTAAGAAATCTCTACCCAAGATAACCATTTCTTGGTTGGTACTAAGGTTGGTTTCGTGCAGCCATACCCTGTAGTTCTGGCTTTTGTCAGAGGAGAATCTTATGTTGTATTGTGTCTTCGGACCAATCAACTGTCTGCCCCCAATCCCCTGCACGGAAGTACTGCTCCCATTTTCAATCAGCACTTTATTAGTAGAAATGATAGAGATTTCTGCCCCACTATCTACAAGAAACTGTCTAGGATGCCAGCTCTCACCTAACTCAATCTGTCCTTCAACTTTGCTGTCATATAGTCATCTTTTGTCATGGTTGTTCCGCTTTGGAGGGAACTTCTTATTCCTAGAGGTTCTCTTGGAGGGGCAACTCTCCTCATCGTGTCCTTTTCCACCACAACAGCTACAGACTCTTTGATAACATGTTGCTTTAAGGTGACCTGTCTTCTTACAGATATCACATATTGGTCTGTCTTTTTTTTCAAACTTACGATCTGACTGGACAGCATACATTTCAGTATCCTCCTCATCTGTCACTTCTAACCGTGAACGAAGCTGATCCACCTCCTTCAGTAACTCCCGAGCCCATTGAGGTACCTGCTCTTCTTGCTCTACCGGGAACGCAAATGTTTCACTAGTCGAAGCCTCTGAACTTGCTGAATTCTTTTGAAGCTTTTCCATACAGTCTTTGAAAAAGCTGGCTACACCGGCTGCATCTAGTTCGCTTTTGATTTTATCTTTCTTACACTCAAACAGCTTCTTCCCCCCGGGTACGTTTGTCAGAAACCGCATGATGAAGACATCAGATGGGATCTTAGCACGCCTGGCTAACTCGTCCAGTTGGAAGAAATAAGACCGTATCCCATCCATCGAAGTATTAACCGGCAGCAAGTTGAAAAATGTCATGCTTTCGGTGAACTGACATGGTGCAGTGGGCCATCAATGAGATCTTCAAGGAACTTAAAAGCTGTTTTCACATCTTCCTCTTCTGATGCGGTGAATGCGAGCTGCTTCTCTCCCTCAGTCCGGTGAATATAAACTGGTAAACATGCAAGCTGCTGTTCAGGTTTAAGGGTTGCTGTAGCCGCTAAGAAAACCTTCTGAAACTGTGCGATTTTCTGGCCTTTAGCCAGATGAGGAATTTCAATTGCTGTAATCGTTCTTTGAGGATATAATGTCGGCCTGTGTTCCGAGGCAATGATACTCCACTGGGTATAGTAAAAGAGTGTTCAAAGGATTAACACAAGCACATGTAGTTAACAATATATCCTGAGAGATAACAAAGTTAAGGTAACAGTATATAAGCCAAAGGTCCTATAATATAAACTAAAGGTGTAATATATAGGACTGGAAATATATAGCATGAGTAAGTAAAATACAATTTTAAGTAAAATACAATTTTTATTTTCCACAGAAGAATCAATACATATTGAATTATAAATATCCGATAATTCCATTAATAATCATTAAAAGTTGCTTTGTCATTTGTAAAATCAAAAACGAAAAGCCGTACGCTGAACGCGTGCGGCAATTTTTCTGCAGCTGCCTGGCTTGTAGCCGCTAACATCAAAGCCGCCGCGCGCGCCCAGTGCTGGGGTGCATTCTCATTGACAATTAAACTTGGTCAAAGATATTTATATACAATTCCTAAATTAAATCAATAATCATGTTAATATGAGTATTCAACACTACTCGACAACAAATATTTGCCGGCCCATCGACGATTCAGTCGCCGAAACAAAAATCAAATGTTTGCTTTTTCGTTTCGGGAACTGTTTGAACTTAGTACTATATCCGACTAATCACTAATCATACTTTATAATGGTTAAAAAACATTAAAGTAAAAAGATTTTCCTCGATGGGCCGGCATTCGCAACCGCGAAACGTTTTGAGTACGACAAACGATGACACCACCGCCAGCCCTTAATTGATAAATCCATGGGTGACGGGATAAAGTCTCCATGTTAAAACGAATCTCATTGTTATACAATCTCGAGGAAACATATGCATGTTGTCAGCTATTAGCAATAGCTGATTACGTAATATGTGAACGACCCCTAACATGACATGAAGATAATACTGATAACATTTATTTTAGATAACGACTTACTATACCCCGTTTAAGGCTGTGAGTCAACTACCATACTGTATTGTGATATAATTTCAGCCGAAGACTGCTGATATCTTCGACACATGTGTACAAAATCAGTCAAATTGCCTGGATTACTAATTTAGGTAAACTATAGGTAAAAATATAATATTAATCATAAGCTAAAATGTACTAATCTTTGTATTCTAAATGGGGAAAAAGAAGAAACATTGTCAGTCAGTCGAGAAAATTGTCAGTCAGGCTATATGGCAGCTTTGTAGATGTTGTAAGCTAGTAGTGGTCCCAGGCTTGCGACTGGAATTGCGGTGTTAAATCGATTTAATGGTATACCAACGATCCACCTCCCACTTGTTGTTTGGTACTTAGCATTAATAGTGTTACTAAGTTACTAAGTTAATAATATCAAAGTCACTAATATACTTGGGTATTGGCGAGAAAATATTATATTAGTTCCAATTAGCACATAATTCTGTAGCTAAAGCGGTTAAGTTATAAAATATAAGCACGTCTTGAATCGAATTTCGTATATCTAATCAGTGCTGGTGAGTATTTTGCACAAATTTCTTAAAAACCTTTACATAATTATTTCTTATTCCTGTCACCTTTGACATTGTAGCGCGATGCGTTACTGTGCCGCGCGCCGCGCACTCAATTATGCTTCTCGCAACGACATCGGCAAAATGCACTACTGTGCCTCGCCGAGCTGCGATAAATTGACATCGTCAATTAATAGCTTTGACATTAAATTATAATGTTTTGAACTAAAAATAAACCTGCAAAACGACTTTCAATGAGCCTTTATGCCTGTAAAACAGTAAAGGGATATAATTGTAGTTTTATAACTTACCAAAACGTGCGCTGAGTTGGACTCGTCGACGGTCTTGAGAAAAATATTTTACGAGTATCACCCGTTGAAGGGTATAAACGTATGAAAGATATAATTGTCATACGTTGTATGACCCGCCGCGCACGAAGTGCGCGGCTCCCCTGTATCGTCAGGACGATAGTAAAACGACCGTGGGGGTCGCAACGTGATACAAAGATATAAGGGCAACGGTCAGCACTGTAATCAACTTGAAAATAACAGTAAAGAAGCGAATAATATGCGCATACCGCTCGATTTCTATCGTCGATTTGATTTTCATGCGCGTGACAAGTGTGCAGCGTAAAAATCATAATCCTCATGCAATGAACGCTGCATGTAGTGTAGTAGAGGCTCTTACGGGCATTGTCTGCTCGATACGTTAGGGACCCCAGATACACCTTACTAGACGTATTTTTGACCGTAGAATCGATTGAAAGTGGTTTCAAGATGATTGGACTGATTGTTCTGGGGTAAAATCGCAAAAAACCGATTTTTGGGCCAAAAATAGGCCAAAAAACCATGTTTTTTGATATTTTGAGCAAGTTAATTTTGTTGGCATGTCGGCAAAACTTGCATAAAGATAGCTAAAAGACAGCCGCACAAGATTGTATAAAAATAAAACAAATCCCTCTATTTGTTCTGAGGTAAAAATCCAAAAAAGTGGTAAAAATTTTGACTTTTTTGCTTGAAGTTTGAATAATTTTTTGCAGTTGTATTAAATCAACCCAAAAATAGTCACATCGTGTTTGCCTAAATTTTTCCTTTCCGAGAAGTACCCACTTCATATACTTTATCGAAGTTTGAATATTGTCACTCCGCAAGCGTTTTTGCCAAATTTTCGACGCGCACTACGCGCAAAAGCATTTAGTTGTTATCAATTGGCACCCGCGCGTTCATCATAAATTTCAAACAGCTATAACTCAGCGAGATTATGTCCGTTCTAGCTCATATTTTCACACTAAATAGAAAATAATGTGATCTTATTGCTGACAAAATATGAATATAATTACTCTATTTGCCTTAGAGTAATTTAATAGACTGTCAAAGTTTAAAACGCGCATTGGTATAGCACGTGACTAATAAGTCCAAATTTATACTTCTTAACATATTATCGATCCTTAGACATCATACTATTGTGTCCAATTAGCGGTTAGGTCTCTAAACTCGTAGCAGAAAACACGTCTTTTTGCCCGTAAGAGCCTCTACTAGTGTAATGAACTAACAGTGCTACACCGTGGATACAAATTATTTACATATTTACTAAAACATTGCATTGGCATACAATTTTTTATTATCGGAGTGTGGAAAAAATGCAAATGTTGTGCTCGCGCGTGGCGCTTACTGTACATTGACTATATATACATTTATTTATATATATGATATATATAAGTACGATAGTACGTGTTACAAACAGCAAAAGGGTGCCGCAGGCGTAATATGCTGCAAGTTCCGCGCAAACAACAAAAGTGAAAAGTTGAAAGTGTGCGCCACAAACGTATAGTCAATAGTATGCTTTGTCATGTCATGGTCATACGTTATATGACCCGCCGCGCACGAGTGCGCGGCTCCCCCTGTATCGTAGAAACTCTACAGGTCGTTTCACTAGTGGAACAACGATGGGGGTCAAAACGTGATACAATGTCAATAGTAAGCTGCAAAGTGCAAGTGCTGCTACTGGCTATAACGTAAGTCGCAGTACGCAAGTGCCGCAAACATGCGTCGTAAGACTAAGTGCTGCAAAGGCAAAACGCCAAACCACAAACTTGTGCTGCAAGTGCTGCAAACGTGTGCTGCAGTGCTGTAAACGTATGCTGCAGTGCCGCCAGCCGCAAACGTGTGCTGCATGCAGTGCCGCGCAATAAGACATAAAAGGTTTTTCACATATTACGTAATCAATATTTTAGCAATTTCATGCAAACCCCCCCCCCCACCTCGGCTGATTACGTAATATGTGAACGACCCCTAATTGCTAACTTGACAAGGTCGTCTCGGTTTCGGGCGATAAGAAACCATGAAACTTAAATAAATTTAATGAACTGAACTACAAACTACTAAAATAAGTTACTTACATGATTTTCTACTCGATCTACTCCTGCAATCAGAAGATCCAATAAGAATACCCAGAAAGTGGCTTTTACTAATTCGCTAGCCCAAAAATTATGGCACGTGACTTTGGTTTTTATAGTTTTGCAGCCGAACAAAACGGTTTTACATAAACCCTAATCCCAACCATAACCCTAACCATAAACCCAAAGCTATCCATAACCCTAACCACAACCCCAACCCTAACCTGAGCCCTAAACTAGGTAGTGCGCCATCGACAGTGAGCCGCGCGTGCCGACTGTAGGATGGTTTTTTAGCGCTAATTTCGGCCAGCACAATTTTCTTCAAACAAACAAATATTAAGTATCCTTCCCGACCTCCGATTGCCACAAAAATTGGTAAGCTTACTCATAGACTTGCAAGGAAAGTGTCCGAAAAGTTTAAAGCATATCCAACCATCAGACATTATGTTGCAGCTAAAAGCAGTGTATTTTGCCCCATTTTGATCACTATATCAACTCCGATATCCACCAAATTTTTCGGACAGTTGTGAAAGCCCTATTGAAAGGTCGTCGCCAATTTTCAGAATGATCTCATTCAAGGAACTGAAGATATATCTAAATAATACGACAAAAATCAACGAATTTGGTCAAATTTGGTCAAATTACGCGACTTTTACAGCTAATTTTGCTCCAAAAGCCGCGCACCATCAAATATGGCACCTAGGCGAAACTCACTGATCTTTCCAAAAAGGTATGACAAATTTGGTATTGTGAAAATTCTCACAGTCTCTAGAAAACAATGGTACAAAAATTTTTTAAATCCAAGCAAGCTTATTTTTATGGTGCACCCCCTACCTAAACAATCAATGTCATGTTTTACTTGTTACTAATACTAGCGTGTCAGGTGACCAAAACAGTTTTTTGCCCATAACTTTCCAGGGAAGCATTTTTACCCTACGTCATTGGGGGTGATTCGGAATCAGCGTCCAAAAATACATTGAACAAGATTACATTCATACTTTTAGGGCCTTTTCACAAGAATGAAGATGAAGAATTTTCTTAAAATTTGGGCGAGCGATTTAGTTGGAGCGCCAGAAAGCATATAATTATAGCACCAACTATGAACTTAATCCTACTATTCATTCTTAATAAAATATATTGTCAATCACTGTACCACAAAATTAAAATATAATAAGTTGACATATAAGGTAACCGTAAAATTAGAAGGGTACATAGTAACGAGGGTGGAAACGCTGTATTGTGTAACTCTGGATAAAATGGATCAAGATTTATTTTAATCAGCATACCATAAGTATGGTTACGATCAAACGTTTTTCATGACGTAACATCAAAAAGTATATATAGAATTATGTTTTTAAATCAGGAACAACACATGCAGAAAGTTCATTGTTATCACAGTGCTGGCAAGCACGACCGGTGTCTTTATTGGGGGTATACTATGTACCCCCTTTACTATTGTACCACTTTAATATTATACCCCCTTTACTATTATACCCCCTTTGGTACACGTTACAAGCCTCTTTTGTGCACGCGAAGCGTGCACTCCGGCCGAAGGCGGCGGCCGAAGGCCGCCGCCTCCGGCAGGAGTTTTCCAGTCAATTGTAACCTGTATTTAAGTGTCCATAGATTCAAAAGTATAAAAGATACAGCCATTTCCGACCACAGGTCTTGCAAATAATTGTTTACACTTTAGTTTACATTGTATAAACAAATTATTTGACGTCATAAACACCCCTTGATGACGTCATCAAGTTAATCGTTTTTAAAACTTGATTTTTGACAAAGTAATAACTTTTAAAATTAATTTTACACCATTAAGGAGTAATTTAATTCAGAATCTGAGGAAGTTTTTACCTTAGATAATTGTTCAAGCATTCTGAAAATCTACCGGAAAGTTTTTCTAGCTTGCTCCTTCATAAAGATATTCGTCATTGAAGTTTGTGCTTTTTTGAAGAATTATTTTATAAAAACGTCAATTTTGCGATTTAGTATTCTCTGGTGTTGGGCCATGCCTTGGGTTGTGGAGCTCAGTTCTGCTTCCTATAGGTATAAATTGTGCATTAGGCTAGTTTTAAAGTTGAAAATCTAAAAGTTGCACACGTGGGGACACACCCAAATTGATAGAAAATTGCTAAAATCACTGAAAATTGCTGTTTTCGTCATTTTCTGTCAACTTTAGAGTGCCGTTGTGATTACAGTTCTTCTTGAAATACTTTGAAACTTTGCATGCTTATCAAACTATATATAAAACAATAACATGCAAAAATTTACGGCGATTCAATATTGGATGCGCACGCAACGTCCGCTCAAAGTTTGCACATGCGAAAGGTGAGAATTTTGCTCATTCGTGATTTCCAACAAATTCTGCTTTGCCACGACAGTTTAATGTCATTATATATGAATTTAATGCCAACTTGAATGAGTATTAAGTGGCATATTCAGTCAGTGATCGACCGATATGCTTCCCTAAACACAAGGAAATGTTTTTAAAGGAAAAATTTCGAAATCGTTGAAACTTCCTCCTTATTAATGAAGATATCAGTTTATATTTCGACTTTATAAAGTACCCTGACATTATAATCAAAAAGAGATGATATTTTACCAAAACCCATAATCATGGGTAGAGTGGACCGCTGCCAGTGTCTCTCTTTCCCAAACAAAAGATTCAATAAACTTCAGCTAATTCAATAACTAATAACTACCACCCTTACCCCGAAATACTAGGTATCGACCCGAACGCAACCCAGAGAGATTTTTACAGCATCTGATTGATGTAATCAATCGAAACTTATTTATACAATTCGTAAGCCGTGAATGAATGGGAAAAGCGAGCGACCGATTTCATTCTCGGTATCATTTTGCATTTGAGAACGGTCAAACAAATTAATATCATTTCCTTTTGTTTGGGAAAGAGAGACACTGGCAGCGGTCCACTCTACCCATGATTATGGGTTTTGGTCAAATGTATGTATATTAGGTACATCAATCAGATGCTGTAAAAATCTCTTTGGGTTGCGTTCGGGTCGATACCTAGTATTTCGGGGTAAGGGTGGTAGTTATTACTTATTGAATTAGCCGAAGTTTATTGAATCTTTATTGCCGAGTACAGCTGCCTTTGGGTAGTTCTTTTTAATCTATTACAATTGTAAATGAATGGGAAAAGCGAGCGACCGATTTCATTCTCGGTATCATTTTGCATTTGAGAACGGTCAAAAAAATTTAAATTTATCATTTCCTTTTGTTTGGGAAAGAGAGACACTGGCAGCGGTCCACTCTACCCATGATTATGGGTTTTGGTCAAATTATCAGATACAAGATAGCAAATTGATAATGCATGGACACTGACAGGCCTGAATTTTAATACTATCGATATTTGAAAAAAAGAGGGTGAATCTTGGCACGTGCAAAATGAATAACAGATTGAAAGTCAGTCACTTTATTTACGTTAGGTTGTCACTACAAACAAAAGTATAACACATACGCCAGTTTACACAGTTGCAAAAAATTTTTAATTTAGTTTACATTGTATAAACATATTTGACGTCAGTAAAACCCCTTGATGACGTCATCAAGTTAACCGTATTTAAAACTTGATTTTGACAAAGTTAATAAGTTTAAATAATTTTACCATTAAGAGTAATTTAATTAGAATTGAGGAAGTTTTCTCTAGATAATTGTTCAGCATTTGAAAATTACCGGAAGTTTTCTAGCTGCTCCTTCATAAAGATATTCGTCATTGAAGTTTGTGCTTTTTTGAAGAATTATTTTATAAAAACGTCAATTTTGCGATTTAGTATTCTCTGGTGTTGGGCCATGCCTTGGGTTGTGGAGCTCAGTTCTGCTTCCTATAGGTATAAATTGTGCATTAGGCTAGTTTTAAAGTTGAAAATCTAAAAGTTGCACACGTGGGGACACGCCCAAATTGATAGAAAATTGCTTAAATCACTGAAAATTGCTGTTTTCGTCATTTTCTGTCAACTTTAGAGTGCCGTTGTGATTACAGTTCTTCTTGAAATACTTGAAACTTTGCATGCTTATCAAACTATATATAAAACAATAACATGCAAAATTTACGGCGATTCAATATTGGATGCGCACGGAACGTCCGCTCAAAGTTTGCACATGCGAAAGGTGAGAATTTTGCTCATTCGTGATTTCCAACAAATTTTGCTTTGCCACGACAGTTTAATGTCATTATATATGAATTTAATGCCAACTTGAATGAGTATTAAGTGGCATATTCAGTCAGTGATCGACCGATATGCTTCCCTAAACAAACTTTGTGATCCGAGTCAGAGGGCCTGAGTTGATTAAGTTGGCACATTATGTGCAGAGCAAAAAATTTAACAATATAGTGGTTACCTGGGGATCGGACCTCAGGCTATTATATTTATGTTCATAATCATAGAATAGAGCTATTAGGCGGAATGACAGGCTGAGCGGGGTCACGAAATCCTCTCCGAACCTCCACGTGGTGTGGTCTGGTTGGCACTAACGGGTGGTGTGCTCTCTTGTTGAGTACAAAGGTTGGGCCTTGCCAACTCAAAGTTCCCATAGGAACCAGGAAGTCAACACTAACAGCTACCAAGCACCAGGAAATTTCTCTTTCAGATATCAGGTTACAAGATAGTACACACACAAATGACGATACATTAGACACAGATACCTAGCTCTAAGAGCTACTAAATCACCAGGAAATTCTCTTTCAGCTTTCAGGTCCCATCGAAGTCACCCACCACAGAGCTAGGGATTCCAATTCGCTCATCCTGACTACAAGGACACACTGATAGTGAGTAGTCCTGGCACTTCTCCCTCCAGTAACCACTTTTCAGGTCTTTTCAGTTAAGACAGCTAATGCGTAAGGGCTGACACACGCTAGACACAGGCTCGTGATAAGACAGAATTAGGGATTTAAACTCTGACTACGAGGACACACTGATAGCGAAAATTCCTGGCACTTCTTCCAGGGGACCGGGTTAGCTTTGCCACACTCTTCATTGAAGTGTGACTGGACGCTCTACAATCATCTAGTAGCAGCAGAGTTTGACTGACACCCTTACTGGTTCTATTCAGTTTCTACAGCGGAAGATCTCAACACTCGAAAACAGTTCATCTCGGACATCCTGCAGAGCTGCTCTTTCACAGCCTGCCCCATTACACGGGGAACCCTTAGATCTACAGTACCCTGGTGGCGAGCATAGCTCACTAAAGCATAGTGGACCTCTTTAGTTCTGAGACGCAAAGCTAACCGGATCAGGAATAAACATCAATGCAATGCTTAGGGGATGCAAATAGAACCTACAATGTTATCGAATGCATTACTCAATCTTTTGATTCATTTTTTAGCTCGTCGTTACATGGTAACAATTCAGGACTGACATTCCTCCTTCAGGTTAATTGAGGAAATCGTACCCGCTATTTGCGTTATACATGGCAAGTATCTGGACTTATGATAACTTAGGATCTCCATCAATCATAAATTCCTCTCAGATTCCCAGGCTGCATTTAAAGCGCTTAACAGCACCAGTTTTAACTCCAGGTTCGTTCTGAACATCTCAGACCAACTCACTAGGTATTCACATCGAGTAGGACTTCGTTCCAGGACATTAAGGAGTATACGGTAAAGAAATAGCGGAAGAATTCGCAAGGGACGATCAATCCAACAACATCCCCATAGGACCAGAACCCTTCCTCCCAAATAGGCCACACTCAGTGACAAAGGAACATTCCACTTGTGATGTTCCTCCACAAATTAAATACAGGAACTTTTATTTTTCTGGAACTCACATCAGATGGCTAACATGGTCGCTTTCAGAATAGGTCACAGCCCACTAGTTTATTTTCAGAACGTGGCAAACAACGTCAACTTCAGTCTTCAAGACGCAAGATTGCGAACACTTTTCAGGAGAAGCAGCAACATCCCAGCACCTCCTCTGCAAGTGCATCCAGATCATGACGTTCAGAATGAGGATAATTGGTAAACTCTACCTTAACAACAGTAAACTACATCATATCTTCAAATTTGTGGAACAGTCGACAAGACTGGATAGGGAAAACCCTTTTGGGTAACCTCCTTGGATTCTTCACCAGGAACTTTCGCTAAATCCCATACGAGGAACTCAACATAGGCCCATCTCCGCATAGAGACATATCTCCCAGGCTTTGACCTTGCTCGGAAGTCCCTTGTCTACCCGCAGAAGTACTACAACGGAAGTGGGTTTGCTCTGAGACAGGTAGTGACAGCTTCAAGACTCCAGGGGTCTGTTGCATTGATATTTATTAATTTATGATTTCGTATATACTTTGGGAGTCCTGGCGTGCAGCTAGCAGGAGTTGCATTCTGTGGGCACGGTGAGAAGGCCTCCATCTTAACGTAAGAGGCCAGAAACCGTTGACCAGAACAGAGAGAGAGAGAGAGACAGGCTGAGCGCCGCCCAGTAATATCCCCCTCAGCTGATTACGTAATATGTGAACGACCCCATTGAGAAAACATTGAAACTTTTCTTGTCCGGTAGTACAACTACAAGTTTCACTATATTTTTAGTCACCTTTCCAACATTTAAGGGGGCATACACCAAAACAGTGGTTTGTGCCGTCCAGACCAAATGACCTCATAGGCAGTTCAGTGACCTTCTTAGCGCACCGTTTCCACACCAAAAAAATTATTTTGAGAATACCCATTTTTGTAATCGAGCATTTCCTGGTTAGAGTGGAATTTTCGGAAAATCACAATTTGTTTCGTGGAGAGGCTATAAGTTAATCATTTCTTGCGGTATCGGGTTGAAATTTTGCTCGCCGTCTATTCACATCTATTTCAAGGTGTGTGTAAAATCTTGATATCGTATCTAAAATTAAAAAGGCTGGTGTGTTATAAATTTTTAAAGTTAAAAAAAGTCAAAAAGTTGAAATTGTCCTTTTCAGACTTACTTTAACCAAAAAGTCAGTCAGGGAAGATCGGATTGATTTGATGGTTGACATGAACTTGTTCTCTGAATTCTGGCGCAGTTTTTGATGCTCTCTAAAATGTTTTTCCTCATTTGTCTTCAGATCTATTGGACTTCAAAGCCAAACAACAAATTTAGGCACATTTTTCGTTTTTCATATTTACTGATTTTTCTAAAATTTTGATAGGAATGTGCTAGTGACTTTTTGAAGGGCGCAAAATAACCGCAACTATGAGTTATGAACAACAAAACACCCTAAAATGCTTCCCTTTGAAGTTATGGGAGAAAATGCGATTTTTTGGCTTTGCAGATAAAAAATCACATTTTCTCCAATAACTTCAAAGGGAAGCATTTTAGGGTGTTTTGTTGTTCATAACTCATATATAAATGTGCTAGTTGCGGTTATTTTTCTCCCTTCAAAAAGTCACTAGCACATTCCTATCAAAATTTTAGAAATTTGTTGTTTGGCTTTGAGGTCCAATAAATCTGAAGATAAATGAGTAAAAACATTTTTGAGGGCATCAAAAACTGCGCCAGAATTCAAAGAACAATTTGATGTCAACCATCAAATCAATCCAATCTTCCCTGACTGACTTTTTGTTAAAATAAGCCTGAAAAGGACAATTTTAGCTTTTTGACTTTAAAAATTTATAACACACCAGGCTTTTTAGATACGATATCAAGATTTTACACACACCTTGAAATAGATGTGAATAAACGGCGAGCAAAATTTCAACCCGATACCGCAAGAAATGATACTTGTAGCGTCTCGACCAAAAAATTATTTTTTCCGAAAATTGCACTCTTAACCAGGAAATGCTTGTTGAAAGTGATGCCAGAGAAATTTTAAGAAATAAATTTACCAGTTGATATTGAATATAGATTTTTGATTTACTAAATAATAAAGCCCACATGATCAAGAAATTTAAAATAATAAAAATAACTTTAAGCTTTATATTTTAAAAGTTTTTACCCGAAAACAAAAATGCTAGTACGGTTTTTTTCTAAATAGTGTGCTTCTTTTTTAATCCTCGTACGTCATGTTGTTGATGGACTTATCCAGGTGCATTCTGACGTAGTACAAGTCTTTTTTTAGACTGTAGGCTTCTCGGACCTTTGCTTTTAGAACTTCTTTTACATTGTATGAGACTCCACAAGCTTTGACTCCTTTCAGTGCTGCGTTACCACCAAACATTTCCACTCTCACTGTTGTGCCACAGTCCATAGATAGAGGTACCTGGACAATTCAATAAGAAGTCGTTCACAAATTATGTAATAAATTTTTGGCTATATCCAGTCGGTTCATATGTTTTATAACATAATCAGAGTAAAATTGAGTGAAATTTGAATTAAAAATTGTCGAGTTGGTATTATTCTTGAGGGCAGTAATGAAATTTTTGATTACATAAACAACAACCGTGATCATTTGGAAACTCCCAACATTTTCACTGCGAGTACTTTACAATTAAATAAAGCATTCAGAGTGGATGTAAGTTTGATTATTGAGTTCTATATTATAACCATCTCAATCAAATTGTCAAATTTCGTGCTTAACTTACCTTTTTAAAAGGATCCTCCCCCAATTTTTGAGCTTCTTGGCCACTCCCCACTTTGTATGTGACTTTAACATTTTCTGGTTTCGCACCATCAACCCAAAAGAATTCTATGTCATCTAGAGCGCAAATTCTCTTGAGATTAATCTCAAACCAGCTAGTCTCACTGTTTCCGTTCCATAAGGTAGAGTTATTACCATCCACTAGAGTAACAGGATCTGAACTACCAGGATTTGCTTTTACCGGCTTACCCTTCGACACGTCACCAGGAAAATCGTGGCAAACTCCCATGACAATAAAGCGCCAGATGGCATAGGGATGCTTTTCTCTTCCTGCCCCTTTTTTAAGTTCAAATTTTATTTTGGTAGTCTTCATGTCCCATCCATCAAGATATGTCCACATGTTGTACCATCCCACGAGTCTATGATCGTTGTGTGTTCTCACCAGAACGTAGTTACCATCTTCGCCCAGAGCAAATACATCATACACAACTGCCATGCTCCACCCAATCCAATGAATCTTAATCTCCTTTATTGTAGAAGGCTTCCCAAAATCTATTTCAAAATCAGCAATTTGTGTATCACAGGAAGCGGCGCCCCTTTGTTCTAATAGGCTTTTCATACCATCAGCCCCAAAGCACTGTGATGTTGCATTTTTTTCCTTGGCAATGTCCGAAACCTGTGCTTCTTCTTCCCGCTGTTTCAAAACGGTTGGTAACAGTGCATTTTGTACTGTTTGTTTCTGCAGATTCGGTTCGTTTATTGCACCTTCCAGATCAAGCCACACAGCGAAGTTGTATGGGCATTCTGTTGTAGCATCCTCCAATATTTCAAATCGATCTTCAGGATTTGCCAGCCGACCGATGATTCTCATTTTTTCAGACAGTCTGTAACCCTCCAGATTCTTTTGAGCTTCATTCATCACACGAATGAAATACGCTTCGCTCCTCCAGGTGTTTTGTTGACCTATCGTTGTTCCCCATCCAGAGTTGTCGTTTCCTAGATGCCAGTTGCCATCTCTATACCATACATAAGCACAGTGACGAGGCTGCCCTACAGGTGTGGCTGGTACTCCATATGCGTGGCACATCCCTGCAGACATTGTTGATATTGACCCACAGACGCCTCCAATATCATGCCATGCTTTCAGACATATTGGAATATAGTAATAGTATTCGAGAAGGCCGATAAAAATTCCGTCATCGTTGTTCAATTTGTAGTTTATCATTTTGAAGTTTGTATCACCTATTTTGTTTGGGTTATCATATCCCTCTGGAGTGTTTTCTCGTGCCCAAATATGCTCTTCCTCTCTTGATCGTGAGGCAACTACAAAACGGAGATGCCAAGCAGTTCCTTCATAGAATGGAGAGTACAAAATACCTTCTTGACTCCATCTCATGTAGGTATGGTACCTTGCCATCCAATCAATTTTGAGTCGTTTAAAGCCGAATCCACCCACTGGTGTTGAAAAGACGACGGCAGTGGCAACAGCGAGTCTGAGTCTCAGGGCTTCCTCTTTGATGGCAGGATCTTCTTGGACCAGGTCTCTTAGTATTTCCAGAGCCTGTTGATATTTGTTGCCTCCTATATCTCCTGAGGTCATAAACATTTCTAACACTTCTCTGTTTGTTAGAATCCAGTCAACTTTCTCGTCACCAAACTGTAAAACACCGCCTTTTTCAAGGATTTGTTTCTTTAGCCACCATTGGAAGACGTCGAGTGATCCCTGCGTTGAGTTAGCATATGATTTGACTTCAAGAAGGTTTTTTCCAACTACATTCTTCATAATAACCTCTTTTAGTCCTTCAATGCTTGATTGAAATGCTTTAAGTTCCTTATATTGTTCTGAAAATGTTATCCTTTGTTAAAAATGGTGATCTTTTGTAAGCTATAATAAATGGCTGCACAAATTTTCCTAAGGATAGAACAATATTTTATTTCACTTACCAGCTTTTTCCGTTCGTGGTAAAATACATTTGTTCCATTTGGAGCCACTGTTATCACCCAAGAGTATGATGTATTTCGCTGTAGAAATCGGTGCTCGATATGGGAAGATTTGTGAGAGACTCACTCCATTGACAAATATTTTGTAAAATCCGTCCATCATAACTATTCTCATGACAAAATACTCGTCTGGTTGCAATGTCTTTGGTAGTCCAAATTTCACCTCCGACTGCCATCCACCAAATTTTGAATTCATGACTGAAATTTCATGAACATTTACTTTCAAATGATATTTTAGACATGGATTTTAAAATCAATGGATTGGAATGTGAACATTTAACAGGAACTTTAAACAACTGATTAATAAGACAGTTATGTTTTTACGGTTTGCCAACTTGATCTGACTCACTTATTTGCTGTGAGCTTATTCTAAGGTTGATGTGAATTAGAATGTTGTCACTTCCATCCAAGATGCTTAAGCTACAATATCCGGTTCTAGAATTATAGGTACCATGGACATCAATAAAATCTCCCGGTTCCAAGTCCTTGCTTAAGCTGTACTTGGCATTTTTTACAGGATTTTCTACTATACCGTCATCTGTAAAGATAAAATTATAATTGCGAACGATTCAAAGTAGAAGCTTTCGATAAGCATTTAGGATTGCATCCTCCAATCTCCTATATAAGGTTATATAGTTTATTGGTTACTTTCAATCTTTGGGTTCAAAGAGTTCTTATTACCATTTCTAGATTGACTTTCTCCAACTTGATAGACATCGTTAGCCCAACCACCGCCCTTGCCATCCTTGCACCAACAAATTGTGCCATATTTTTGGTAAGTCTGGCCAGCATCTTCTGCAGTAAAGCATTGTTCGCCACTTTGAACGGCAAAGACCTTGAAATTGTTATCTATGGCAAATTTTTCACATTTTTCAATTGATCCTATGAATCTCATACCGCCACTGATTGCTCGATTTCGAGCGTCCCTCCAGCAACCCAGACTTATACGTGCACCATCTGAAGAAAGTTAAGAGCATTAATTATCTAGCTGTACTTTAAAATTTAATATTTATGGTGTGCACCTGATTCTTGCGAAAGTTTTCATTACTTTGACAAAAAGATAACTTATTCTTATCTTGTGCAACCATGTTTATTGTTGAACTTGGGGCAAAAGTCGGTTTATATACGTTTAGTCTTATACCACCACCTTGTTTCATATTTGAGACTTGTTGTTCTGCAGATGAAATACTGTACCTACTCATTGAAGGATTATGTCGCCAAAATTTGAAAATAAGAATATTTCAGAGCACGCACATTCAATATTAAATCACCTATGTTGTTTATTTCGAACATGCTGGAGGCCCTATTTTTTTCAGATTACTGTAAATAATTGATTGTTGCATCTGATCTGAAAATATGAGATGATACGGATTTGAAATAACGAGGTTATCAAGCATTTTGATTTTGTTTATCTTGTTAGCAAAATTGATTGATCGATTATGCGACTCGATACGGCGTAGGGGTCACCTAAACTACTAATCTACTCATTCGACAGAACCTCTAGAATACCACTTAAGAACAGACACAAGAATGATAACCTTCCCTTCGTTATCCTACACATCGGTAAACCAAGAGACCTCAGCATCACCCCACTGAGGTTCAACCCAGCTGTCGAGGTCACTGAAGTATGTGATGTCAGCCTCGGTAACTACAGTTTAATCACTGTGTTCCCCGAGGCGAGTCAAAATCTACACTTGTTCTTTTCCCCCGAGATGAACTCCCTCAGTCGCAAGGACGAGCAAGTCCTGATAGTGCCCTTCATCGAAAAGAATGTCGACATGCAGACCTCAGCCGAATTACCGATTCAGATCATGCAGCACAGCAACCCAGCTGCACCAGCCTCAATCGAGGATATTGCTACAACGAAAGTAGAAATCTCACTAGCGAAGGTTGAATCCCTGGGGATAGAGGAGGACTACCTTGCTACGAAGGAAGTCACCACTGCCGAGCCTAGCACCACCAAGCTCAAGTCACCGCTATCTGAATCGCCAGATATGAAGCCGTTGGATGTGCAACTCGACCAACCGGTGATTCCGCTACACGAGATAGACAATACTGCTGCCGAATCACTGCCCCTAAGAATATCAAGCTGCAGTCAGAAAAGCGAAGATACGCAGAAACAGACAACTAAAGCAACCCCGGACGACACCAGCCACAATGAGTCCTTCGCCGATGAAGAAGTGGACCACACTGATCCCAGTCTCGACAAGGGCTCCTCAATCACTCTGAAATACATCACCCTTGATCTCCTGAAGAGAGCAGCCAATTCTAACAAGAAGTCTTCACTGTCCACTTTGATGACATCTCTCGGACTCAAGGGTAGCAACAATGTCTCTCTCAACAAAAAGAAACTCTGTGACCTACTCGAAACTTGTGAGTCTACAGGAAGCAAGAACACGGTGAAATTACTCACTCATCTCATCAATAAACTCGAAGAAACAGTGATCAGAATGGAACTCCTTGCCAATTATCTTCCCTTGAGCCTTTCAGCCCAAGAAAGAAAAAAGGCTCTGATCTCGTTTTGTAGTAATCAGTGTAGTGGCAACAGTAACGCGATTAAACTAGTTTTCGAAAATCCAGGTGAGGATGATCAGAGTAATTCAACCCGCAACATCTTACAGTTGCACAACACACCGTCTCTCCGTGACCAACCGAGCCCACACGATTCGGGCGACTACGTAACCCCTGATGGACCTCTGTCTGGTAACACTGATACCAAATTTCAATTTGGTACTCCCAAGGATCAATCTTGCACTAGAAGTGCGAAGAAGAAAAAAAAGGGAAAGTCGCACAGAAAGAAAAAGGAAAAAAAGGGTAGCAACAACACCTCCCCTCGCGTCCCCCTTGGTCCTCATCAGAATTCTTTAGTCGCACCTGATACCGGGAGCCTATTATCCGCTAACGGGCCAACCACTGAAATTAACGACGACATGGAAACTGCGGGCGATATGCCCCTCAAGGGTCACCTAATAAGTACCGAATGCAGTCAATGCTCTGAGTTAAAGGCGGCGGTGACAGTGCTACAAGACAGTATTATTACGCTTAAAGAAGAGATACTGCAACAAAAGGCAATCTCTGACCTGATCATCTCGTCACCTACTGCCTCAGACAAAAAGCTGGAAGTCTTAGTCGCGAAAAAGCTCAGTCCGATTGAAGACAAAGTGAACCAACTAAGAGCTGACCTCAACCTACTTAGAGAGGCAGTAGATGAACAGAATAATACTCTGAACCTAGTGGCCAACACGAGGACTCAGTCCTCTCCAGACTTAAGAGCTGAGCTTGCTAACTGCTTCAACAAGTTGGAAGCAACGAATATCGCTAATAGAAGGCAGTTCGAAACACTTGAGCTAGGCCAAGACAATCTGAAGAAAGCAGTCAAGAGTGTGGCAAACACTGCTAAGAACCAGTCACAAGCCACAGCTGAAGAGCTAAAGGGTGAGCTCAATCTAGCCTTTCAGTCATTTGAAACTGTAAGTTCCTCAAATAGGACCCGAATCGAGGCACTTGAAGTAAACCATGAGAGTCTGACGCAGGCCCTCACCAGTTCACCACAGCCTCCGGCGAACCACAAGCCCGCCCGGCGTGACACGCCGGCCTCTGTCGATGATACGAACAAGGAAAGCGAACAGGGTATCCTGTGGTCCAAGATCGTTGAGAATGGAGGCTCCGAGACGTTCACTACATCGAACAAGAAGAACAGCAAAAACCACAAAGAGAATGTACCTGTACCAGCAACCAGACAGGACAACCGCAGTGAGTCAAAACATTCAGAGACCACCGCATCCGAGGCACAACCTAATCAACCGAGTCGTGAAGCCAAGGAGAGTAGAAACAAATCTTCCAGGCGAATAAGGGAAAGTTACAGACAGCACACTGTTCTTCTGATCCACGATAGTAACTTTGATCACTTCAACCCTAAACTGTTCAATAGTCAATTCAATGTACACTGCCTCAAGTTTGACAGCTATGAGGATACGACTAAAAAAACAAAGCTATTGAACAGCACCATCAAACGACTCAAGCCCGAATGCATATATGTTCACACGGGGATAAATGACCTTCTCAAAAAGAAATCTGGTCTCGTGAGTATCGTTGAGGAGTTCTCCGAGCACCTGATGAACACAACCAAAGCCCAAATATGCTTCTCAGGACTGATTCCATCGAGCAACGATAAAGCCCTCAATGAGAGAATCAGCATCGTCAACAAAGATGTTGAAGACTATGTGAGCTGGCTCCACAAACACAAGCCGGTTGCAAAAGATAGGATCTTTACCTTCCAAAATGACAGCATCGGTGACCAAAACTTTTACACAAGTAACGAAGGGTTCAAGCTGAGAGAACGAGGTAAAAAAATGCTGTGGGTGCGCCTCCGTGAAGGAATGAGGAAAACAATGCGCTTACCTCGAGTAAGCTACCAACCAAAGGACAGATCCAGACGCAGCACGAACAGGTTTAGAGATGAATAGCCCCCCTAAGATGAGACACTCACTCAAACTCATGAGCTGGAACATCAACCACCAGCGTGACAAATTTGAGGGTGTCAAATTCGAAATTGACGAGGTCCAGAAGCTCATAGCTGGCCACGATATCGTCTGCCTACAAGAAACTAAAGGACAGGTTTCTATGCGGGAATTCAAATGCTTCAACGCCAACAGATCGGATAGCAACTCAGGTGGCGTGTGCACAGCGATCCGGAAGCACTTGGCTGCAGGAGTAGTCAGAGTTCATTTTTCCAAATGCGACGACATACTCATCATAAAGCTTAAAGCCAAATACTTCAACCTTGACAAAGATCTGAATCTTATCAATGTGTACGACTCGCCAGCTCATGGCTCATACAAGAAACGAATGCGTTCCAAAATGGAACAATATACAACCACTTGTGAGCACTTAGAAGAGTGTCTATCAAATATCCCCGACTCCGAAGATGCTGCCATACTTGGTGACATGAACGCGCGGACCGGCACATTGAACGACTTCCTTATACCATGCGAGTCTAGGGACCTTCAAGTTGAACTCGATCCTCCCCAGCATTCTATATCTCCTACTGAGGTAGCCTCTAGAAACAACCAAGATCGGATTCTCAACTCCAACGGCAAACCCTTCATTGAGCTACTCCAGACAACTGGAATGATAATCCTAAACGGAAGGACAATTGGGGACATATTTGGCAGTCCAACTTGCATTCAAAGAAATGGAGTAAGTACGGTCGACTACATTTGCGTGTCCCACAGCCTCCTTCATCGGGCAAGGTTCTTCAAAGTTGGTGACCTCACCCCTTATTCTGACCACAGACCAATATCCACCACTTTAACCACTAACATAAGGAACATTGTGATGGCTGGCGACATCTCGAACGAAATGGAGCTCAAATTCGCATCGATCCCGAAGCCATTCAAGTGGACCAAAGATGCCTGCTCTGGACTTGGTACCACAGAAAAATTCAAGTCAGCCCAGAACACCGCTCAATTCAAAGAAAAAGTTGATTCTCTTCTTCAAACTGATATTTCCTCCCCTGACGACATTCGCAGTTTCAATGAAATTGTGATTGCCACCTTTACTAACCTGGCAAGTCAAGTTACCACCCAGAAAAGTGGAAAGCCCAGTACTAACAAAAACAAATGGTTTGATTGGAGTTGTAGGCATGCTAAACGATTAGTCTGTAGAGACGAAAGAGCCAAGAATAACACCCACATCGATCCTATGCTCGTGGAATCCAACCGAGCAAGATTTTACCTCCGTAAGAAAGAATACAGGGCACAAACACGAGCTAGAAAGGGAGCTTACCTTTACAAACTTAACGAGAAAATCAACCTCAGCAACAACATCAACTGGGCTGCTTTAAAAGACCTCTCGTCCGCTTGCAAGGACCCCGATACATTCGACATATATGACCTGATCGCATTTCACAAGTTCTTCAACGACCTATACAATCAGAAGTGCAAGGACCCCTCGCACGGTGGACTACAAACGAACACTTCGACCAACGAAGCTGGTGAACAGGGAACCGAGTACCACCTCGAGCCATCAGTCGAACTTGAAAAACTTAACACAGAGTTTACTATCCAAGAACTGGAGAAAGTCACCAATAAGCTCCAGAATAACAAAAGCGTTTCATGTGATCTTATCTCCAACGAGATGCTCAAGAGCTCCAAACTCGGTCTCCAAAAAGTCCTTCTGAAACTATTCAATGGTTGCCTAACGCAAGGAATCTACCCCTGGAACTGCTCAATAACTACCCCCCTACACAAAAAGGGGGACAAGCAGAACCCCGATAACTATAGAGCAATCACAGTCGGAAGTTGCCTTGGAAAACTCTTTGCATCCCTCCTCCTTGATAGGCTGATCGAATTCCGTAAAGTCGTCTGTCCCGACTTCCCTCACCAACTCGGATTCAGAGCTGGTGCCCAGTGCTCTGACCATATCCTGACCCTTACAACGATCATCGAGAAGTATACAAAGAAGATGAAGAAGAAAATATTCGCTTGCTTCGTGGACTATCGTAAGGCGTTCGACACAGTCTGCAGGGAGGCTCTCATGTACAAACTCAGTAGACTTGGTATCGGAGGAAGCTTCTTCTCTTGCCTCCAGAACATGTACAGCAACTCAGTTACCCGTATCAAACTGAGCAAGAAGCTGTCGGACACCATCGATGTCACCATTGGTACCGAACAGGGACATCCAATGTCGCCGGAGCTCTTCAAGGTATACATTTATGACCTCTCCATTAGACTAGCAGCTCTTGAGGACTTGTCAATTCCAGAACTGAACGGCTTCCCGGTCAGCCATCTTCTGTGGGCAGACGACCTGATACTTTTGGCACTCGACGCCAAAAGCCTGCAGAAACAACTTGATTGCCTGCACGAATTTGCAAGTGAATGGGAACTGTCAATTAACATCGACAAAACCAAAATCATGGTATTCAACTCGAGCTCTCGTTTGCTGAAGTGCTCCTACGGGTTCAAACTAGGGAACCTGGACATCTCATCGGCCAAATCTTACTGCTATCTAGGCATTCAATTCAGTCTCAACGGTTCATTTAAAGGTGCCATGAACGAACTGAGGAAAAAAGCACTAAGAGCATTTTTCTCGATCAGACGCATGGTCGACACTCGAGCATTAACAACAAAAACCATGCTCAAGCTTATAGACAGCCTCGTTAAACCAGTCGCTACGTACGCCTGTCAAATATGGCTACCGTGTACAAAAATGGCAAAGGAGATGGCTTGCGCTGATGGTTCAAGACAGAACCTTGCTAGAGCTGCAACAAAGGACGCACTTGAGACAACACACCTGAAAATGCTGAAATGGGTGCTCGGCTTACACAAGAAAGCTAACAACAACTTCTGTTACGGAGATACGGGCAGGTTACCATGGGCCCTGTCGGTACTACCACAATGCCTGAGATACTTCGACAGATTGTCTCAGACATCACCCGACGTGAGCAGCGTCAACTTTCTTGTACATCAGACATTCCAAGAGCAGAAGAATCTAAACCTCTCTTGGTATAAGACCTGGAACTCGATCGCTCAGTCTGAATCCAAAGCGGCCAAATTCGCTCGATCCGACCAACACAGAGCAGAAGGAACGACCTCAACTGCACATGGAAATTTGGTTGATCACTTTGTAAAAGATTGGAGAACAGATTTAGCATCCCAAAAGAAAATGCAATTTTACTGCACTATCAAACAGGTATTCGGAGAGGAGCAGTATCTCAATCTAAAGAATAGTCAATGTCGCATGCACATAGCAAAAATCCGCTCCAGTAGCCATGACCTTCTTATTGAGAGAGGGAGATACACAAAAGAAACTGGAACGTGGACGAGAGCCTGCAGATTCTGCTGCAACAAGGATAACGTTCAAGGCTTAGAATATCTCCCCTTTTTCGAAGGAACAATCATTGAAAATGAAGAACACTGCCTCACTGAATGTCCAATGTACCACTCAGCGAGACTCTCACTGTCGGAAAACCTTAAGAGTCTTTTGCTGCTCAAGGAATACGGAGCTATCATGAATTCTGCCCATGTGCAAGAACTGGGCAAATTCCTTTGCAACTGTCACCGCATCAGGAACCCGAAAAAGACGCCAATACTGCCTGTCACCCCATCAGGACTACCAACTCAACAGACATAATACAGATCAACCATCATTATGCAGATTTCACGATCTGTTGTACGAGCATGGAACACTAGTGATTACTGTTTCCAGTACGTTGTGACTGTGAGTGGGAGGACTGTTTGAGTATGAATGTGTCTTTTGTGGACTTGAATACTAATATCGCAGTTTAGTGACCATTGAAGTTGCCTTTTACTACTTCCTCTTATGTTAAATTATTATTTCAGCAATTATTTCTATTTCGGTTGTTTGTACGGGAGTTAAATTTTAAGTAATTTTGTTTTAAATTTTCATGATTCTTGAATCTCGAATTTTACTTACTCTAGATATGTTACTCATTCATGTATAGTCGAGACGATGGTGTTAGTGCCATCTCCGACAACTTTACGTTTAATTCCGTTTAATTCCGTTTAATTCCGTTTAATTCCTAATCACGTGATCAGCTAAGCCAATCACCTGATCACACGGTATGATTTAACTTGTTATGCTTTTAATATTTCGGTCATTTCAGAAGCTAGAAATATCATTTTTGCAAGGCAGGTGTAATTCGAATGACTAAACACAACTTCAAAATATGGAATAAATGCGAGACTAAACCTTCATTCGGGAAAAAATGGACATAGATATTTTTTGATTTGATAAACTCCTTGTCCATTTTTAATGGACTAGCCCGGCGCGCGCTACTTCGAAGCACTTGCCTCGGGCAAGTGCAGGGTCAGGGTCAGGGTCAGGGTCAGGGTCAGGGTCAGGGTCAGGGTCAGGGTCAGGGTCAGGGTCAGGGTCAGGGTCAGGGTCAGGGTCAGGGTCAGGGTCAGGGTCAGGGTCAGGGTCAGGGTCAGGGTCAGGGTCAGGGTCAGGGTCAGGGTCAGGGTCAGGGTCAGGGTCAGGGTCAGGGTCAGGGTCAGGGTCAGGGTCAGGGCCACCCACTTAAAGAAGCACCTAGCAACTAGATGCGGTGCTTCTCTTAAAATGCCCTTTTTGTTGAGGTTTACTAAGTTCGTAAGATCAACTTGCATCCCTCTCTCCGGACGAATTAAAGGATATCAAGATCGTAGGATCTATCGTCTCTACAAGTAAGTATCGACAACTCTCCTATAGAACGCAAAACGGAGGCCAGGTTTTTAGGAGTTATCGTCGGCGACAAACTAAAATGGGCCAGCCACATCCAAGCCGTCAAAACAAAAATGTCACGGTTTATAGGTATTATGTTCAAAATAAAACGCAAATTACCAATCAAAGCACGCTTACAGATCTTCCAAAGTTTTGTACAATCTCACTTAAATTTCTGTTCACTAGTTTGGGGAGCTTTGCTGCAAAATCCCATATTGAATCACTGTTCACTAAACAAAAGCAGGGAATACGAGCAGTTATGCCGGGCTACGTGAATTACTATTACAAGGACGGTAAGCTTCCGGATCATACTAAAACTACGTTTAAAGAGTACGAAATATTATCTGTACACGGGGTCATCATAAAAAATGCTCTGACTCTGATGCACAAGATAACTTATATGCCTGGCCTTCTGCCGTCGTCGATAAAAGACTTATTTCCTCCCGATATACCAAAGTATGGCACGTCTTATGACGACAATATCGACTGGCTAACAACGTACTCTCAACCAGATCTACGCGCTAGTGTTCTGTATAAAGGTCCTATATTAGCTATTACCGAGCACAACATTAGTCGCATAACTTGCCCATCTAGCATTTTCTCAATAAGCATATATAAGAAATCAGCGAAGCGTGTAATGATAGAACTACAAAGCTCAGGAAACGATGAAGAATGGCCACCTTTTCTGTTACATAATTTACCCGGGCTACGTAAATCGACAAGATCAGGCACACAACAAATCAACTACCGAGAATAAACTAAGGAATAAATAAAACCAGACGGTTAGCACACTAGTCACTATCAACCATATGCCACTTTTTTCACTGCCCATTCACTGTCATATTGATAGCATCATATAGATAGCGCTAGCAGGTGCTGATAAGACATGGGCTCAGTTATTCTTTTTTGTTTTAACCTCAATCAAGAGCACTATACTGATACAGAGTACTATACCATCGACTCTGCACTGCCCACTAATCAGTAATCTGACACAAGTAGCTTATAAAACAGTGCGTGTGATCATCTGTCGTATCAAATCAAATTATTTGTCACTATGTTAATAAATCATGATATACAAGTTTTAATTTTTAAAGTTTCTGTTTTTGTTTTTAATGAATAGACGTAATCAACATTTTCAATTTTCATATTCACGCATATTAAATAAAATTATATTGTTATGTATTATATTATTTTGTAAACATTGGCCGGGTACCAAAAACCGGTCCCCAAACAACAACAAACAGGGAGAGTTAACAATGGTTGACTCAGCAGAGCAGGAATTGGCTGTGTTGTAGCCAGGGTCAACACGGGGTGATCAAACGCGAGTGAGTTCGTGTCAACAACAATCGGGCTCAGGTAGAGCAAGAATGAACTATAGTGGATTTGGGCCTGATATAAGGACGGTCAGCAAGGGCTGAAAGTGTTATGTAAGTGTAGTTTAAGGGTAAGACTCCGTCAGAGACGGTCAACGAGGGTTGACCGTGATAAGTAAGGGCAGAGTAAAAACATGCGTTTTATAGTATATTGAGGGCGATAAAAGTCAGAGTAATTAGGAAGTTTATTTTGTAGTAATTGGATTGTTAGTCATTTTGGTTCTTACACTTTTTTACCATAGTTATTCATCTCGTTTTCATTGTCGAATACCTTGATTAATTACTGATAAACTACGAACCTGTAAACTTGTGACCACTGCTCACACAGTTTTCACCGGGGCACGACGTGGCCTGGTCTCCCGCGCAACACAAACTGTCTCTCTGAATCACACTGCCGTCACATTGGGTACCCTGAGCCTCGTTGAACTTCTCCATGTTGGATTTACAACAGTACTGTCCGTTGTAGTAGACGTTGGGATAATCAGTAGGACAATAATTTACAACTTCCTCTTCCTCTGAAATATAAGCCTTATTATTATAATATTAATAATATAAATATTGTATAATAAAAAAATTAGGAAATCAAAATATTCTATTATATATACTACTGGACAATTGACCCCCGACAATTGACCCCCGACAATTGACCCCCGACAATTGACCCCCGACAATTAACCCCCCGACAATTAACCCCTATTATGTAACTGGCGTCAATTGTCTCGAAATCTAGGGTTTAGTACGACAATTGACCCCCCGACAAATGACTCCCCGACAATTGACCCCCCGACAATTAAAATAAATAAATAAAATAAATAAAGTCAATTTTTACAGCACAGCAATATATATCTAAATATCAGATCCTCTGTAATCATAATGTATAAAAAAAGGAGCTTTTCTCTGTGCTGAAGGATGAATCAAGGCAGATCATGGTTCTGTTAGCAGGCCACCCTAGTTATGGACAATACATATATATAAAATAATTAAATTATAATTTTAAAATTGTGTCAAGATTGAACTAAAACATAACTCAGGGTAAAATAGACGTATTCCCTTCGTCAAATTAACTATTTACAATACTAAACTTAAACGAACTCCGGGTAAAATAAACGTAATCCCTTTGTCAAACTTGCTATTTACAATAAGTTAATAAATTAATACGGTTGAAAATTATTTCATATTCAATAACAATGTAGCATCAATATAATTGATACAAATGAGGAGCATACAGTGAGAATTGCACATAACAGGAGGACTGGAGGTATGGAGCAATAATGATTGACAGTGCACCTTTCCACTGATGTTCCTAATTTCCTGTAATAGCTTAATAGGCATGGAAATACTTTGATTGCAGGGGATAGATTGGATTCACTTATGTACTGAGATAACTTAACCGAAATAACATAACTGCTTAGATACATTGGCTAGTGTTGGGTGGGATCATGAATTTATCGTAAGAGTTATCCCCTTGGTAATTCTCATCAGTTAGCAACATATTCATAAGAGTTTCTTTGTATAACTTAGAAAATTTCTTAACGTCGTCACACTCTCTAAGGGACTTTGGTAATATGTTCCAGGCCTTAGTTCCTAGATAGTTAAACTCCTTGTGAGATCTTGATTTAGGAGTATAAAGATTGCAGTTTTCTGCCTCACGTGATCCACCAGAAATATACGAGAATTTCCCGATAAAATGCTTTGGACATGTTTCATTGATTATACGGTACATATATGAGCTAAGATGAACCTGTCGTCTCAAATGGAGAGGAAGCCATCCCATATTTTTGTATACATTAACCGACCTCTCTCTGATGTTTACATCTAGGGCTATTTTAGCAACCTTTTTGTACATGATATCTAACTCTCCTAGTCGTTTTTTATATGTTCTTGACCAGATGGTGTCTAAGTAGTCAAAATGTGGCAACATAAGTGCATTAGCAAACATCTTCCTGAACTTAAGAGGGAGAAGTTTTTTTGATCTATACATAGCACCAATTCTTTTGGATATCTTTTTCTTAATGTTATCAATATGTTCATTAAATGTCAATCTGCTGTCAACTATAAGTCCAAGGTACTTATGGGATTTAGTTTCACAGATTACCAAAGTAAGGTCATCACAAATTTCAACAAGGATGGCATCAAGGTTAGGCTTAGAGTCAAGGATCATTAGTTTTGTTTTTTCATTATTCAGGGATAGTTTATTAGCCTGAAGCCATCTGATAACTAATTTCAACTCTTGTTTGATGTTACCATAGTTTCCTCTAGATATATTGTCAAAATATAATGCACCGTCATCAGCAAATAGATAAGGTTTAGAAAATAGGCATGCATTAGGCAGGTCATTGATAAAAATGCTGAATAGAATTGGTCCTAATATACTTCCTTGAGGCACTCCAGAGTTCAATGAATGTAAACTGCTTATCCTACTCCCAACTCTAGTTTGCTGTAATCTATCTGTGAGGAAGCTCCTAAACCAGCTCAATGCAGTATCTTTTATTCCATAATGCTTCAGCTTTTGAATGAGAATATCATGGTTAACAGTATCAAATGCCTTTCTGATGTCCAGGAAGATAATTGCAGGATGCTTGGCACTGTTCTTAGCAGTAAATATACGATCAAACAGATCTAACATGAGATAAGTTGTAGAGTGATCTTTACGGAAACCATATTGATGCTCTGAAAGTATTCCCTTTTCATCAAGATATTGAGTCAGTTGGGAGTTCACACAAAATTCGATGCACTTTCCAAGAATCGGTAAAATTGAGATTGGTCGATAATTACTAGGATTCTCAGTATCACCATCCTTATGGATTGGGGTGACTTTTGCAACCTTGCAGCTGTTTGGCATGATGCCACTGGATAAACTCAAATTTACAAGATGTGTTAATGGAGCAATAAATGCAGGTAAAATTTGTCTAAACACTCTCAATGGTATATGATCATTAGTGGATTTGCTACAAGGGATACTTGCCACATAGTCTAAGATATTGGACTCAGTTATTTCAGTAAAGCTATTCAAGCTGGTCTCGTTGTCAATCTGCTCATTTTGTAGATAAGATAGAAATTCATTTTCATTTTCCAGCTGCACTTCTGCTTGGATCTTTGGACCTATTTCAGCAAAATATTTATTGGTGGTTTCAGCATCAAGATTGTTATTGATATTGTTAGCTTTAACAGGCAGATTTGATGCTGTCTTTATCGTTTTCCATACACCCTTAAGATCATTCATGGCACACTTGGCTTTCAGTTCTGTTGCTAAGTTAGTCTTCCTATTAATTCTAGACAAATAGGTTGAATAGTTTCTCTGCCGTTTATATGCCATCCATAATGAGTCACATTTATTACAGTGTATAGGACCATTTGGATGTATACGTCTGTTCTTGTTGTGTGTTAAAAATTTACGGTAAAGTTTCCCTTTCAATTTCTTACTTTCTAAAAATTCTGGAGATGGCTTATGGATGTAATCACTATGGCACTTAATTTGTTTAATTGGACAGAAGTGATCATAGTAGTGATCAATATGTTCGTTTAAACCATCAACTGCATCATTCAGACTAGTTGAATCTATTATTGGTCTATAATCACAGGTTTCCAAAAATTCTTTAAGAGCAGTAACATTCATTTTGCTGTGATCTCTTATTAGTAACTTCTTGAATTTTGAGGCCTTATGCACATTGAAATCGACAATGAACTTTACGACCTGATGATCTCCTATACAATCATCAAGGACTTTGCAGTCAAGAAACTTGGAGTAAGTGTTTGTTATGACAACATCGATTGTGGTCTTTGTGATTCTGTTTCCTAGTTTAGCAATGCGGGTAATATCCTGAACTACCTGTACCATTCCAAACATTTTCATTGTAATGTCTAATTTCTTATAGTTCATACTGCTGATGTTGTTTTGGTCTACATTTACATCACCCAGCCAAATAACATTCTTACTTCCTATACTCATCATGCAGTCTGTCATATAATCTAAAAATTTGTCAAGAGGACTAAACAACTCAGATCTGTAGAAACAGCAGATGAAAATATTGCAATCTGTAAGATGGATCCAAATAGCCTCGATTTGGTCATATTGCAAAACTAAGTTTAGTTGAATCATTTTAAACTTTATGTGCTCACTGATGAGAATGCCACATCCCCCATGACCATTGTCGTTAGGACGGTCTTTGCGGATAAAAGTAAAATTCTTGGGTAGGTTTAGACTGGCTGAGTCAATATCCGACTTAAGATTTGTTTCATTCAGGCATAAAACATCTAATTTCTCTTTCCAGATTAGATCTTGGATTTCAAGACATTTTGGCATACCTGTTAGTCCTCCCTGCATGTTGCAATGTCCCACTGCAAGCTTTTTGGCATGGTATGAAACTGTGATTTTACTAATGCACGGGTTAATGCAAGAACTGCTGTGAGAGCATGAAAATTTTCCAATTTATGCTGCTATAAACTTGTCAGAATAAGATAAATTGCAGAACTGGCAAATTTGTATGAGATAATAACAAAACTTTCTAAAACTTCAATAAACATGAGGAACAATGTGTAATTATCCCTTATCTAGAATCTAGATGAAATAAATGTTAACAATCTTTCTGAAAATTCAAACTTGCTTATGGGCCCAATACTTCAGAAATTTAGCAAGTCGAATAACACCGCTTGTATTGAGGTGACAGTTATCAGATATTTTTGCAGATGGTCTGGCAAAATAAAATTCTTTCCTGAATCCACTTCTATTATAGTTAAATAAATTATGGGTGCTAATGTAATTAAAACAAGAATCTTTGCTACACATATCCTTAATAACCTCATTCAGCTCTGCCACAACATCATTGCGGCCTTTTGTACTCCTGGGAAGAATATTGAGAACATTAATTGTTGCATTCGGATACACTGACTTGAGATAATTTAAGAGATTACTAATGTCACCCGCTGCATCCTTCAGTGACTTTGAGCCAAAATAGACTGTGTTCACATTATTAGTTCCTGTCATAATATAAATAATAGATGGGGATGGAACGGAGTGTAGGTCAGTTTTTAGTTTATTTAACATTACTTTGGCATCAGCCCCAGGATAAAACAGTTTACTAGCACTAACAGTGGACGATGATAACTTGTCCGCATCAAGAAACCTGAACATAGAGCTGCTTATGAATAGGACAGACTTTTGTGAAGCTTTGGCTGGCTGTTTGCAAACTGAGAGTGCAGGTGAAGAAGAGTCTGTCAGTTTGTGTCCTGAATGAGGGATGGGTGGGGGCGGTGAACGCAGACCAAACTCAGTTGACTGAGTGATCCTAGGGGGCTTCATCAGTCTTAGGGTGATGCTGATCCGGGGTTCATCACACATTTCGTCTGGCAGTATCTCATGTTGAAAGTCAGCCTGAGACAATTTGGACATGATGAAGACATCTCCATGCTGAAGCTGCACAGAGCCCACAACTTCATTGCTGCCGTTTGATCTAATTTGCAGTGTTCTCGTCGCACCAAGTGAAATGGTTACAATATCAGAGTGTTCTACAATACATGATTCAGAATCGCTATGAGCTGGCATGAACTCTGCTCCAGTTTCATATAGATTGACGAGAATACTATTGTGTCTGAAATTGGGTAATATCACATTAATGTAGGAGCTGAGTTTAGCAAGGTAGGAATCATTGTGTACACTTTTTGGGTCATGTGTTGCACCTGAATACTCATAGGGAAAGTCACCAAAATAAACCGATTTCCTGTTTTTAAAACCGTGACTGAACTCAAGTTCTTCCATTAATAGATCAAGTGAAAATTTAGAGAATGGACCATCATCTAGTAGGGTAACTGGTTTCACTGGTGATGGGGAACAAGTTACAGATATATTCATTGGCCCCGGTGTTATAGGATCGTAGACAGGGGCAGGGACCAAGTTTGGATATTTGTCTCTGGGCTTAGGGGTGTTGATCCGTGATTCACCAGTAGCAGTAGATACAGGGAGATCAGACACATCATCCTCGTCTGCCATAACCTCGTTAACAACAATCTCACTGATAACAATCTCGTTTCCAACAACCTCCTGTGGAACAACCTTGTCCACGACATCGTTGTCAACAAACAAACTGTCCGATACAACATCTTCCACAACAATGTCATCTACATCAAACGCTTCTACTTGATTGATAACAACGTGTGACTGAGGGGTAATGGTTATGATCTCACATTCAATCTCCTCTGATAAGTTCGGCAGCAAATTTTCACACTTAAAACTCTGTTCTTGTATTTGAGTTTGATCTGATATGAGACTATCATTGTACTGAGCAATGAGATCACTAGTTCTGATAATTTCATTCAATAAAGACAACTTTTTTTCTAAAAAGTCAATCTTGATGTCTTTTGACAGACAATTGTTACAGTTCTCTGATTTTTCAGACTGGAATGAAAAGTTCAAATGTTCTAAAGGGCGCTCACAAAAGTGGAGACTAATGTCTGAGCTCTGATTATTTGACATAGTTATATTATCAAGAGTTCAATGTTCAGAAGCACAATAAACACTGTAAACGCAATACCTTCAGTCCAGATAGTAGTTTTGATGAGAATAGTTTTGATGAGAAGGAGGAGGATGAGTAATCTTCAAGTACACTCACAGCAGTCCTTTGCACGTCAAAACTTACGCTCGTCTATCATATCTCATACCTCACTCAATAAATGTAATAGATTTGTAGTGTTGTAATTAGTTTAAAACAATTGACCCCAATGTAATTACACTGGGGTCAATTGATCGGGTCAGGGTCAGGGTCAGGGTCAGGGTCAGGGTCAGGGTCAGGGTCAGGGTCAGGGTCAGGGTCAGGGTCAGGGTCAGGGTCAGGGTCAGGGTCAGGGTCAGGGTCAGGGTCAGGGTCAGGGTCAGGGTCAGGGTCAGGGTCAGGGTCAGGGTCAGGGTCAGGGTCAGGGTCAGGGTCAGGGTCAGGGTCAGGGTCAGGGTCAGGGTCAGGGTCAGGGTCAGGGTCAGGGTCAGGGTCAGGGTCAGGGTCAGGGTCAGGGTCAGGGTCAGGGTCAGGGTCAGGGTCAGGGTCAGGGTCAGGGTCAGGGTCAGGGTCAGGGTCAGGGTCAGGGTCAGGGTCAGGGTCAGGGTCAGGGTCAGGGTCAGGGTCAGGGTCAGGGTCAGGGTCAGGGTCAGGGTCAGGGTCAGGGTCAGGGTCAGGGTCAGGGTCAGGGTCAGGGTCAGGGTCAGGGTCAGGGTCAGGGTCAGGGTTATTTGTATTAAATTAGATTGTTGTGGGGTCAATTGTCGGGGGTCAATTGTCGGAGGTTTGGATGATTTATTTGAAACGAACGGACTTCCATAATAATCTAAATTCAAATTAAACACATAAATAACACACTTCAATTTCAAAATAGATTCGTGTTGGACATTTTGCAAGACCTCAACATTTATGGACAAGTTCGGTATAATGTTTAAAATGATCAGGTGCCGTCTAGCTAGGGTAAAATACTGGATCATGTACTGCACTATGTGCCGTCCAGCTATGATCAAATACTGGATCACCTACTGCAGTAGGTACCGTCTAGCTATCTAACAAAAACTCCATCACGTTATCGACCGCATAACGTACTGTCTAGCTATGGTCTAAGTTTCCGGGTTGTTTTGGATCACCCTGTGAATCTGCATTGCCGCCAATGTGCGGACAGAACCATCTATAAAATTGCCGCTGTCAATCCTAGTCCTACTTTCATCTCTTCCTCACTAGTCTTACACGTTGAAATCTAATTAACAACATAATCAATTATTTCTACATCTGTCTTAAATTTTAGTAAAATTTCATTGAAAGTAATACACTTGTTAGACTTGAAGACATAATGCACTGTGCCGGATAGCCATGAGGGTACACGTTTGGAACTTGGGTGGGGGGGGGGGGGGTACCGACGGACATTACTGGCAGTATTTTAAAATTTTGCTCAGACTGCCATTAATTCCCATTAATGCCCATTAATGCATATTAATGCCCATTAATGCACATTAATGTCCGTTGGCACCCCCCCCCCCCCCCCCCCCCCCTTGGGTACAAGAGAAATTGTGAGAAGGGGGCAACAACTCTTTGCCCGTATTTCATGTCTATTTTCTAAACTTTAGCAAGATTTTAATATAGCGTTGTATTAAATTCATTCTTTACAGGTATCTAGATTTGCAGTGTCTGAAGTCCATAAAACCTGATATTGCCCTCAGTCAGACTGCTCTTCAAACTAAGACAAGTTCTAGAAGTTTGAGATCAACATTGCACTATTGAAGTATGTATAAATTGTATAAATTGTAAATTACATTGTATAAATTAAAGAAGATCTCGTCCTCTGAACTTTTGAATGACTTAAAAACATTTGAACATTCAATTTTGTTACTGAGAGTGAGATATAGAGGGATTCGAAATTGTCTCTTCAATCTTATTAGTGCTATCAATAATATTCAGATTTTGTTGCAGGTTAACTGCAGGCAACGACTGGCAACGGGAAATACAGCTTGATCAGACTTAAGTATGCTTCATGATGAACAACGAAAGTCATCAAACTTCGTTAAATGTTATAAAGATGTACGATTGGACATTCCCTCTACTTAATGCTACACGCCATATATTATTTTGTAATTGAACTGTGAACACAATCTCAACCCTTCCAATAACTGAATTATGATAGGATTTGACCTCAACCAGTAAAAATATTACAACTAAACATAACCCAAGGTAGGTACAGTGAGTTCAGAGTTGCATATACATAAGATGTTTCAGGGGGCCCGGCTTGTAATATGCAATTTTTCACACCATCTGTGATAGCTGCACTGAAAGTATTTTGGTGTCTTGTATTTGTGCGAGTAAACTGTATTCTTATACTGTTTATGTGTCATTATACTGTCATAAATAATATGTTATTTATTTTATTTGGCTTTTGTAATTGAGCGTGGATGATTCCTTAACTTAACTGTTGTTACAATAACTCATAAGCTGACGACGATTAACACATGTTTATTGAAAGCTTCTACAAGTTAAATCATCGTATCTCTTATATGTTTTTAACCCAACTCCACTCAACTCATAAGCGCTGATCTTTGCCAAGCGATAATTTCGGCTAGGAAAAATATTTTTCCATGGGACCAAAAGAAGCTAATAGATATTGCTGCCCTCTATCAGAAACAACAATAAAATGAATTTCGAGAGAATTTCGATGAAGACCCCCCCCCCCCCCCCGGCCTCCTTAAGTTTGATTATAAACTTTCATTAAATGAAGATTTTGGTATTAAGGACTCTGCATTGAAATGGTTTAGTTCTTACCTCTCAGGCAGGTTTTTCAAGGTTAAGGTAGATGACTCATTATCTGACTTCCTGTGTCTGTTGTTTGGGGTACCCCAGGGCTCTCTATTGGGACCTATCCTGTTCATCTTATACATTAAGCTGCTCCAGGAAATAGCTAGAAGGTATGGTCTCGATATTCAGCTTTATGCAGATGACTCACAACTTTATATAGCTTTCCACCCGATGAGGCCCATGGAGCTGCAGAATGTCACTAGTAGGATCAATGACTGTCTGTCTGAAATCAAAGTATGGATGGTTAATAATTTCATGAAACTGAATGAGAGCAAGACTGAATTGTTAGTCATTGGAAAGCCTTTGGTACTGAAGAAGTTTGACCTTGAAATAACAATAAAATTTGGTGACACCATTATTTTAGGATGGTGTGTGACAGTAACGAGCCTGCATGGCAGTGAAAGCAGCCAGTAAGTTTATCGCCTCGACAAAGATCGCTGGATACCTTCTTTGTGCAACTTTTTCCATCATTGCTAGTACGACACTCAATTTTGGGACATGGAATGTTTGTGGTCTCTCCACCACTCACAAGCAACATCTTGTTGCAGAGGACATCGACAGATACGATTTAGATATTTTGGCCTTACAAGAAACCAAAACTCGTGAATTCTTGGAAACAACACTTCCCGGTCATCATAGACTGTTTCTGTTTGACCAGAAGCAGGGTAGACATGGAGGTCTTGGTTTTGTTGTTAACAAGCGTTTTATGGACAGTGTTTTATCGCATCATCAGATCAGTGACAGAGTCGTTTACATGGACGTTAAACTAAAACCCAATCGGGTAAACAAACCACCTTAATATATCAGAATTATAAATTGTTACAGTCCTACAAATCCAAAATCAGTCCAGAACCCTCAACTAGCTGATCAATTTTATGGTGAGCTTCTTGAGGCTATCAGTGTTCCTGCTCGATTTGAAGTATGGATGTTAGGTGACTTCAATGCCAAGTTAGGCAAGCGTTCACTTGTTGATGAAGAAAATGGTTTACAGCAGCACTTAGGTAGGCATGGTGTTGGTAGAAGGAACGAGAATGGAGAGAGATTGTTACATTTTCTGGCAGCAAATGGCTTATTTGCTACCAATACTTCATTCTCCCACAGCAGCAGGCATATAACTACACGCACTGGATGGATAAGAGACCAATCCACCCGAAAGAGTAAACCATACTTCTCACAGATAGACTATATACTTTGCAAGTCCAGGAGCAAAGCACTACTGACTGATGCAAGGTCATATGCGGGAACTAAGCACCGCAGTGACCACAAGCTTGTAGTTGCGAAAGCAGATTTTTCCCTGCGTTATAGTTTCTACAGGAAGAAGAGGACTACTCAGAAGGCATTCAACACAACCACTCTTGTAGGTAGCATTGCAGCGCAACAACAGTTTAAATCTGCACTTACTGTTAATATCAACCAACTAGTATCTGAACCTGACTATTCTTCTAATGATACTTGTCAACAGTTCGGAAAACTATTTAAAAGTGTTGAGACTGCTGCCATCTCCACTGTGGGTCTACGCGAGCCACAGCGAAAGAGACACCACTCTTCTGATAGTGAAGTTGTTGAAATGTCAGAGGAAAGAAAACGATTGCTACAACTTCTGAATAATAATGAATACAGAGACAGAAAGGACTTGAGATCAAAAATTAACAAACTCTCAAATGACATAAAGAAGCGACTAAATACTCTCAGAATAGAAGTTGCAAACAGTCTTGCAGACTCTATCAATAATACAGACGACGGCCGTAAAATGTTTGAAGCTGTCCGGCAACTATCAGGTAACAAGAAATCAGACTCCATCTCTGTTTTTAATGACAAGAATCAACTGGTAGATAATGAGAGTGACAAAGCTGACATTATACGCAATTATTTTGAGCAACACTACACAGGACCAGACAATGAACCTCCACTTGAGCCGTTTGTTGGCAGTCCTCAGCCACTAAACAATCCCATAACATCCTTTGAAGTGCAACAAGCTGCCAAAAAGCTAAGAAATGGTAAGGCTGTTGGTCCTGATGGTATACCAAACGAATTCCTTAAACACTCCCCACCTATTTTCTATTCTACATTTGCACAGCTGACCAATCAATCTTTTGAACGTCATGAACATGTACCTTCATTCACTGAAGGATTCCTTACCCCACTGCAAAAACCTGGTAAGCCACGTGGACCTTTAAAAAGTTTGCGCCCTCTTTGTCTTTTAAACGGCACCAGGAAGATATTGTCCATGATAGTCCTTAGACGCATTCAAAGACAAGTTTCTCAGTACACTGGACCTTGGCAAAATGCCTACAAGCCTGGCCATAGCTGTGCAAATATTGTTTGGACACAACGGATCCTAATTTCAGTTGTGAAGGAGAAACGCTGGTCTCTACACAAAATGGGTATTGATATGTCATCTGCATTCGACACCATTAAGAGATCAGTTTTGCTAGAACTTCTTGCTGATGCTGGTTGTAGTGAAGACGACATCCGACTGGTAAGGTACCTACTCTCATGTACCAAACTGAAGATTAAAGTGAGGTCTACCGTATCAGGAGAGTTCATTGTCACGATAGGTGCGTTCCAAGGTGATAGTTTATCTGGAAACCTTTTCACCCTGTATTTGGCTGGCGCACTTTACCACCTTCGTGCCTTTATGTCTTATCTAAGACCCAACCCTCCGTTTGCTGAAAACCTGCTACCTCTTGAGTGGGAGTACGCAGACGACAAAGACTTCACAGACGAGGATAAAAAGAATTTGGAGTCCATGTTACCAATATGCAAGGAGATATTGGAGGAGTGGAATCTTTTTGTCAACGAATCAAAAACAGAGTTCACACATATCTATCTGGCCGAGAAGAACGAAGTTGATGACAAAGGAGAGCCACTTCGAGGAAGAGAGTCCTGGAGATCATCTATCTCACTTGGTTCCAAATTGTGCAGCAACGAGGACATAAAAAGACGATGTATTCTGGCAAATCTTGCTTTCCAAACCTACAAGAAAGTTTGGGAACAAGGTAAACGCATACCTCTTAAGACCAGACTTAAGATCTACGAAGCCCAGGTGGTCTCCGTCTTAATGTATAATTGTAGCTGCTGGGCAGCTTCAAAGCAGCTACTGAGTAAACTGGATATTTGCCACAGAAAGCATCTGAGGCAGATCATCAGAATGACTTACCCTAATATAATCAAAAACGAAACCCTTTACAAGAGATGTGAAGTGGTTCCACTCAGTGAGCGTGTTGCATGTGCACGATGGAGGATGCTCGGACATGTCCTTCGCAGTGATAACAACTCACCTGCACAGCTTGCATTACACTTTGCAGTAGAGAGTCAGAGTACTAAAAAGGGTAGAGTAGGTAGACACCAGTCGAACTTGCTTAAGACTATTAAATTTGATTTAGGTAGCAGGAACATTCCATTTGTAAATACAGACGATTTGTACAATTTAAGACTTTTAGCCTCTGATAGAGCGGGATGGAAGAAGTTGTTATAGCTTGTGTATCAGTTTTTCTTTTTTTCTGGCTACTCAGATCTTTAAGATGTTCATTTATGTTCTATTTTTGATTTGAATAAAGTTATATAATAATATGACACCATTATTACACCAACTGTATGTAAAAACGATTCCTGGAAGAGTCTTGGAGTGTTACTAGATGAATCTCTCAACATGGAAAGGCAGATTAACAACGTTAGGAAGAACTGTTGCTGGACAATGAACAATCTTAGAACTATCAGAAAGTATCTAGATGAGAGAGTTAAGCTCATGCTGGTCAAACAACTGATCATATTAAAGCTGGACTATTGTAATGCCCTTGAATCTTTCAAAGACTAGAGTGAAGAAGCTGCAATCTGTTCTAAATGCAGGGATACGTTTCATTTACGACATCTATGACAGAAATACTGACTTGTCTCCTTTCTACAAGAAAGCTCATATTCTCCCTGTTGAAAAGAGGATATTTTTCAAAGTGTGTCTCATCTGTTTCAAAGTGACCCATGGATTGGCACCAATGTACCTCCAAGAGTTGGTTCAAATGAACAGAGATGATAAGGCTGTCAAAGAAACCAGAACAAAAACAGCATGCAACCTTCTTATGAAGATACCTAAGTTCTCTAAATTGAAGGCAACTAGCAGGCGGTTCAGCAACTATGCACCTGAATCATGGAATTCTCTCCCTCTTAATGTCCGTATCATCGACAATATTGTCTCTTTTAAGGGTAAGTTAAAGAACTATTTGTATGATCAGCTATAGCCTGGTTAAGCTATTTTTTGTGGCTTCTAGTCTTTTTTTGTGTTATTTTTTGTTTTCCAAGTATCCACTTCTTGTTTTTCTGGTTTTTATCGGTGTGTCAATAAAATCAATTATGTAATATGTATACTTTAACCATTTTTTGCGACAGTTAATCTGAAATTATCTCTTTAACATTATTTAGTATTTTTTGATTTATGAGACCCGTGTTTTGTTTTTAACTTTCTGCTCCGAGGAGGAGAGAAAGTTATTTGAGGAGAGCCGCTCAGAGATGGGCACCGTATTGTGTAAATTATTTAGTTATCTTTATACAATATCTTTGTCGCATAGTAGCGGGGTAGTAAATACAGTGTTTCGTTTCGTTTCGTTTCGAATAAATAAATAAATAAATTCTAACATTTATTACACGCTTCGACATTAGCATATACCGAACAAAGATGTACATTTAAATCATTAAATCTATGAGGGTATTATATGAGCAGAAACGGCAATTCTAAGAGTAAGAAGCTTGGACGAGAATTGTGGGCGGTTTCTATCTTTTCGTTCTTAATTCCTAAAAATGTAAGCTCTACAATTAAATAAATTCTGTACCTTTAGTCTCTTCTGCTGCCCTTCGAAGTCTGACCAAATAATTTTTGGAATCATTCACGATCGGGTCTGTTGCGATAGAACAGACCACCAATACCGAAGTCAGCAAAACTAACTGGTTCATCTTCTCGACGTATCTTCTCGAGGTTGGAGCAGACGGAGTTCAAAACAAATTGTCCGAAATAAAACGAATTGTGATGCGAATTATTATTCAGTCTTCAGAGCTTTACAATTCACAATTTATAGTCAAATGAATTTGATTATGGCTCCAGATATTTGGGGAAAATTTATAAAAAGCCTTTGTAGAAGGTTTTGTGGATAATGAAAAAAGGTTATTAGTTGCGATAATAAAGAAGTTTTTCGTAAAACATATATTTTGAATAATTAAAACAGCTTATTTAAACAGTTTTTTTAAATAATGAAAACAGGCTAATAGTTGCGAAAATAAATAACGCTGCCGCTGTGTTTTTCGTAAAACATATATTTTTCTCATTGTTTAAAATTTGGTAACAAAAGAAGAGTGCAAAATAATGGCCAGATAAATAATTGTCAGAACAAAGCTTTGGCTTTGATGTGTTTCTTATGGTCCAATCATTTGGTTTAAGCTGAGACTTATTGGTTAAATTAGACAATTTATAGTTGCAGAATAACGTTAACAAAACATTATATTGACGAGAATTTCGTCAATCTGTTTAACTCGGCGCTAAACAATTGGATGTTATAGAGTAAAATTCGAATAGAGAAAGATTGGTAATTGGTCACTGGTCAGTCTCATTTCGACTATTGTATCAAATAACAACGATCCAATAGTGTATCAAATATTAAATTCTGACCAGCTGTCATTACAAGACTTCTCCGTGATGAATTAAAGGGCAATTTGGTAATCTAGCTAGGCACACTTGGGGCACAAAATTGTATTTCCTGGGGCACAGTTGGGGCAAAAAGTTACTTGGGGCATACTTGGGGCACACTTGGGGCACACTTGGGGCACAGTTGAGGCAAAAAAATTACCTGAAGCACAGTTTTTGTAAACTAAACACACTTGGGGCACATTTGGGGCACAAAGTTACTTGGGGCACACTTGTGGCACACTTGTGGCACACTTGTGGCACACTTGGCCACTTGGGGCAGATACAGTTGGGGACCAGCTGGGGCACATTTGGGACACAAATGACTAACTCTAAGGTAAACAATCTTCTGGATTGTTATAATAAGTAACAATCACAGTGCTGGCAAGCACGACCGGTGCATTTATTGTGGGTATACCATGTACCCCCTTTACTATTATACCCCCTTTACTATTATACCCCCTTTGGTACACGTTACAAGCCTCTTTCGTGCACGCGAAGCGTGCACTCCGGCCGGAGGCGGCGGCCGAAGGCCGCCGCCTCCGGCAGGAGTTTTTCAGGCATTAAGACTCATCGGAAGTCGTTCAGCAGATTTATTTTTAGTTCAAAACATTCTAATTTGATGTCAAAGATGACAGAAATATAAAATAGTTATGTTGAGATTTTTAAGAAATTTGCATAAAATACTCGCCAGCACTGTTATACGAAATTCGGTAAAAAACCCAAAATCGCCATATTCAGGTGCCTTAAAAACCATGTTAAAATCGAGTTAGAGATCTGAAATTTTTCAGGGCGTCTAGACGTTGACCAAATCGACTGCAAAAAAAGTTTCAGGTTTCAGGAACATCGAGAAGTGGGTTTTCTAGAACCCCTGTTTTACGACAGATTGTCGTGATATCTATCACAATGCTGGCAAGCATTACCGTCGCCCTTATATTCACAATACTATTTACCCCCCATACTAGTATATCCCCTTTATTGTTTTCCAGGCATTAAGACTCATCGAAAGTAGTTCAGCAGGCATATTTAAGTTCAAAACATTCTAATTCAATGTTAAAGATGACAGGAATATGAAATAGTTATGTGGAGGTTTTTAAGAAATTTGCGCAAAATACGCGCCAGCATGTAATACGAAATTAGGTAAAAAACCCAAAATCGCCATATTCATGTGCCTTAAAAACCATGTTAAATTGAGTTAGAGATATGAAACTTTGCAGGGCGTCTGTTTGTTTGTTTGTTTATAGAACCCGTCCCCAATCTCGTATCGGAAAATGACTAAACTCAGGTCTGAGTGTGAATACGGGTGGTACCTGCAAGAGTGTTCATTAAGCATTTAGAGTTCTGTAAAACTGCAGTTACAATTGTGCTAGAGTATTTTTAGTATATACGATTGGTATCAGAAATATATCCCTACATGCTTCCAAAATTTGTAAAGCCGTAGTACATACATATCACACTACACCGGAGCCTACACAGTGCAATCTCCTCCATACCAGTCGATCTGCGCCGCGTATGTTTATATAAGCGCGCGGCGCAGACTGGAGGAAACCACACTCTGCAAGTTTGATCCAGTACAATGCTACATGTACGTACTACGGCTTCATCTCCAACTTTCTGCACAATGTACTGGAATGTTTTGAAGGAAAAGAATGAACAAAAAAAAAGTGATATATATAAATAAAATCAGCGATTTAATGTTAGCCTTAGGAGGGTAACTTTAATTCCCTGGTTTCTAAAATCAGCTTTTTAATAAAATAAAATAAAGTATGTAACGTCGATACCAAACCGATTATTGAGCGATAATAACTGAGTAGTTTATTCCTGGGTTGCGGAGTCATTCAGATGTTCCAGTTTTCGAATGTGGTTCTTGTTCAGTTCTTGACCAGAAGTGTCTAATGAAGTAAGTCAGACAAGCAAACTCTTCCTTTAATGCTGATATAAGTCGTCTCAATCCCAGAAATTATGAATGATGACCCAGTGTAAAAGTGCAGAAATCGACCGAAAATAACAAAAACTAAAAACAGTTAAAAAGTGACAAGATTCAAACACAAGGAAAATTAATAACTTAGAGCGTAATAAGCAATATCTCCAAACGGAGTTTTCTGAGAGGGTGAGAGGTTCTTTAATTAGAGCTAATGATAAAATGAGACCCACTAAAGGTACTAAATTAACCGGACTGCTAGCAAGGAATCGAGAGTGGAAATAAAAATAAAAGCGGAATAAATTTTAAGATAATGAAACAGAAACTGAAAGCTAAAATATATACCGTTCTAGAATGCCTCCGCAAACTATTGCTCCTTTGTAAAGCACGTGTTAGTAAGTGTAGTAAAAAGATAAAAATAATAAAGCTATAAAAATGAACGGAGCGTTGAAAATCTGAGAGGGTGAGACTGAGAGGTTCTTTAATTAATAACTTAGAGCGTAATAAGGAATATGAATATCTCCAAACGGAGTTTTCTGAGAGGGTGAGAGGTTCTTTAATTAGAGCTAATGATAAAATGAGACCCACTAAAGGTAATAAATTAACCGGACTGCTAGCAAGGAATCGAGAGTGGAAATAAAAATAAAAGCGGAATAAATTTTAAGATAATCTTGCAGGGCGTCTAGACCTTGTCCAAATCGACTGTAAAAAAATTTTCATGTTTCAGGAGTATCGGGAAGTGGGTTTTCTGGAACCCCTGTTTTACAACAGATTGTCGTGAAGTATATATATATATTATATATATATATACAGGGTGGCCCATAAGTGACTACCCACACGCAACCTCTTAATAACTCACGTAATTCGTCTCCAAATTGCACCAAAATTTCAGAGATTATAGATATGGGTCAAACTTAGATTTCCTGAAAGTTTCGTAAGCCACGCCCAATTACAGTGGGCGTGGCGTGACACTCCCTCTTTTTCACTATTGTCTTCATAAAATGAGAACGCTTTAAGCTAAGAACTCAAAATTTTTTGCACACATTTGGCTTGATAATTGAAAACTTTTCCAAAAGTTTCAAGTTCATTGGTTAAAATATGGCTGAGTTATGACCATTTTAAAATTCATCGGATATGTGATCCGAGCACTCAGTCAGTGATATTTGCACTCAATTAGTGATCTCGTCACCCAATCTGATCAAGAGTAAGGCGTTAGCGTGTATTAATGAGGTTCATTAGGCTTTGATTGGATACCCGGTGATTCGGTAGGCCCGGTTAGAAAGGTCTTGCTTTAGGATTCGCTGAAGGGTTGTTCTGCTGATGTCTAAGGCAGGAGCTCGTTTCCGGGTGCCAATCTTAGGTGTGTCCATCACGTCACCAACAACCATCGTGATGTTTTCTACAGTCCTCGCAGTTCGTCTTCTGCCGACTCTTCGCCGATCGTGTGCAGAACCATGCTCTAAACTGTCCAAGAGGAGGCTACATCATCATCCGCCACAACTCAGTTAGGGATTTCATAGCCAAACAACTATCAACTGTTTGCAAAGACGTAGAATGTGAGCCCCACCTACAGACTTTAGACGGGGAGACTTTCTCAACAAGTGCCACACTAACAGGAGACAACGCCCATCCTGACGTCCGTGCCAGGGGATTCTATCGTCCGGGACAGAACTCCTATTTCGACATAAAGTTTCTCAATCCCAATTCTGAGTCTTATCTCTCATCATCAACAGAAAAAATATACGAGAGAGCTGAGACTCAGAAGCGGAGGTTATACAACGAGAGAATATTGAATGTCGAACATGGGAGTTTCTGTCCACTGGTATACTCTGTCACGGGTGGCAGCGGGCCAGAAGCGAGAACATTCTTTAGATTATTGTGTGAGAAAATAAGTTATAAAACTCAACAAAATTATTCAGATGTTGTCAATTTTTAAAGATGTAAACTTTCATTTATTATTAGGAAGCTGGTTCTCCTGTTATGTGTATAAGAGGAACCAGATCTTCTGTCAATTCAGTTGACAAAAGTTGTGAAAGCGACTTTGAGTTCGCATGCTTTGTATCAAAGCTTAGCTAATTATGAGTCCTATGTCTGGTCGATATACATTGTTGTAAATTATATTGTTATATATTATTCTATTTGTTTTCAAAAAAAAAATTAAGGAGTAATTTTATTCAAAATCTGAGGACATTTTTACCTTAGATAATTGTTCAAGCATTCTGAAAATCTACCGGAAAATTTTCCTATCTTGCTCCTTCATAAAGATATTCGCTATTGAAGTTAGTGCTTTTTTGAAGAATAATTTTATAAAAATACAAAAGTTGTGAATTAGTATTCTCTGGTGTTGGGCCATCCCTTGGGTTGTGGAGCTCGATTGTGCTTCCTAAAGGTCTAAATTGTGTTATAGGCTAGTTTTAAAGTTGAAAATCGAAAAGTTGCACACGTGGGGACACG